TATATACTATAATATCTTAGTATAGTAATTAGTTAGTTTTAGACTTTTATAGTTCCTTACATAAAGAAATAGTATTATTTATTTAGTATCTACTTACTATAACCTAGAAACTAATAATACTATAGAAGCTTACTTATAGGCCTATAGTATCTAAAAACACTAACTAGGTACTAATTTACTTTATAGCTTAAATTACTATAAAGAAATAGATAATTAATTTTACTAGTATTAGTCTATTTATTAACAGTAGTAGGGTTATATAGATATAGAAGAGAAAAATATATAATAAACTATTTAGTAAGAGGACAAAGAGCCTATTAATTTAGAAAAGCTAGCTAAGGTAGTTACTATAAGATTTATAAAAATACTAAACTATATAAAAATTTAATAATTTAAGCCTAGGAACTAAAAGTAATTCAAGCTAGTTAGTATAAATAAAAGGTTATATTACTATAAGAAGAATGCTAAGTATATATATAGTAAAATTAAAGCCCTATAATAGTAAGCTAAAAAAGAAAATAGACTCGATTAAAATATAATTATAAGTTAGAAAAGTAATCCTATTTTAAACTATAAGATTTAATATTTCTTTTAGTATCTACCTAGTAATTTTAGTTAATAAGCTAAAGCTTTTCTCTAGAGATCTATTAGAAGGGCAAGATATAAATTATAACTAACTTTAGATTATACTTAACACTTATTATAAAAAGATTACGTTACTATAAGTAAATTGGAGAAATTATAATTAAAAAATAAAACTATTCTATTAGAAATTATTAGATATAATATCTAGTTAGGTAAAAGAATTATACTATTACTTTAGAAAGTTTAGTAACAAGTCTTAAAGAAGCTATAGGACTAGATTACTAGTTAGCTTTTTTATTAAAAAAATAAGATAAAACTAATAGACTACTAAAGAGTGTCTATATAGGTTCTTATAGTAACTATAATAATATAAAAAGTTTTAGTAATAGTAAATAAGTCTAGAGAAAGTAATATTTTTACTAATAATACTACTAGAAACTAAATATAAGATACTAACAAGTTCTATTACTAGCGCAAGAAAATGTAAATAGCTAAAATAAAGAAACAATATAGAAGTAATAAAGAGGTAAGTAAATAAAAAAAAAGTTTTAATAACTTAGATATAGAATAAAAAAAAAGAAATACTAAGTAGCTAATAAGCCTTAAGCTAATAAAGATCTAAGATATCTTTTTTATAAATACTAAAGAACTTAGAATAATACTAGTAAGTATTATATTTATTTAATATTTTTAACTTCAAATTACTATTCAGTAAGAAATTTAGTATTAGAACTTAAAGGCTATACAAAATAGATTATATTATAAGTTTAGTATTATTTAAGTAATAAGGAAAGATAGGATATAATCGATATAAAAATAGATAAATAAAGAGATTAACTCTTAAGTTATAGAAGATATATATATACCAGCTTATCTATAAATACTATTATTATCTATACCTCCTTTAAAGCTGCTCTAGTGTAATATTTAGAATTCCTAGTTATATTAAAAGATTTCTAGACTTTAATATTAATTCTAAACTTAAATCTAAATAAAAGTGTAGTTACTACTAAGGCTCTAAAATATATATCTATATTAGTATAATAAGTAGTTAGCTTTTAAGAGACAGCTATTTAGCTCTTTATTACTATTGCAATATACTCTTATAAACACTTACTATATAAAAAGAGGCTTAATATTAGCTTCTATATTAAGTTACTATAGTAGATTATTACTATATTACGTCTATCTGCTTATACTTTAAGTATAAACACGCTAAAAACCTGAAATAATTAGAAACCTATAACTAATTAAGTAACTATAACGATTTTGCAGTATATTTATAATAGTTTTACTATAGTTTAACCTTTTTATATATAGTATCCAAAGTAGAAAACGTAATTAAGAAAATACTTTATACCTAGTAGATATACATATCTTTTATAAGCTTAAGCTTAATAAAAAAACTTAAATTATAGCTTTATAAAGTTAGAAATTAGCTTTATTCTTTTAAGGTTTATAAGACTAAAAGAGCTTTTTTGAAATTATAGCTTTTTTAAATTTATAGCCTTACTACTAAGTAGTAAAATTAAACTTTTTAAATTAATAATAAAAGATATTACAGGTAAGCTTTAATTTTCTCTAGTAGTACTATCTAAAACAGAAGACTTATAGAACTAATTTAGAAGGTTTAGAACCTTTCTATAGGATAATAAGATTATTCTAGATTATAATAAAAGCTATCTAATCTTATTAGAAAGTCGAAGTAATAGTAATAGTAATACTAAGAGTAATAGAAATAGAAAGTAGAAAGTTAAAACTAGGTTAAACTTAAGCTACTATAGTTAGTATAAGTATATAACACGAACTAACGGGCAATTTAAGTACGTGCGTAACTAAAATATAAAAGTACTATTCTATAAACTAGTATATAGAACCTGCGGATTTCGGCCCGGCTATTAGCTAATTAGATTACGTTAGCAAGTTAGTGTTCTGCCCTGTGTTTAAGTTTAACTTTTAATTTTAATATTCTTTAGACTTACGCTACAAGATTCTATTAGCCCGAAATCCACGGCTTCTATATACTAGTTTATAGGATAATAAATTAATTTCTATTTTCTAGAGGTAAGGTAATAATAAAAGCTAAAAAGTAGTAAATCTAGTTCTAGATAGCTATTACTTATTATATTTTTCTATCCTAAGTACTTCTTTAAATTAGAATTCTAAACTCTTTTAATTAGAAAACTATATAGTAAAGGAACTAGTATATTCTATATCAATAAGTAATTTACTATTACTAAATCTTTAAATCTTACAAAATTTAAAAATAAATGTAATTAAGGCTTCTATATAAATATTTTTACAATAATATAATTAGTAGTAAGTTCTATCTATAATTACGTATAAAGTAGTATATTAGTTATTTTTCTTTTATTAAGCTACTATTCTTATTTTAGAATTTAGATCTTTAGATAAATTAGCCTTAGAAAACTAAAGTTATCTTACTTATTAATAATAGACATTTATTTTTATTTAATTTCAATATTTCTTTACTATAAATAATTAAAGAAGAAATCTATAATCTAGTGTAATTAAATTCGTAAATTTTAGTTAATACAATTACGTAGCGTATAATTTCAAGAATATTAGACTAAAACTCTACACTAAAAAGCACACTTTTAGCTCTAACAGGTAGTATAAGTTCTACTATGCTAAAACAATTTAATTAGGTAATAATTAGCCAAAATCTACGGGTTCTATATACTAGTCTATAGAACATATTAATAATATAAATAATTATTTATTAGTTAGCCGTGTTACTACTACTCGCTACTAAGAAATAATAATTATAAGTATTTCCAAGCTAGATTATTAACTATAATTAGCTTTATCTATAAGCTAAATACTTTAGTTTAGTTAAATAAACCTCTCTTTTACACTAGTAATATATATTAAAAAACTCAAGTAGGTTTTTAATAAAATAGATGTATATAGTATTTATAAAGAAGTCGGTATAATAAGATTATTCTAATATCTATTACCTATTAGAAAGACTATTATATCCTGTAGTAATAAGTAACTAATAAATTAAGCTATATAAGAACTAGCGCGAGTATAGTAAATTTAATATTTCTTTTAAAATTTCAAAATACCTAATTAGGTAGTAGAGAGAATCTAAAGATATTACATAGTATAGTAGTACTAGGCTTTACTTAGTAAATAAAGAGTTTTTATATAACCTTTAGAAAAATAGAAAACCTTAAGTATAGCTTAATAAAGTTTAGATCTAGCTTATTTTAGGACAATACTTTATACTAATAAAGGTAATTTTAAGAATAAACTTTCTAAATTTAATAGACTTAGTATTAAGTAGTTTGTTATTACTACTATAACTAAAGATATTAGTTAGTTTAAAAAGGTCTTATTACATTTTAAGTTTCTTATAGATAATATAAGAGTATAGAAGTACTCTAGAAAGTTTAAGTAGTTACTTTAAGTATATTTAATTAATATTTTTTAAGATTCCCCTTATTAGTATAATTAATGTAATAGGAGTAAGACTTAGGAGTTTTAGTAATTATAGTTATAATCTAAATATAAAGGGATGAATAGGATTAACGCCTAATTAATAGAAACGTTAGTATAATTAAACTACGTAAGTTAGATTAAAACAAGATTTTATATAAATTTCTTCTTTAGAAAGTAAAAGAAAAACTAGGTTTATAGAAAATTAAAGTTTTAAACTAGAATATTTTTAAAAGCTATATATAAGCTATAATAAGTAATTGTACTGTTATAGCTTACTATATTTTACTAGCTTAGCTTTTATAAGTAATTTTAAAAATTACCTATAGATATATAATAACTTAATATTTAATAAGCTATTTTGTACTAGTTCTATAGAAAGTTCTATATAATTAATTTTTTATATTAACTAGAGGTCTTTATAGATAAGCTCTAGAAATAAACTTAACCTTTATTTCTAATTTTAGTATATTTCTGTTATTATTTTAGATTACTAATAAATTAAAAAGAACTTACTTATTATCTATACTATATATTTATTATATATCTTCTATGTAAAGCTTGTCCTTTCTTTCTATATCTCTTCTTTAAGATTTATTGTACTAATACGTTCGTGCACAGGAAAAGTTATTATAAATACTTCGTTATTCTATTATAGTTTACTTCTTTATTAAATTTGGGGATTTTTTTATTTCAGGTTATATTAATTAATTTATGTCTTACCCTTTTATGTAATGTTATTATCCAAATAGAGCTCGATTTTTCACTAGCTTAGGCCCAGCTATTATCCTTGCGTGTGTTCTACAGGCATATTCGAGGCGATGATGTCAGCAATTACATGCGATCGGATGGGATGACGTATTTCTTGGCGGCAGGAACGAAGGAGCTTTGCGACTTTCCTCTCCTTTCAACTCTTGTATCCTCGCATCCAATCATCAACCCATCTCGTCATGTTTGCCAGACAAGTTCTCCGTCCAGCCAGGACGCTGCAACAGGTATGCGCCCTCTTCCGCCATTTCAATTGCGACACAAGCACATTGCCCAGGGCTCGTGAGCACAGCTAACGCTCATCCAGCAGGTCCGCCGGTACGCATCCGAGGCGCCCCAGAGCGGCGGCGGCAACAATGGTATTCTCTACACGGGCATTGGCGCTGCAGGCCTTACAGGCGCCTACTTCTACCTGAGGGGCGGCGACTCGCCATCCGGGCAGCAGGGCGCCGCACCGCCGTCGTCCGAGGAGAGCAAGATTCCCGCCGTGTTGAGCGGGCCTGCCAAGAGGGCGTTCACAGGTGGCGAGCAGGGCTTTGTGTCGCTGCTGCTGGAAAAGTCGGAGATTGTCAACCACAACACCAAGAAGCTTACGTTCAAGTTACCCGAGGATGACATGGAAAGCGGGTTGCCGGTGGCGTCGGCCGTCATCACTAAGTACAAGGGCCCCGAGATGCAGAAGCCCGTCATCCGACCCTACACGCCTATTAGCGACGTGGACCAGAAGGGCACAGTCGACTTCATCATCAAAAAGTACCCCAACGGCCCCATGTCGGAGCACATGCACAGCATGGAACCTGGCCAGCGTCTCGATATCAAGGGCCCCATACCCAAGTACCAATGGAGCTCGAATAAACAGTAAGGTCACTCTTTCGTTCTTCTACACATACCTCACTTCCGTCGTGACGGATTTCTATCGCTGTGGAGACTACGTGGATACCCCTCTCTTCAGTACTTGTCGCACTGAATGGTGCATCTCGCGACAAAGAAGCAGTGTGAGACGTTAACTGACTTCGCACCCCAACATCTAGTGAGCATATTGCGCTCATCAGTGGCGGCACCGGCATCACCCCCATGTGGCAGACGGCGCGCGCCATCTTCAAAAATCCCGACGACAAGACCAAGGTCACACTGGTGTTTGGCAACCTTACCGAGGAGGACATTCTGCTGAAGAAGGAGTGGGAGCATCTTGAGAACACGTACCCACAGCGCTTCCGCGCCTTCTACGTCCTCGATAACCCACCCGAGCAGTGGCAGGGCGGCAAGGGCCACATCACCAAGGAGCTACTCAAGACGGTGTTGCCCGAGCCCAAGCAGGGCGACAAGATCAAGATCTTCGTCTGCGGGCCGCCTGGCATGTACAAAGCTATCAGTGGTGGCAAGAAGAGTCCATCGGACCAAGGCGAGCTTGATGGTTACCTGAAGGAGTTGGGCTACAGCAAGGACCAAGTGTACAAGTTTTAGAGGGTATGTGACATGACTGTACGATATACGCACTCTAGACTAGATCTCTTGTATCACGCGCTTCTTCCTCGATTTGGTGCACAATCCAATCGACCATCGACTTGGAGCAGAAGTTCGCTGTAAACACTACCTCAGTAAACTACACAACGTGCGCCTGACCATTCATTGTCGCGTTACTTGTCATTCCCACAATGCATTCTGTCGCATAGAACGATGTTCTTGCTCATTGTGTAGTCACGTTGGCATGTATATATGCTTTGTTGTGCCTTCCTCATGGAGACTCGTCGCTTTCATCATTTTAGCAGATAAGTAAAGATACACTCTGCTAATGATACTATCGACACTTGTTCAGTAGACCTCCATAATATATTGAATTATGGCTCATATTACGGACAACGTCGGTAGAGCCAATCGACGTACCGTCGTCATGAACACAACTATACCCACCTCTACCGTCGGCTCAGACTCTTCGCATCGCCAGCTCGACCTTCATGCTCCAGCTTCGGTCGAATTCAAGTTTGAAAACACAAATGATAAACTGTTAGTTGTTAACACTGACGGGAACGACTTCGAAAGTCCGGGTATCAACAAAATCGACGATGGATGTATCAACCCAGTCCGCGTGCCAGGGGTTTCTTCTCTGAAAGCATACTGCTTCACAAATGCATCGCAGAAGATCAATTTCTTAGCTCGGGACTCTCTACCTATTGGGCTGGATCGACAACATTACCCGGGAGTGTGTTGCGACATAGAATGCAAATCAGAACTCGACTGCGATGTACCTTACCGGCTCTTCGTTGATAGACGGATGAGTGCTTGGTTTGTCAATCTTGTGAATGACGGTGAGATAAAGAAGATGTCTATACAGTTTGATCTAATTCCCGGCATTCAAAAGGTTGGTGCGAGCACTGTCGAGTGGGATAGAAAGCCCACCCTCAACAGTCTGACAATGTGCAACGAAATTACGCAGATGACGTCGAAGCTGGATCAGATGAACACCACGATGACTAATGTTCTAAACATGTCTGACAACACTATGCAAGGCTCCATGTTGCCTCCATGTGTCGAACTTACATACTTCGATGCTGACACTCAAGTTGATGTTGGCTACACAGCGTTCAATCAGCTCGTAGCCTCTAAAGAAAACGAGATTTTTCCACGTACCAATCAGGATTGTGTCGATGCGGAGTGTCTGTGGGAGGATATGGAAATCCAAGAGCTCAACAAGCCATCTTCGCACAACGAGATTGGGAATGCATTGCTCCGCATCATCAATAGTTCCTCGCCTGACTATCTCGAATTCCAGCTTGCCCAGCCTCCGCAATCTCGTCTTCAGCCAGTCATCCTAGCACACTCGAGTGTTGAATCTACACGTCACTCACGCCTGCCTGCAATTGCACAGCTTTTCGCCATTGAAGCGACTGATAACGACATGACTAGTGACTCACCTCTGCCAAATGGTTCACTTGGCTTCGCGGAGAGTTGTGGGTTCGTGAAGGGGCACTACACACACAGAACAGGCTTTCAGGATAGTCAAGAGGGCTATAGACATCCTCCTGTTTCACAAATATCTGGTAATTTGGATGCTTTTATTTCGACTCTTCACCAGACTGAAACATATTTCGTGGAAGGTCTTGAGGACTTGTTCAGCGATGATATCTGGTCTCGTGAAACAGACGTGACACTCTTTCTCCCGGGCAGCCCAGCTTCTAAGTCCATCTCAAAGAAAGAATAGAATGCGGACTTAATGTTATAACTACGAGTTCTTGGGATCTGATTTTGACATGCATCAAAAGGGATCGTCTGTACCGAATTTCAGACATGTAGATTGGTATCCCCATTGCAATAGACGATTATATGGCCATTTTATTTCGAACTGGAGCAGAGTTACTAAGGTTTCGATCAAGCCATTTGTGCATCGACTGTTTACCTGTGTATCCCAATGACCGGTTAGAGTTACGTTGTTGACTATTACTGTATTGCCTTTTATAGAGCAGGTTATAAAACGTTATCTTCGATTCTCTCGTCTAATGCACACACATAACTGAACGCACATCGTGAATTGCGCCAGAACAAGAATTTCTCACGATCAAAGTTATGTCTCAAACCGCGTCGAATATAGGAAAACGATAGTAAGTACTACCTGACATGCAAATCAAACCATGGCAGCTCAGCGTTTTCGAGTATAACAACCGAATTTAATGAACAAGCACTGACGACTATCCAAGCTGAGCATAACGTGGGCCACATCTGGTGATGCGATGACACGATAAGTTGAAGCCATACGCCTCTTGAGGAGACCTTCAATAACACTTATGGATTGGCACCACAGTACACCTGGCAAGCGATACGGGTAAAGGGGAACAGACTAAAGTCACGAACTACAGTATTGTTGCGCTTCTAACTTGATTGTACACACGTCATTATCGCTATGTAACTAAAATATCAACTCCTCTTGGAAACCTTGGAAACGTTATGGTCATGAGATGTGTAAGGGTTTCTCATAATCAACTGAACGAAGCTTCTGCTCATGGAACCACTGTACCCTAGTGTCGATTAGGATTAACTTTAAAATCAATTTGGGACTGTCCTCCGCTACTTGGGTAGTGGAGCGGAGGTTTGAACACGCCCAGAACGCCAGCAACGCCAACATCAAAGCCAAGTTCCAAGCCAAGGGGCACGCAATTGCATGGCGGAATTGCGTGAACTCTTACGCGAAAACACACATGCGAAGTCTCATGCTTGGATCCTGTTTGCTTTACCTGTGTTTCTATGTATCTAACATCGCTTTTCTAGCGTCGGTTTGCATGTTAACGGTCTGGTTCGACGTGGAAACACGGTACTCTGACAACTATGCCGGATTTTGACACGATCAGGAAGCGCAACCCACTCTTAGTAGCACAGTAAGCCAAGGCCCGTAAAGCTGCGGCCCTCCGCCTCTTCAGCCTAGATTCCTGGATTTTGCGGCTGAGACGGCCAATCGTTGGTTCTGCTTGTGAACGCCTTCGAGGCCAGCACGCCATTGTCGGGCGCTTTTTTGCCATTTTTGAGTCGGGATGTGATCAAACCCAACTTCCTGTTCCTACACACCTCTCCCACGCCAAGCGCATCTTAGTGCATTAACAAATACCCAAGCAGGGACCAGAGCGCATGTAGTGTAATCTACACCAGGTACATTTCCACGGTACTGGCTCTCCGATATGATATAAATACACTCATGTGCCTCTCACTCCCAATGATTCAATTCCTAGATATGCTTCGCTTCACCAAGACCGACTTGTCCTAAGCAAGCAATCTTGAGCCCTCGAGGACGTGGTATCGAGCGTAAACTCTCAAACTTTCACTCTCTTACAAATAATAACCCTTTGACGAGAAACACCATCGCGGTCTATTAAACACCAGTATGGCGGTAGTTGGGCGTGGTGTGGCCAAAGCGCTTGGTATCAATCTTGATTACCGCAGGGAAGAGCTAGACAACTCTGGTGCCACGTCTATCTCCTCTGTCGAGACATGCAAGTTTTTCTCAAGCCCCAACTAAGCATAGCTAACCTTGTTGATAGACGTCGAGCGTGAACCCACTGCAGCAGAGTATCTCTCACAGTTCAAACCTTCGTTCCCGGCCTTCAAGCGCTACGTTCGTAGCTTGTTCCCTTTCTGGGACTGGATATTCCATTACAATTTGACTTGGCTTTTCGGCGATGTCATTGCAGGTAAGTTCTAGCTTCTCAATCTCTAAAATATTCTTTTGCCAAGGACCGCTCCATGCTGGGTACCTTCGTTGTCAGAGTTTTCAACAATCATATAGAAACAGAGTCAAGAAATCAGGTTGAAAGTCTCTTGATCCCATCGTCTAGTAGCTTCAATATGTTTTCGAGCTATGAAAACTGACGACCCGGATAGGTGTTACGGTGGGCTTTGTTGTCATCCCTCAGGGAATGGCCTACGCTCTGCTGGCACAGTTGCCAGCTGAGTATGGCTTGTACACCAGTTTTGTTGGTTTCATCCTCTACTGGGCCTTCGCAACGTCCAAAGATATCACCATTGGCACCGTGGCTGTGATGAGCACAATTGTTGGAAACATCGTCATCAAAGTTCAGGCGACGAAGCCGCATCTGGCCGCTGTTGACATCGCTCGAGCGTTGTCGGTCATCGCCGGTTCTGTACTGCTTTTCATCGGCCTCGTGCGTTTTGGCAGGATTGTCGAACTTATTCCACTGGTCGCAATCACATCCTTCATGACCGGTGCGGCTATCAGTATCGGAGCCGGCCAGGTTCCAGCACTGATGGGTATCACGGGCATCAACACCCGCGGCCCCACGTACCAAGTCATCATCAACACTCTCAAAAAGCTTCCCAATACGAAACTGGACGCGGCAATAGGGTTGTCTGCTTTGTTTCTACTCTATGCTATTCGCATCGTTTGCAACTTCATGTCAAAGAAGCAGCCGTCTAAGAAGAAGTTCTGGTTCTTCGTATGTTCACACTCCCCGTCTTTGTTGGCCAATTACTTACACCCGTTAGGTTAGTACTTTGCGTATGGCTTTTGTCATTTTGTTGTACATCATGATTAGCTGGCTTGCAAATCGTCATATCAGAGGCGATACGAAAAAGGCAAAGTTCAGGATCCTGGGCAAAGTACCACGAGGTAGATCGTTCGACCCAGCCATCAAAGTACACTGCTGATACTCATGAAGGCTTCCAGCATGCTGGTGTCCCAACCATCAATACCGAGATACTGAGTGCTATTGCCCCTGACTTACCAGTCACCATCATCGTCTTGATTCTCGAGCACATTGCAATTTCGAAGTCATTCGGCCGCATCAACAACTACGTCATCAATCCTTCCCAAGAATTAGTCGCAGTCGGCTTCACAAATGTAATTGGACCGTTCCTTGGTGCATATCCTGCTACAGGATCATTCTCTCGGACGGCTATCAAGTCAAAAGCAGGCGTTCGCACACCTTTAGCTGGTATCTTTACTGCAATCATCGTTCTCCTGGCCTTGTATGCACTTACAGCTGTCTTCTTCTACATTCCTTCAGCCGGTCTTTCGGCCATCATCATCCATGCCGTTGGTGATCTCATCACACCGCCTAATGTGGTATTCCAGTTTTGGGAAACTAGTCCTCTGGAAGTCATCATCTTCTTTGCGGGAGTATTCGTCACTGTCTTCACAAACATCGAAAACGGCATATATACGACCATTGCAGCCTCCTTTGCTCTGCTTTTGTGGCGGCAACTGTTCACGCACGGTGTACTCCTTGGAAAGGTTCAAGTCTATCGCGCAACATCAAAATCGATGGCTCGCAAGGAGAACGGTATCTCTACTTCAGAGGTTAGTGACCGTAGCAAGCGAGAGGCATATCTTCCCATCAACCGCAAAGACGGATCAAACCCTCACATCGACATTGAATCACCATACCCTGGTGTTCTCATTTACCGTTTCACGGAGGGATTTACTTACCTCAATCAACAAGGCTACATGGACGAACTGGTAGCTCACGCACAACACATCGCTCGCCCTACGACACTGGACCGATATGCTAAGATCGGTGATCGTCCATGGAATGACCCTGGTCCACGCCGAGGGAAGCGGACCAATATCGACGACAATAGGCCCATTCTACACGCTATCGTCTTAGACTTTAGCGCGGTCAACAACGTCGATGTGACCTCCGTCCAAGGCCTGGTCGACGTTCGGGCGCAGCTCGATCGCTACGCCGCACCTGAGTCTGTGGAGTGGCACTTCGCATCCATCAATAGCCGATGGACTAAGCGCGCTTTGACAACAGCCGGATTTGGGTACCTCGATCGCGAACGCTTTAGTTCGCGCCAGCATTGGAACCCGGTATACAGTTATGCGCCTCTCGACACCGCGGCACCGCAATCTGGTGACGTCGAAGCTCAAGATGAAATCCAGACCATTGGCGAACAGAAAAGTTTCTCTGGCAAAGTTTCAACAATACATGGGCAAAACAGGCCATTTTTCCATATGGACGTGCCCGCCGCAGTTGAAAGTGCAATTATGGGCGTTGAGACGAAGCTGGCGCATTTCAGTCCAGGCGGGAGTTCGGAAATGCACATTGGTAGACATGAGGTACAAAGTAAGTACGAATGAGCGCATTATACAAGTCACTTAACTGTGTTTAATACTTTAACCATTCTACCCGACCTGCGACGATATTGCATACGATGTTCTATGGTATTTCACATGTAATCAAATACGTTGTTGAATTATGTTTCCTAAACTGTTCAGTCAAACCTTATACATATTCCCACCTTCATAGTGGTGATTCTCCAAGCTGTTCGAAAAAAGCATTGTAGATTACAATAGACATAATGTGTATGATGCAGCTACTTCGTGTCCCTATCTTTCGGCTTGATTAGCCTAGACTACAATTTAAAACTTGATATTTCATTCTTCAACAGACGACCTACGTCTCTACAAATCTGTTGCTGCACTGGCCCGAGCTTAGACCGTTTCTAGGAAGGAGATTGATAGTATGGCACTTGACTCCACTTGGTCTTGAGCGGCCTTCGCCCCAACATGACACTTTCGACGCAAAACATGCTCGATGATGTGTGCCTCTGACTATTGCTTCTCTCGGCTTCTCGACCTACCGCAAGTCTGAAAGTACATCTCTGAAACATATGCGAGATTGGAAGCCTCATATACATGTTCAGCGACCGAATTGGCAGTTCAGAATCGATGATATGAATTAAGGCTGCTCATGGCTGAACTAACAGGTCTTACACATTGGAACAATACTATTGCAAGGACAGTGGTGCCTTAATGCCCGAGACAACGATTCCTGTAGTGAGATCTGAGAAGTCTTAACGATCCAAACACTTCGTCAGATCTAATTTAAGAAGGGATACGTATACTGGTTCACATTTGTGGTACTTAGACGCTTTCTCCCTATCAAGCAACTTGGGAGTCTTAGGGCAGGGATCTTTGTGACATAAACGTTCGGGCTGTCAGTCTTGATTGTATACCGCAGACCCTGGTTATAAGACCATCATCCGATAGTTATGTGGCCTAAAACTAACTTTCCTGTATGATACGAGGAATTTGGTATAGACGGTTTGGGCGGGTATGTAGTAGCAGACTAGGCCGAGTCAAACTGTTCTTAGCCCAATATATTGAACATGGCCATGATGAAGTGCAGTGATGCTCCGCATAGCAAGTAGTATGGCAGTGCCTAGCTTGAAGGGTAATCAGGAACGAGTGCCGTAGCTAGGCGTCGAAGAACCGACGAAGTTGTGTGGAGGGTATGGGGTTCCATACTACCAGACCCGTCCTCTGAATCTAGATATGCTACGCGGTAGATCGGAAGGCTGGTCAGTTCGGACTATTACGATACGTTAAGACTATTGACAAGAGCGATTGAGTATCTTTTCACGATCAGACCACTTGATGATTGACACATATTGCTAAATCTTTCTTTCAATCCAAGATCACCTTCTGAGGTGCATAAGACGAGAGTGATGAGACTGGTCTCATACAAATCAAAGTACCTTCTAACTGTGGTCTCCCGGGTGGCAGTCGCTACAAAGCGACGTTGTGGTCTAGAGTCCGCTAGTGAGATCGTAGGGAAGGGTACGCATTCGGCTTCGATCGGCCGTTGATTATCATCGTGAACTCGTTTCTAATCATAGTTAGCTTACCATTGGAACTTTTTGTTGGAGGGAACAAGCAAATTATGCTCTTCATGTCTGTGCTCCTCTAAACTCGTCCTTTTTGGTCCTAGCCTTGTTCATCTTTGCCTCTTTTTAGACTATATCTGGGGCATTGTTATCAAATACAGCGAGATTAACTGTGATGTCATTCATTCTTTCACAGTGCGTTCATCGATTCGTTTCCGTGAAGATAAGCCCAGGGCTTGATGTTCGAACATTGCCGTGGCTAGACCCGATACGGCCTAGTGATTTCTAAAGACGGCCTCAGCTCATACCTAGTTGATGCGTGTTTCACTGGACATTTCCGATATTCATCCAAGGTTGGCCATCGCTCCTTCATCTCACTGTTTGACCATCTTCATGTCCTACAAACAACTAGAAACGATCGTCTTTACAGGTGGTGACGTCACAGGGGACTCACTGACTTTCCTCCATCAGATGCTCTTGCCACATCTATCCAAACAACTCACCTTCACTTTTCGCACAGGGGAACTCTGCTGAATCAAGCCACATCAACATGACACAAAACGATCTCCTGCTTGGAGAGTCTACCGCCGACCTTTCTACAGACGAACTGATTAATTTGATCATGCTCCGCGTGCGTAATCGTCAAGACTCCGCTGCAACTCCATGTTCGCACCCTATCTCAGATGCCATAACGTCAAAGCTCCCAAACCCGAAGGTCTGCCCTGCTTGCTTCATAAAGCAGCATACGGAAACCATCAAAGATGTGCAACGTCGGCTGGTTGAGCGAGGTGGTGTCTTCGCCTCCAAGGATGAGCATGGGCACAAGTCGCTAAGGAAAGAACTACGAGACGCGAAAATCGGTCTGACAAACGCCGTTGCACAGTTCGAGATAGCAGTCGCAGAGGCGCAGCTACCTCCGGCAGATCTGTCTCATCTCCGGAATGCGCTACTCGAGTGGGAAGACCAAAAGATACGTCTGGCTAAGATCCCGGGCCTTGTGTATGTGAGTGGTGCAGAAGAGGACGAGCCCACTGAGGAAGATCGGGAGTTGGCCAAATTGATGATGGAGTTGTTGGCGATGGTACTCAAGAAGGAGCTTACACCAGACGAGATGGAGGAGAGAGCTGCGACCACAAGTACAGAAGCAAACCTAGATCATCAGCGTCCTGGTTCACAAGCTCATGTGCCAAAGGATCGTACTTCTATACCGGAGACATCAGAACTATGTTTAGCGCCGAGCGTTGGAAACCTGCAGGACAAAGCTGCACCAAAGTCCATCTTCAAACGCAAAATCGCTTTCTCGTCCGCGGACTCACTCACAACATCGCCTGTGCGCAAGCGCGTTCGAACACGCAACTTTGCAGCCGTCTCACCAGAAGCCTTAAACACTAGCAATCCTTTTCCTTTCGCCAAACTTTCTGATAATAAGACGATTCAGGCACATCGACCTCAGACTTCTGCAGAACAGCATCGATTAAGGTCCGACTTCCATCGCGGGTGCCCAAACTATACGCCAGGAGTATGGGCGTCGTCTGCTTTCACTGAAAAGGCCAATACGAGTTTGTTTAAGATACCGTGGAACGAGGCCGAAGAACAGATGCGTAAAGAACAGGAGGAGGCAGCGGAGGAGAGGAAGATCGCAGATAGATTGAAGATGGTAGCTCAAGCTTGGACGGGTATTTGGTGGGCAAAGGAGGTGATGCAGCATGTAGACTTGGAGAAGATTCGCGAAGCTGGGTCGGGGACTAGTCCAGAAGCTGGTTCGCTCGCATGAGCATTTGGACGTTGATGTTTTTGGTCATATTTATGGCAAGGAGACGTCGCGTTCTGGAGTTGTCGTTGTTAACGGCGACTACATGGCGAATAGAGTCGCTTGGTGGTCAGAGGAGCATATGATTTCAGCGACGATACCCATCAGTACCAATAGCAAGCAATGATCATCATCTCGGTAATGAATCAAGGTACGCACATAGTTCAATGATATTGGTCCCTTCTTTCGCGAAAACAAACCATATTCATAGGCATGCTTGACAGACGGGCAAGGTAGGTAGTGTCGATGAGCAGGAGCGAGACCGCGCCGACATGCCATTTCATAAGCTCTTCACCGTTCTGGAGAAGGTGTACTTTGTTTACCCATATGGTTCAGGTGTCAAAGTCTATCTTTGGGGACGGGTCAGATCCGATTTCTAAGGCTCGCCAACGGCACACCATTACTAACGAGGAAGGAGAAGGATCCAGAAACCGACGCCACATTTTACGAGCGAGGCTCAAGTGACCTACAATATGCTGGCAGCAATATATCTTACGCAAAGACTTACTGGCCGGTTGGCAGGATTGCTTTCATCACAAACAGTGCTCTGAGAATGTATCCTTGCATTAGTAGGCAGTGTAAGCCAGGTGAACTGTATCGATATTGTCCTATCATCCGCCGATTTCTATGTGAACTCTGTACCACCAATCAGCATTCACCTTCACTCTTACTTTCAAAAGCACGTTACCGTCGCTCAGACTACCATCCCTGACCATCTACAAACCATCGTCTCGCAGGCCACACAACCTCACACTCAACATGACCACCTCCTCCCCATGGACGCCACACTCTGCACTCACACCTTTCGTCTCCACACTTTTTGCGCTTCTTTACGCTCTCTATATTCTCGCCTACCCACCTGATCACCGGAAACTCAGCCTGTTGCTTCTGGCGCTGCCAATCACCTACGCATTCAAGTACCATCTAGACCTAACACCAAACGCTAGCGTCAATGATACGTTCGGGCGTTTCCTATATATCTGGTTTGCACATATGAGCTACGAGATTGCGATCTTGGAATTCTCCCCTTCACCTGCGAACAGTATAGCACGTAAAAGAGGAGGGAGGTTGAGAGAAGCGTACAAGGTGCTCTTTGACCGGAACCACACACAGCGTCGACAATCAACACTGGGGCCGCAGCGAAGGCATGAGTTCTCGCGCCTGTCATTCCTTCTCCGCCATATCACTAAAGTCATCACACTGTATCTTGCCATGGCGTCATGGTATATATTCCTCGACACCCCATCTTTTACCATGTCAAGCGACTACGGATTTGAGAAAGCGTTCTTCTTTCGGCGGCTCCCGTCGTCGCTCAACATGCGAGAGCTGCGCGTTCGGTTCAATTTCACGTTCCAGTGGTGCATAATCAATATGCTTATGTACGACACGTATCACTCTATCTTTGCCGTCCTGTTCGTCGGATGCGGTCTCGACGCGCCGAATGAATGGAGCATGTCACTGTTCGGTTCGGTAAGCGAAGCGTGGAGCGTAAGGAGATATTGGGGGAAGCATTGGCATAATTACATCTATCATTCATTTTCCGCGCATGTCAAGATTTTCACACGAGGATGGCTTGGTTTGAAGAGAGGCAGGCTACAAACGCGGTTGCTGGAGAATATTCTCGTTTTTGCGGCATCGGGATTGATGCATAGTCTCGTGCGGTGGATGCAGGACGGCAGTGATGGGGATATATGGTGTATTGCTATCTGGTACACTGCTCAGATGCTACCTATCGTCATTGAGAATGTGGCGCAGAACATCTGGGGAAGAGTGAAAGAGAAACTGGTAATCACGAGCAACAGGTCTGTGAGAGAGCTGGAGAGGCTGGTTGGGTACATGTGGGTGGTGGGGTGGTTCATGTGGAGTGTGCCGAAACAGATACACACGAAGAACGAATGGACGGACAGACTCATGCGGAGGAGGTATCCGGTGACTTACGCTTCTGAGATGGAGCTGGAGAAGATGAGTTCAGAATTTTGATACAAGCATACTTCTACATAGATGGAAAGAAATGCAGATGCACGAACAAGTATAGATAACTCTTACGTCAATATAAAACGTAGGGTGTGATGTAAACAAAAACGGTACCTGAGGAGTTTTCTCTGAAATTGGACCTCTGAAGATGTACAGATATCCAGTTCTTCACAACATCTTCGCCTTCATCCTGCAAGCTGCCATGGCCAACAACCTCCAACTTCTCTTGTACACACTCGGAAGATGGCGAGTGTTTTTGGAGTATTTACGTTGACCCTTAACACTGCAGCGCCTAGGCGGGTGCTTCTCCGTTGCCCAGATCCAAGAGAACCCCAAGATACGTGGCGCATCATGATGGCGCACAAGGCATGTGTTTCTCCGTGCACGGCAAATCGTCGGTTGCGTAGATGAGACGTGTTACAGTTTCACGGCGCTTTACATGTCGGGGCAACAACTGGGCGGCAGCACAAGCTACTTGCAAGTGACTCTACCCCGAGAGCTCTATCACAGACAGACGGAGCCCATAGTCGTCTCACATGCTTGCGTATTTGTCGTGTGACGACTTGACTTTCATGTCCAGCGCCGTTTCGTGGAAGTTGCCCTCGCGTCGCGCCTTCTTCAGCTTCCTGACCTCGTCGTCCTCCAGCCTTCTTCCTATGAGCTCTTCCAGCTCCTTGCGGCTGATCTTCTCTCTGGCCTTTTCCTCTTTGGATGCCTTGAGACGCGGCTTGAAGCGGGCTTGCATGCGGAGGCGCAGTGTCGCGTTAAACGTGATAGTCTCGACGTCACCGCGAAGGTCGGGTGTATTTGTAGCGGAATCGTCGATGGATAGGAACTTGTCACGCAAAGTCTGGAGAGCAAAGGCCGAGGGGTTGTCCGGGACGGGGATGACGAGGAAGGATTCTTCGGGGGAAATGGCGGTTGCTGTCGCACTTAGGACTCCGTGCTTGTCGCAGCTGAGATATCTGGATGCCTTGTCAGCCTGCAGTCGGGGAGCGCATGCGCCACTCATACCTTCCGTGGTGGCCTTTCAAACTGACGCTCTCTGTGCCAGCGACGCGATTCGCAACAAAGACCTGCCTGACGTCGTGCGGTTCCGCCGTTGCTGCCGTCACTGCTTCGCCCTCGACGACGCTCTCCAGCCCGCTCGCAAAGACCTTGCCGTTCGCGTCGCAGGCTAGGCACGTTGGGTTGTCGGTGGGGAGCACAATGACAATGGGACCAGAGACATCGCTCGGCGCGTCAGCGTTGACCCAAGAATCGTCATGTTCTGCTTTTGCGACGGGTGCTGCCGTGGTGACGGCTTTCGACGCCGAACCCTCTGCATCATCCGGATCGGCGACCCTCTTGCGCTTCTTCGCCTTCTTGTCGCCCTTGAAGTGGAGTGCCTTGACCATAGTCGGATGTTTCTCGTGTGCTGTGCTGAGGTCGCGTCGGAATCCGACGCGGCATCGTCCGAGGCCTTGGCGGCGGCCGAGACGAATCGGGCAGGTGCCATGGTGCTCTCCGCTCCAGATTATCACGATAAAGCAGCTGTACTGGCTGTGACGCAGACCCGGGTCCTGATCATTGAACCTCTCCAACCTTACAAAAGTACCAATATGGCTAACCCCAAAGATGCCGTGAATCAGAACGCAGTCGCTGTTGGGTTGGAAGACCTAAGAAGTGGTGAGACACATTCTTGGCCAACGTTCAATGAGTTCTGGCTGATTCACTATCAGAGAAAGTAGACTTCTCTCTTCTCGAGGGGGCATTTGGCCCTGCCAGTCTTGGTATAATCGTTGTGAAAGATCTGCCTGCAAAGTTCCATCAACTTCGCCATAAGCTCCTCTCCTACGCATCTGTCCTGGGCAACCTATCAGAGGATGAATTGAGTGCGTATTCAGCGTGACTACAAGTAGCAAGTGTGGTCTGACGTGTCGGCAGAGAAGCTCGAGTCTCCTGCATCCATGTGGCTCGTTGGATGGTCACGCGGAAAGGAGACGCTCAAGGACGGCAGATATGACACCCTCAAGGGCTCGTACTACGTAAACTGTGCGCCTGACTTCGAGAAGACGCAACACTCCGTTGCCGAAAGATACCCGTCGTTCCCAGAGTACACTGCTCCCAATGTTTGGCCATCCGAAGAGCTTCTGCCAGGTTTCGAAGAGACTTTCCGTGAATTGTGCATATTCATCATCGACACTGCAGCACTGGTTGCTCGGGCCTGCGACAAGTACGCCGAAGCCAACATCGAGGGCTACCAGAAGGGTTATCTCGAGCACGTTGTGAAGACGAGCGTGTCGACCAAGGCCAGACTTCTCCACTACTTCCCCAGCCCGGAGTCGTCTGCCGATGCGAGCGTTGATGAGGACGACTGGTGTGCCACACATATCGACCATGGCTGTCTCACAGGTCTGACATCCGCCATGTTCGTTGACGAGGCCGCGCATCACCCACAAACTGGTTCCGCGTTTGCACCACTCAAGGAGCTTGAGCGCTCGCCTGATCCCAAGGCAGGCCTCTACATCCACTCCCGGACGGGTCAAACCGTCAAGGTCAGCATTCCCCGCGACTGTCTAGGTTTTCAGACGGGTGAAGCTCTCGAGATCATCACTCAGGGCAAGTTCAAGGCTGTGCCGCACTTTGTGAGAGGCGCCGGACCAGGTGTTGGAGGGAAGGTAGCTAGAAATACGTTGGCGGTCTTTACGCAACCCAACCTGTGGGAGAAGGTAGATGAGAGACGGGATTTCGCAGCCTTTGCCAAGGAAATTGTAGAAAAGAATCACTGAGTGGTAGTGCGCATGACTCGAGTCCTGGAAAGAGTATTGCATCTGCATGTAGATCAAATTTAAAGAGCATGGGGTATGATAGACCCTCCAATATCTATCTGGCGTGTCAGGGTGTTGAGGGATTGCATTGTCGCAGCCAAGAGAAATCTACAAGGGTTGCGATAGCTTTATTACCATTTTCGGTGGTAAGAGCCGGGTTTCGGCGTGTTTTTAGAGGGACCTGACGTCACCACAATCTGCCAGTGCGTCCCTCGCATACGGTCTTACCGCGCGTTCAAGACGCATCGCAATTCGAACGTCCAGGCCTCCACGATCTGATGTAGCGCGTGACGCTAGTTTTCCGCCTATGTCGAGGTTCAGGAAGGTGCGACTGCGGGAACCTTCCTAGTTGCCGAGTCTTAGCTAAACGCAGAGCAGAGCCGCAACGTCTTAGGCGGCTTGATTGATTCCAACCTCGTCCACCGCCTCCCATATCAGTACGTGGGCTTTATCCGAGGCGTAGGGGAAAATTACGTGTCTGCGGCTATCGGCAATAGATGTATACTCGCAGCAAGGCTATCAGGCATTTGACCCTCCGGGCTCTTTGCAAGACGCGTCAGTGGCGTCGCAAACTCTGATCCGAGCAAATGGACTTGATGCAACTTGACCCAGTGCAGAAGTCCATGCTGAATTGTACTTTCGGGCGCCACACTTTGAATGCTGGCACTCTTTTGCCCCAGTCTTTGCCCAGCACCTATGAGGCTGGGTATGTGGCTTCATGTGCATCTGCCTCTTGTGCCGACTTCCGCCCAGCCACATTCACCCGGCCCAAACAAGCCAACGACATCTCACACAACAGCGTAACCAGGCGTAGCCAAGGGACCTTAATCGTGAAACGGGTGGGGGACGTTCGACACGAGTCCGGTGCCAAGACACATTACGCGGCCAACAATTACGACTCGGCGCTTCTTTGCCCTGTTGAGGTTACGGCCAATTGAATGGAGCCATACGCCATGTCAATCCCATGCCAAGATGCTAATCCGCCCATCCGTCTTTGCAGGGGGAACTTGCTTGGATCCTGGCTACAAGCACTTAACTTCCGTCTTGGTTCGGCAGGACGTCAATGTAGGTTTTTAGCTTCTACCGTCGCTCGTTTCTTCTCTTTTGGTATTCTTTGTTGTTCGTGGTTTCTACCATCTACGCCCCCCCTCCACCCCCTTTCCACACCCGTTTCTCCATCTACATGACTTTACTATCAAAGGTCCCGCTATCGATTGTGCGCGCCACCGTTTCCGGATTGACTTCGCAAGAGCCTGGCGGTGCCACGCCGAAGATGGTCGCCAACAACCGTCAGAACGTGACGTGGGTAGAGGTACGCCCCCTACAGCAGTGACGGCAGTAGACGAGTCTAACACAACCAGGGCGTTCGTGGAGTCGCGTCATTCTTTGTTGTCGTCACACATCTCTGCAGAGCATGGGATTACAGCCTTTGGTCACCACGCGATAGCGAGGACGCCACACCACAACTACTACAACTACCCTTCTTTCGACTGCCATGGCAAGGCCGCATCGGAGTCACAATGTTTGCCTTTCTCACCGGATACGTGTGCGCGATCAAACCACTCCGTCAGGCAAAGTCTGGAAACGTTCCAGCCGCCCTGACGACGCTTGGAAAATCAGCCTTCCGCCGGCCCCCACGATTGATTATGCCTGCCACCATCGCTTTGGTTATTGCATGGGCTTTTGCACAGATTGGCGCGTTTGACGTTGCCCGACGAAGCGATTCTCACTGGTTCAGACGCTCCGTCCCGCAAAACATCGGCACTCTGGATACGGAAATACCACGATTGATTAGGAACTTTCAGGGAGCGTGGTCTGGTGCCAACAACGAGTACGACGATCATCAGTGGGCGCTGCTTCCTTTGTTACAGGGCGCTTTTCTCATCTACGTGCTCTTATTTGCCACCGTGTTTATGAAGTTCCGCATGCGCCTTTTTACCTGCGTTGTCCTCTTTCTATGGTACTGGAACCGCACTAGCCCGGAGAAAGGTGAGGAAACACTCGTATTGCCTTTATGTGGTACGCCCTGCTAACCCTCACAACAGAAACCTTTGAATGCCAGTTCCTCTACGGCGTCATCCTCTGCGACATCGGATCCGAGAAGGGATTCCGAGACTTTGTAAACGCCTTCCCCAAGGTGCGAAGAGCCGTCCTCACCACCCTCATCGTCGTGGGGTGGTACGTAGCGTGCTACCCCGGAGAGCACTGGGAGTGGTCAGCGTGGTCGGTGCAGCTCAAGAACATCGGTGACTGGATCATCCCCAAGGATGCAGCCAGCTACCCCAAGCGCTTCACAGCAATCGGATGGGATCTGATCGTTACGGGGATTTGGCTGTCGCCCACGCTGCAGAACATGTTCTCCAACAAGCTGTTCATGTGGGTTGGCCGCAACAGTTTCGCCGTCTACCTCACGCACGGAACGGTGATGAAAGTTGGACTTGCCCGGTTGATCTACGGATGGTCGACGGCCCCGTACCACGTGGAGCAAGGGGAAAACGGCAAGGGCGAGGCGATTGAGCACTACATTCCCCGGTCGACAAACTCGTTTGTGTGGGCCTTTGCGATAACCATGTTCTTCGTCGTCGAGTACACGATTGCGCATTTCTGGACGACATACGTGGACTCGCAGTGCGCCAAAGCCACAAAGTGGCTCGAGGATACGATGTTCGAAAAGGAAGAGAGCGAGAAGCTCGGAGTAGCCAGCATGGCTTAGAAGAGAGAAGCGATGGGAACGCGCGTCTGCATTACGCAAAAGAAGACGCGTCCATGCAGCCGTTGTTCAAGAGATGTTTTCTTTGTTTTGTTTTTGTTTGTTTGTTCAAATGACGATTTCGTTTGTTGTTTATTTCTGCGGATACCAACACGTTGTTTTCGCATTTCTGGGCGTCTGTGGAAACACTTTGGGGGATGTATTTTTGGTTGGTTGGGAATAGAAAGAAATAGGTAAACCTCTGTCAATCAAAGCAGATGGATAATGACTTTGGACGATAGTTTGCGTGTGGCGTAGCATGAAAGAGTAATATGAACGTATTGACTAGATTTGATCTCCGTTCCCACGTCAAATAAGACATACTGCATGACCCTTCTTGACCCTTTCTCCTATGCGCCTGCCCAGCTAGTGTGTCGACCCTTGATTCCCTCTTCCTAATCGGCACCCGGCAGATGATTAGCGATACGGATAGCCTCGTCGTATTCGTGTAGCACGTAGTAAAGTGTTAGAGACCCCATAACACCCCTTAAGAATAGCAATCCACAAACAATTCAAATCCCTCGAAAAAGCAAGAAGCAACAAGACCCAACGCCATGGTATGTTTTATGAAAATACGCCAGACTCCATGAAGGAACAGTCGAGGATTTCACTCCTCGGCCTCTGTGTTCCAGACCTCAACTTCCCGACTCTCCAGCTCCTTCATCTTATCGTCGGCAAAGACGGTGTCGTTGGGGAGGCCCGTCTTGCCGTAGTTGACGACGGGCCCAATGGTGTCTCTCCACTGGGCTCTGCGCTCCATCAACGTCCGTATGGGCTCGCCCACTCCCGGTCTGCTGACGCCGTTGGCTACCACATGGCTGCCTCCGCCGGCACCGCCTGGGCGCTTGTTCTTGCTCTTCCCCTTGCCAATGTTGCGGTTTCGCTTGAGGTAGGCGGCGTTGAGCTGGTTGTCGAGATCGTCGGCGATGGTGTTGTACTCCTGCTGGGCGATTCTCTCTTGTGTTAGTTCCAGTAGGCGTTGTTTTCTCGCGCCGTTGACGATGGATTGCTTGCGGAGCTCCTCCTGCAGGAAGCGCAGGCGCTGGGCGACTTCGTCGTCGAAATGCGAGTCGTAGGAGGAGGTTTCGGCGTCGGTTTCCGAAATCAGGCCGTAGTGCTTCAGCTCGAGGAGCATGCGGTCGTCGAGGGAGGCGTAGTCGGTGCGGACAGGCTGTTGGGGCGCGCGCCAGCCGGGCTGGAGGAAGTCGGGCAGTTGGGTGGCGGCGGGGGTCGAGTTTGTGTCAGCGGGTGGGTTTGCGCCGTCGTCAATGTCCATGGCGTCGCCGTTGAGGCCGTTTGTGTCATGGGAGCTGGGCTGGGCGCCGCGTCCCTCAGGTCGGAGGAGGGAGACCAAGCGGGCGAGCAGAGGCCCGGAAGAGACCAGGTCTGTCTCGAGGATGTCTTCTGTGATGTCCTCCCCAGCACCGCGTGCCATGTTGGGAGCCGAGCGCTGGTCGTTGGAGTCGATGTGCATGGCGCCATCCTCCTCGGCCCAGATATCCTTGTAGTGTCGCTGGCCGCGTCTGGGCAGCACAAAGGGCGCGATGCGGTCGCCCCGCTCCTTGAGGAAGGCGACGTCCTCCTCGGTCAGGGGGCGTATGTAGGGCTCGACGTAGTTAGCGAAGACGGTCGCGTTGACCTGGGTGGCGGGCTTGGCGTTGGAGAAGTCCTTGTCGGGGGGCGTGCCGGCGGTCTGGTCGCGCAGGTCGGAAGGGGGGAAGTGCCTGACACTGTATATCTCCTTGCGCTCCTCGTCGGGCATGCCCGGGGTGACATCGCGGATGTGGTAGATGGTGGGGTCGTCGAACTTGGAGGGGTCAGGACCAAACGTCTGGAACTGGGGCACGGCGGGCGCGGGGGCGGGCTGGTGCGAGAGTTCGGAGGCACTGGGCGAGGGGGCGTCTGCGGGGCCAGTGCCGGCGTGCGAGGGCGCGGCGTGCGAGATGGGCGACGAGACGGCCGACGAGTGGTCTGGGGGGTGTGAGTGAGCGATGTGGGCAGTGGGCGTGGGCGTGGGCGCAGACGAACCTCCTTTGTGCACGTCGACGCCGTCCTGACGGGCGAGGCCGTGGGCACCCGTTGTGGGCGGGTGCTTGCTGTCCTCGTCGTGCTTCTTGGTGACCTTCTTGACCTTCTCCCTCTCGCGCGGGGCGCGGTGCTTGCGCAGGCCGTGCAGCTCGCGCAGGCCGCCCTCGGACGTGGTGCAGCGCGTCTCGACCTTCTTCAGCACCTTGTCGACAATGGCCTCGCGCATGCTGACCAGGGCGGCGGCCGTGGGGATTCCCTGGCCGCTGCCGCCGCGGTCCAGGATCTCCTCGACGGTGACATGCAGCTTCTTGGCCAGGTGCACGCTGAGCGACTTGCTGAGGTAGGATGTCGTAGCGGGCGTCGACGCCGTCATGGTGGGCTCGACCGAAGCGTGCACGCTGGGCAACGGCGTCGTGTTGCGGCTGCGCGGTGCGTTGGACGCCTTGCCGCCGGGCTTGGGCTTTCCTTTGCTGCTGAGATGCGTGGGGCCCATTACTGCTGCATCGTGCCGTGGCTATGGACTGGCACGTACGTGCGACTGCCTGCGCGCCGTGAAACAAGCATTGGGTCAAGCTTTCTCGCCAGCCTCGGCGCGCCCACGCCACCAGGCCACCAGACTCGATGGCTGGACGCGACGCCCCTCCGCCTGCGCCTCCTCCGGCCATGCCTGCTCACCCTGCCTCCTCCCGCACCGAGCGCTTGGTTCCCTTCGTGCTCCTCGCCCCGTCCCCGTTGCTGTTCCTATTACTGCCGCTCGCGTCACTCCAGAAAGTGTCCTTGTAACTGCCCGTCGCCCGTCGCCCTCGCGTGCCCGTGTTCGCTCCCAGCATGCTGGAGGCCCTGCGCAGCCACCCAGAATGAGTACGTCATCCACCACTGCTGCCACCGCCAGACACCGCCAGACACGCACCGCCCGCTAACCCGCCTCGCACAGCTGCCCAACGCATCGGCGTCAACACGATCCAGTTCCCCGACCCGACCCAAATCGACTACAGCAACAACAACTACGCCACGCTCGCCTCGAGCATCGCCTTCTCCTACACCATCGCCAGCAACATCCAGACCCTCTCGACAAAGGGCGCCGAGAACGCCGCCCAGGTCCGCGGCATCCTCTACGTCCCCGACCTGCTCACCGACGCCTGCAAGGAGTCGGAGAAGCAGCATGTCCCCGCCAATGCCACGCGCCTCGCCAACCTGCCCACGGGCCAGAACTACGCCCTGATGGCCTTTGCGCCCTGGTACGACGCCCAGTGCATGGCCGAGTACTTTGCCTCGTCTAGACGCCTCGACACCAACGCCTTCCTCGTCTACCAGCCCGGCGAGAACAACGCCCTGCCCCCCGTGCTCAACGATGCCTCGTGGAATCTCAACGACGGCGGGCGCTGGCAGTCGGCCAACCAGTTTCCCACCTACGCCCTGTCCTCCATGACCGGAAACGTCATCATGGACCAGCTGAACCTGTACTCGGGCAACCTCACCACGGTCCCCAACGGCGACGAACTTGCCACCTACTTTGACTCTACCGACTACGTTCGTCTGTGGGGTGTCATCCGCATAGGTGAGTCGATGCTTTCGCTTTGTTGAATCTGCCCACTAATCCCCGCCAGATCAAGTCGGCAGCAACCTCCCGAGTCTGTGGGTCTTCCTCGTCATTGTCCTCGCCATCCTCATCGTCGCCGTTGGCGTTACTTCCTGCTGCATGCACTTCATCCAGCGGAGACGCCGTAATGCCCTCCGCCAGCGCGTCATCGACGGCCAAGTCGACCTCGAGGCACTCGGAGTCAAGCGTCTGACCGTCCCTCAAAAGACCCTCGACAAGCTGCCCACATATACCTACACCGATGGAGCCCGCCCCGATCCAGAAAAGACGCCACCCCAAATACCTGCCCCAGCACTCATGGACCCCGGCTCCCCCGTACACGCTGAGACGGGCCAAAAACAGTCTCCCGTTATCGGCAGTCCGTCTGCGCATCCCACACCACCCAGTGGGACATCGGCTGCACTGTCCCAGACTACCTGCGCCATATGTATAGATGACTTCGAGCCCAACGAGTCGCAGGTCCGCGAGCTGCCTTGCCGCCACATCTTCCATCCCGAATGTATCGACACCTTTCTCCTCCGCAACTCGTCGCTATGTCCCTTGTGCAAGCAGAGCGTATTACCTGCAGGCGTCTGTCCAATCACCATCACAAATGCCATGGTGCGACGAGAACGATATATCAGTAGTATGCGCGCACGGAGCGAACAGGCCGCCAATCCACAGCCAGATGGCGGACAACCAACTACCGGTGCCTATCAACAGCCCGGCTCACTTGTGGGTCGCCTAAGAGGCGCTCTACCCGCTCGACGCATATTCAGCGCTCCAGCACGCACTTCTTCAAGACCGCCCGATATTGAAATGGCAACCGCTTCTACACGACATGTCTCAGCAACTCTTCCTGCACAAACCCAGCCCACGGGCATGTCACCCGCTACAGCGCCTACCCCACCAAATCCCCTCGAGTGCACGCCTGTGCAGAATAGACGAGAGTGGGCGCGGCAACGCGCCATGGCCATGCTTGGAAACAGACATGTCCCAACCGACGTCGACGACGAGGAAGAAAGAGCGCCTCCTTGGCGCCGTGCGGCTCGCAAAGTTTTTCCAGGGTTCCGTTAGCATATTTTCCTTCAATGATACCGTTTTCTAGGGCTGGGACATGTAGGCGCATTTGGTCTTTACGAAGATATCGCATGGCGTTGGAAGATTTTTGATGAGAGTGCTGGATCGTTCAGGGATATATGGCATATGATGACTGTTTTACCTTGCATTCAACACCCCATAATTTTGAAATATCTTCATATCAAGTTGACAGTTGGTACTCGACGACATACAAGCACTCTGACGTGACGATACTGACAGATCAGAAAATGTATATACAATCTCGATAAAAGTGAATATATACGACAAGAAGATATGCTTCCTCCACTGGACAGAACCCCCCCTCCCCTTCTCGGCAACCCATCACCACGCCTACGCAAGCGCCGTGCAAAGCCCATTATACGCAGCCTTGGCCGTGTACGCATCATCAAACAGCAACGGCGTCGTCGTCGGCCTCCACGAATCCGGGTCCCTAACCCCCCAAACCGTCACACCAACACAGTTACTCACATCCGCACACGCCTTGACAGCCACCTCATAGTCCGCTGCCGCCGCACCCTTGATATCGAGCTCGGTGATGGCGCACTCGGGCGCCGCTGCGCAAATCAACTTCGTCGCGGCCGTAAAGTCGCTCATGGGCCAGTACCCGGCCAGATGCGACTGCGAGCCGATTCCGTCAATGGGCACACCAGCCGCGATCCACTCCTTGACCTTGGCGACCATGGCTTTCGTCTTGGCGTACGAGGGTGAGTCGAGGTTGTAGTCGTTGATGTAGAGTTTGGCGGCTGGGTCGGCGGCACGTGCGGTTTTGAAGGCCAGCGCCACGAAGGATTCGCCTAGTACGTTGGAGAAGACGCTGGGGCGCAGGGTGCCGTCTTCTGCGAATATTTCGTTGACCACATCCTGGGGTTTGTGTAAGTTTGCGTCCTGGAGAGGTAGGAAGGGGAAAGGGGGGAATATCATACCCATGCGTAGACTTTTCCTTTGTACTGGCCTAGCATCTTGTTGATGTGGCTGACCATGACTTGCTCCAGCGTCGCCTTGTCAGTGATGGAGCTCACCCACGTCGGCAGCTGCGAGTGCCATACGGTGGTGTGACCACGGATCATCTTGTTGTTAGTCGTAGCCCAGGCCACCAGCTCGTCGGCTGCGTCCAGCGTATACACGCCCTTTGTGTTCTCGGTGGCGTCCCATTTCATGCTGTTCTCGGGAGTGACCTGGCCAAAGTTGTTCTTTATAATCTGGGCGTTGTCGCCGGCGGCCAGACGACCGCGGTCCGTGGCTACACCGAAGTACTTCTTGCCCGACCCCTTTGCCTTCCAGACTGCGTCAAGGGAGCAAGCGACGCCGTTTGCACCACTGCTAGGCGCCGCGACGGCACTGGTGCGGGTTGACGTAGCGGTCCTGGTCGACAGCGTGGTGGGGACCACAACCGTAGTAGCCTTGCTCGAGGATGCCGGCTTCACGGTAGTAGAAGTCTTCGACGCCGCACCCGTCGTCTCTGCGCCCTGAACACACTGCGAGTACCAGTCGTTGGTCTTGTTGCACCTGTATCCCTGTACGCACGTCGTCTCGCCCGTGTAGCCCTGGCCTCCGCATTGTCCGTAGGCGGGGACAGCTGCGAGGACGCCAGTCGTGGACGTCAAGCCCACGACGGCGAGGTAGATAGGAAGGTCGCGAATGTACATGGCTGCTTGTTTGATCGAATGGTTTGGTGGAAAGAATGTATGTTTAGAAAAGAGTTTGGGGAAGCACGCTTCCAGTGATCAATGAATGAATGAACGAAATGAAGGAAAGAATGAAAGTCGGTATGAGAAAAATGGAACAAACGAAGAACCAGAAACGTGAGAAGAGTTACGACAGGAACAGTCTTATACTAGCTGGGACTTCTGCTAGTACTTGGAGAATGGGTTAACTCTTCAGAGGGGTTGTTTGATGAAACGACGAAACGCCGTCCTGGAGATCATTGACCCGTCATCTTAAATACTCTGCTGCGTGCCGGACTCCAGCACTGTAGCCGAGATTATACCAAGAGGTGACGCATATAGATGGTCGTCGAGAGTGAAATAATTCATGTTAGATGGCATGATTGATTGTGTGTTCTTCGAAAGGAAAACTTATGTTGATCATGGCCGTGTCGGAGGAACGCACGGTCCGTATTCCAAATGGGTCAAATTCTACATGTCTAGATCTAGTCAGAAATGCATACGCCCTATCCCTATTTGAGGTGTTATCCCGAACTGTTTTATCCATATTACCCCCAACTGCCAACAATATCTTACTATTTACACAAGTGAGCGGAGACTATGCCGCAGGCCCAAACATCGTTTAATGATTTCTTAAGCTACACCAAGACGCAGACTGACGGCGCGTCGATGAGCCTCCAACTCCTCCACGCGGGCGAGCTCCATGACAGCAGCGCCAACATTCTCCAGACCTTCTCTGGTGAGGTGAGAGCTGGTAATGTGTTTGACGTAGGAGGCGAGGTTCACACCAGAGTACTGTTTCGCATATCCGTAGGTTGCTGCAAGAATATGTTAGTGATGTCAAAGGATACAAATCAGAGTCACCAAATCTTACGGAGCGAGTGATTGACGCCTGCAGAGTAGTCACCGACACTCTCTGGCGTCCATTGTCCAATGAACACACTGCCAGCATTCTCGACCAGCTCGGCAACGCGCTCCGCCTCCTCGACCTGTAGGATTAGATGCTCTGGCGCGTATTGGTTGCTCAGATCCATTGCTTCCTCCATAGTGTCTACCACCAGTGTAATCGAATGCTCAATGGCGCCCCTGACAATATCAACCCGAGGAAGTGCAATCGCTTGGTTGTGAATCGCATCTTCGATAGCACCAAGTTGAGTCTCGTTGAGACCAACTGCGATTAAAATAACTTGGGAATCCACGCCGTGTTCAGCTTGACTTAGCAGATCTGAAGCAACGAAGGCTGGGTTTGAATCTGCATCCGCAATAACAAGGAGCTCGCTGGGGCCTGCGGGCATGTCGATGCTTACACCAGCATTGGTGTCATTTGAGACGAACATCTTTGCCGCAGTGACAAACTGGTTACCAGGACCAAGAATCTTATCCACTTTGGACACGCTCTCGGTACCATAAGCCATTGCTGCGACAGCTTGCGCTCCGCCTGCGAGCACAATGGCCTCCGCACCAACTTTGTGAGCAACATAGACAACCTCGGGGGTGACTTTGCCATTGGCTCGAGGTGGTGTTGCAAGAACAATCTTTTTGCAACCAGCGACCATGGCCGGCACGCCGAGCATAAGCGCAGTGGATGGAAGGACAGCAGTGCCGCCAGGCACATAGAGGCCGACTCTCTCGATTGGCCGGCAGAAACGTGAGCACACCACTCCAGGCATCGTCTCGACTCTCAATGGCTTATCTTCCTTTTGAGCAGCATGAAACTTGCGGATGTTTTCAAATGAAATATCAATCGCTTTGCGGGTCTCTGGAGCCAGCTGCATGAGTTCCTCGGGGAAAGGTGCGTTCAGAACCGGAGATGTTAGTGAGGTCGCCTTTTCGAACTTGTGGGTATATTCTAGCAATGCCGCATCTCCTCTTGTCCTGACTGCCTCAATGATGGGCTGAGCAATGGCCACAATCTTTTCACTCGATTTCTGCGACGGTCGCTGCAACGCAGCTGATATAGTTTCAGGAGATTCCTTGGCGGTAAAGTATCGCTTCATGGCAATGCGACCGTCCTTCAATCCAGCAGGATCGTCTTTACTCTTAGGTACTGAAGCGGCTTCCTTGACCGCTTCACTGGTACTTGAGCCATTCGTAGTGCCGTTCGTAGTACCATTACTCGTGCCGTTGGTGGCTGCAGCCTGAGCTGCGAAGGCAGGTTTGGCATCACCTCTCCGCCTCTTCACCTTGATACTCTTTGCGTCAAGGTTGCGTTCTACATCTTCCAAAGACACCCCCGCAGATACGCATTTGGTCAAGGCAAAATAGAAGAGGTCGGCAGCTTCGAAAGCAATATCTTGCTTTGTTGTCGCATCGCAGAGTTCAGTAGCTTCTTCAAGAATCTTAGCTCTCAAGAGTTGGGTGTCGTTGAAAAGTCGTGCAGTGTATGAGCCCTCTGGTGCCGAGGCTTTGCGGCTCTGAAGTGTTTTCTGGAGGCGCGAGAGACCGCTGTACTGGCCAAAGCAGGTCGGCGTGGCCAGGTGACAGAAGCCTCTACCTTTTTGTCGCACCACAAACTGCAGACAGTCGTTGTCGCAGTCCAGCGACAAAGAAACAAGTTCTTGAACGTCTCCACTGCTCTCGCCCTTGTACCACAACCCCCGCTTCCGACTCTGGTACACCCCCCTTCCAGTCCTAAGACTTTCGGCCACACTTTCCTCGCTGCTGTACACCAACCCTAGCGCAACGCCTCGCTCGTCAGTTACAAGGGTAGTAAACAAGCCGTCGGGTCGGTCGCTTGTCGCGTTGGCCATCAGAAGCTTCGCGACGCTCAACGCTTCGGGTTCCTTCTGCGCATCGACTGTGAGAAATTCGGCAGGTACGATGGGGATGGCCGAGAGCTTCGAAAACTTCACGACGCTCTCCAAGTCGGGTTTTGCGAAGGATACAAAGACGTCCGGTCTATCCGTTCCATATTCCTTCAGCCATGCCTCGACCAGGGCCATGTCGTCAATCTCATGCGAGTAGATGTCAACCTGTGTACCCGCAATTGCGTCTATGACTTCCTCTTTGGTGTTTCCAGGCAGGATCAGCACCATCCTCTCCTGATCGATGTTCTTGGACATAAGCTCATTGAGCTGGGCACGGTTGACGAAGACCTTTGCGGCGCCTGCATCGAGCAGGGAGACGATGTCGTCCGTGGAGGTAACCGAGGCGACATTGAGGTAGTTGGCGAAGCGGCCTACAGACTGTTGCAGGTGGGATAGGGCTTGGTCGACTGTGTCGTCAGTGATGCGAGCCGAGACATTGCCTACGAAGGACAGGGCCTGGGAATTGAGGCCTTTTGTAGATTCTGCGTGTTGGCTCAAGTCAATTGCAGCAATCAGGGCTGGAGCCATGGCGGGCAGGCTTCTTGTGAATTTACGGATGTCGTGAACAGTCGTGTCAACAGTCAGACAGTGTGAGTCGAATGCAAAAAAGTCTAAATGGGACAAATGTCGAATCATGCGGGGCGGTTTCCGCCCCACCATCGATCGATGACGCCACACGGAACGCATTCATCACGCCAACACGTCCTAGGTGATGTACAACACATGAAATTCATCAAAACATGGACATTCCAAGCTACCTCTCAATTAGTCGAACATGCCTGGAATCAGGAAACCTTCTTCGTAGCAGTACAATACACCTCGACTACAAGATTAAACCATATAATAAAGATTGATGATAGACGTACTCCAGTCATACTCAGAACGGAAAGGTTTTGATAAAGTTTTACAAGCAAACTTCAAGCTATTGTAAGATCTTGCCACAGCTTGGTACCAGATACCTCATATTCAAGACCCTGCCTAGCCATGTGAGATACTCGCGCATATCTAACATTGTATGTAGTTGCCAAGATATCGCAAAGATCGTTCTAGGGGTCGCACCAGGCAGATACTATGCATTTCAAATGAAGATTAAGCTACATCGCCATATTACTACCCCACACCGTAGAGAGTGATCTGAGTAAGCTGACCTCGCGCATGCTGGGCACGACTCTAGTGTCCGGCATGACCGCACGAGTTAGGAGCCGAGGATAAAGAGTGACGCCGGATCGACAGCTTTGTAAATCATCCTAACAGCATTTCTCAACTTTGAAAAACTTCAACCCAACATTGACCTGCACCATGTCCTACTCACCTCCAAGTTCTGCAAAGCCCTTCACCCTCAACATCCCCGAACAAGACCTCTCTGAATGGCGCCAACTCCTCCAACTCTCCAAACTCAGCCCCGATACTTATGAAGGTCGGCAAGAAGACCGCCGCTTTGGCATAACCCGCAAATGGCTTTCCGATGCTAAAGAGTACTGGCTCAACGAGTATGATTGGCGTGCAGAAGAAAAGTACATCAATTCCTTCGCCAACTACAAGATGCAGATCGAGGAGATAGACCTACACTTCCTAGCAATTTTTTCGGAAAAAAAGGACGCCATACCGATTGTCTTCATGCATGGTTGGCCCGGGAGCTTCATCGAATTTTTGCCCATCTGTGCTCTCATCCGCGAGCAATACTCAGCCAAAGACCTGCCCTACCATATCATTGTTCCTTCCCTACCCGGATATACGCTTAGCTCAGGAGGGCCGGTAGATAAGAACTGGACTATGGAAGACACCGCCCGTGTTATCAATCAGTTAATGCTCAACCTGAATTTCGACAGGTATATCGCGCAAGGAGGAGATATAGGCAGCTTCGAGTCGAGGCTCCTAGCTCAAGAGTACGATGCGTGTGTTGGGATGCACTGTAAGTCTCCACCCACGTGAAGGAGAAGCTCTGAGCGTATCCTAACTCGTATCACCAGTAAACATGATGAGAGTCGCGGACAAGCCAGACGAGTCCACCCTCAGCACTCTCGAAAAGAATGCCCTGGATTACGCCACAAAATGGCAGGCTACAGGCACTGCCTACGCTCAGGAACACGCCACCCGCCCGAGTACAATCGGACACGTCTTATCCTCAAGCCCTCTGGCTCTTCTCTCGTGGTGAGTTCCCATCAAGTGTATCTTCCATCTACCTATATCATCACTAACTCATTGAAGGATCGGCGAAAAGTTCGTCGAATGGTCAGACACCGACCCTCCACTCTCAACAATCCTCACAAATATTTCGCTTTACTGGTTTACATCCAGTTTCCCGCGCTCCATCTATCCGTACCGCCAGATATTTGTTGAGCGACGCCCAAGACTTGAGTTTTGCAAGAAGCCCACCGGGTTCTCCTTCTTCCCGCGTGAGCTGGCCCCGGGGATCAAGAGTGTTTTGGAGAAGAACTGTAACCTGGTGTCATACTCGACACATGAGCACGGGGGTCATTTTGCGGCACTGGAGATGCCTAAGGAGTTGTGGAGCGACGTTGAAGAATTTGTAAAGCTGGCCTGGAAGAAGGTATGAGTGCTCCGGCTGAGTGCCAGGGGACGCGTTGGCTGACGGGTTCCTAGCACGGGGATTCTAAAGAAACGTCAAGGCTTTAGAGGGCTCCGCTTGAGGCTATTCGTGCGAATATGGTAGATACTAGGATCAATCAACAATTGTTTCATCATGGGGTTGATATTTGCAGGGTAAACTGCTGCCGAGCACGGCACACACGCCGTGTGATCGACAAACAAATCCTATGCATGCCAAGTCCGACCACGTCGGACGTCCGTCCGTCACCGCCTCGGCTTCGTAAACTCAACTCTACACCTGGCATCGTGACATCTCGGCCCATTGTAAGGATACGCTACCAGAACAAGCTTGGTTTAGTCGGTGATTCGCTACATCTGTACGCGTAACGCGAATTACCATTCGTGGAATTCTGGTGGGGTAAACACGGCCGTCTCTCCGCATGGGACTGCAACATCCACCACCCCGCGGTGCCATTGATTGTGTGCAATGAACATTGAGCAGCTGATGTGTGATTTTCAAGCTAACATGTCCAGTCTTGGCTTCTTCTCTTTTACTCCTGTCTTGTTATACTTCTCCCTTTCTTCCCACCCTTTCAACCAGTTATCACACAATCTCCCAAGATGAGCACAACAACAGTAACAGAAGTCAAGCCCACCAAGGCAAACATTGGCGTCTACACAAACCCTGCACACGAGCTATGGGTCGCAGAAGCAGAGCCGAGTCTGGAAGAGGTGCAGAAGGGCGGAGACCTCAAAGTAGGCGAGGTTCTTTTGAACGTGAAGAGCACGGGAATTTGCGGCAGTGATATCCACTTTTGGCATGCTGTAAGTACTCTCCTCATCATATTCTTTGTCTAGACGACAAGGGGCAAGAAAACAGGTACTCAAAAGGCCATGCTGACATGGCAACTCAGGGCTGCATTGGCCCCATGATCGTAGAAGACACGCACATCCTCGGCCACGAATCGTCCGGCGTAGTCATGGCCGTCCACCCGTCCGTCACATCCGTCAAGCCCGGCGACCGCGTGGCCATCGAGCCAAACATCATCTGCCACTCCTGCGAGCCCTGCCTCACAGGCCGCTACAACGGCTGCGAATCTGTGCAATTCCTTTCCACACCCCCCGTTACCGGGCTGCTGCGCCGCTACCTCAAGCACCCAGCCATGTGGTGCCACAAGATGCCCGACAGCATGACCTTCGAGGACGGCGCGATGCTGGAGCCGCTCAGCGTAGCGCTCGCGGGTATGGACCGCGCAAATGTGCGACTAGGCGATCCAGTCGTGGTGTGTGGCGCGGGACCCATCGGCTTGGTAACACTGTTGTGCTGTGCGGCTGCCGGCGCGTCGCCGATTGTCGTAACAGACATTGACGTTGGGCGCCTGGAGTTTGCAAAGAGCCTCGTCCCCAGCGTTCACACACACAAAGTCGAGTTCACACACACACCGGATGATTTCCGAGCTGCTATTCTCAAGCTTACGGATGGCGTTGAACCGGCGATTGCTATGGAATGCACAGGCGTCGAGAGCAGTATTGGCAGCGCGATCCAGACTGTCAAGTTCGGCGGGAAGGTCTTCGTCATCGGCGTGGGTAAAAACGAGATGAAGATTCCGTTCATGCGATTGAGCACACGGGAGGTCGACCTGCAGTTTCAATACCGGTACTGCAACACATGGCCCAAGGCAATCCGGCTGGTCAAGAGCGGTGTGATTGACTTGAGTAAGTTGGTTACCCATCGGTTTAAGCTGGAGGATGCTGTTGAGGCTTTCAAGACCGCGGCAGATCCCAAGACAGGGGCAATCAAGGTGCAGATTCAAAGTCTAGACTAAGGGGTGAGGGGGCTCAGCATGTTGTCTGGAGTTGCTGGTCTGGGGAAGAGTTACGCGTTATGAATAGAGAAGAGTGATGCATGTCGCAGTATAGAGACATACCATTCTCGAGGCGTTGCTATAGGTTTATGATCTGGGGAAAAAATTATAAGCATTGATACTCGCTTGCACTGGTCGACTGGCATGACTTTGACGAAAAAAGCTCCTGATCCTGAAAATCGCACCTTTCAAAAGAAAATCGCACCAATCCCATGTCCGACACCGCCAGAGCATTGTTTCCAATCCAGCCATTGATAATGGTATACACTAAGAGATCTTTAAGGTAAAAGCGCAAATGTAGTGTTTCATCATTCATTATCTACACGAAATCTCCCAGCCAGTCCGTGGACTTGGTCTGTCAAATCATGCTACTCTACTATCTACCAAAATCCCTAGTACTTGGTGAGTTCCGGGCTGCCCTCGCACGCCGGGAAACTGAACTTGGTCTCCACAAACACCTTCTGCATGCCGTCCTCCTTAGCCTCAAACTTGTAGTACACCTTGTCCAGATCCTCAAGGCGCACACGATGTGTTACCATCTTCAAAGGCTCGATCTGCTTGTCCTGGATCATCTTAAGGAGCGACTCCCAGTATAGGTGCACGGGTGCTTGGCCGTTGCCGATGAGGCGGATGCCACGCTCCATGAGTGAGCCGATGTTGAAGTGGTTTGTCTACGCGATTGTCAGTGGAGTTCAACGGTGAGCGTACAACTGTAGAAGTACTTACGAAGCCAACATATACACCAGTGATACCACAGCGACCGAAGTTTCTCGTGCTGGTGATCATCTCGTTAACCAGCTCGCTGGTGTCTGTCTCCAAGCCTAGCAACATCTCGAAGTAGTGTGCCCATCCCTTCGCGTACTCGCCAGCCGCGCACTCGATGCTGACGTCTGGGCCGCGGTCGTTGCACATCTCCTTCAGCTTGCTTGTTACCGACTCGCCCTTGCCCAACTTGGAGAAGTCGATCGTCTCGATGTGTGGGTATGTCTTCTGGACAAAGTCGAGCCTCCAGTTTGAATCGATCATGATGACTCGAGAAGCGCCATTAAGTAGAGAGAAGTCTGCAGCCATTTGTCCGATGGGACCGGCGCCCCAGATGGCTACCACATCGCCCTTCTTCACTCCCGTGTCGACAACTGCGTGCCACGACGTGCACAGTACATCGGAGAGGTACAGGGCCTTCTCATCAGGCACATCATCGGGGATAGGGAGGAGGTTGACGTCGCCGTAAGGAATGCGGGTATATTCCGACTGGCCGCCGGCAAAACCGCCTGTGAAATGCGAATAGCCGAACATTCCTGCCGTTCGACCACCGTACATGGCGTTTTCGACTGTGTTGGCGTTTGTCTTTTCGCATTGTGATGACAACTTCTGCTTGCAGTAGTAGCAGTCACCGCAAGCAATCTGGAATGAAGCCACTACACGCTGACTACGAGGTTGTTAGTAATGCAACAATGGAAGATATCGAAGGTAGGACATACCCCTTTGCAAACTTTGTAACCCCGCTACCGCACTCGTCGACAATTCCGCAGAACTCGTGTCCCAGAATGTCGCCCTTTTGCAACTCCACGACAGTTCCATGGAGTAGGTGCAAATCAGATCCACACACGGTTGAACCAGTGATCTTGATAATGACATCGCGAGGCTCAAGAATTCTGGGTTTCGGTGTGTCAATCATCTCGACTTTGCCCTTTCCCATCCAGGCAAGGGCTTTCATCGACACTGACTTGTCACCCCATTCTTCCTTGTTACCAGGGTTGGTGACATCTTGTATAGTCGTTGCGTTGTCGTCGTGGCCGACGGCTTGTTCGACCTTGAAGGCTGCCTGGGACATCATCTTGGGCGAAGGTTGTTGTGTATACTGTAAGGTTTTGGTGGGGTATCACAATCGCAGAGAAAATGTGACAACAGTAGTGAATTGGGTTGTGTGCACCTCCAAGGCAAGGGAGCTGCCTCTTTTTCTACAAACACAAGCTATGACATAGCTATAACATCGTGCGGTTAATATCGTGGCTACCCCACCACCAGGCCTGGCGACATGTGGATCTTACTCGCCCGTGTAGGTATAGAGGGGCTCGGAGGGGTACTTCGGACGTCATGACTTCACCAGGCAGGTCACAAGTCCGGCAAATGGTTTGTGGACAGTGAGATGGGATTTTGGCCAAATGTCATGTTGATGTAATTGCCTGGCTAGCGTGATGATGAGCGTTGGAAACGGAGGATTGGAAATACGAACTGGCGGCTTGGTCAGCACGCAACGTGAATATGTGAACGGTATAAGAGCGGGTTGCAGGCATTATATGGCAAGTAGATGAGAACCTTGATGGATGCGGCCACGCTACTGTAGGAAGATGAGGCGTTGATTATGCACTGAGGACTCCCAGACTGCATACTCGCAGGCTCGAGGAAAACCTGGGCGGTGGATCCATCGGGAGCCGGCACAGACGCGTCAAGTTCGTGGTCTCGTCGCCCAGACTGCTGACACGCTCAAATCGCGTCGTCCATCGACGCGTTCTGCGCACCCGGCCTGTCAAAAGTTGTTTAGTATGCCATGTCTTTTTGTTGTCAATCACATGTCGTCACGTCTCTCATCTCGCGGCAGCGACAAGAACTTTCAATCTTCCTCAATCCATCGCGCAAGGCAACGGGATCAATGAAAATAGGCCAACAGGCAGTCCAGCAAAAATTGCCCCAGTGAAGCCCCCGAAGGAGATTCATGCTCAGACCTGTCCTCGCTGTACAATGAAGCAGATCCAAACAGATCGACTGAAAGCTTGAGCTCAGTGATCCCAAGAAGGCTGCAGGTTGTTAGCAAATCTGAAAAGTTTTGGGGTGGTTGGGAAATGCGTACTAAGTATAATTTTTCAAAATAGCCGGCTTCGAAAACGCAGCCTTTAAGCTCGAGAATGCTTGGCGCGCTACTTTCTCACGTGATGGAGCTAGCCACATACACGGCTCAGCCCCGGGCCGGTCGGGTTAGCTTCGGCACAGCTTCGGCACATTTTGCGGGCGGGCCTTGCGAACTTTGCAGCAATTGCACGTTGCTCCCTTGCCCGCCTCGCATCAACGAGCGTCACCGGTGAGAGGGTGAGAGATGATCTTGAGACAGGTAAGACGGCTCTCTATCTTTGTGCCTGCTCTGGCGTCTACTCGACAATGGTCAGCTTTCAATGGATGGTCCGCCTGTCTGTGTGTCTGGCTACACAGCTCGAAACCTTCCATTGAGATTAGCAAAGCTCCATAGTATACGCCAGGCTGCACTGCCTCTACCCAACTCCAATGATGAACAAAATTTAACATTAGAACCGTTGCGGATGACGCTCTCGGGCGGTTGATTTCACAACTCTTGCACATTTCTGATCCTCATATCACACCCGCGTCTTCTCAATTCTATCTTTGCATTGAAGCTGACGAGCCAAGGAAACATGAGTAGGAACGCCTTCAGCTTTCTCCGTCCGTATCAGCTTCGAGGCAGCCGGTCCCTCAAGCCGGAGCACGCTCGAGCATATCTATCTGTTCAGCGACGCTCCATCCAAACCTTGGCTGCCGACGAATACACCGGTCCGCACGATGTCGAAAAGCAGAAGCGGATTGACCAGCTGAGGAAGGTCAAGCCCCTGGGGGACTATCATCCGCGAATGGTCTATCCCACGGGCGCCGACAGCCTCTCACTCCGAGACTTCCACGCAAAATATGAAGGCATACAAGAGACAAAGCCTGATCTTGTATCCGTGTTTGGTACGATCTGTGATCCGTGGATATGTGACTTGGGTGTTAACAGCTTCAGGAAGGGTTCGATCAGTGCGGTCGCTTGGATCCAAGCTCATGTTCCTCGACATCGAGAGAGACACACAGCGGTTGCAAGTCATGGTGGAGCTGAAGAAGCTCAGCGCCCAAGACGGTCTTGACGAGGGTTTCAAGGACTTCAAGAAGATGATTAGAATAGGTGATTGGGTTTGTAAGTGGTGTTGCTCTGTGTCCAGTTTTCAATCGCTAATTTGTGGTAGCCATTACAGGGAACCCTACCAGCACTTCGACGGGACAGCTTTCCGTGCTCGCCCAACAAGTGCCCCATGTTCTCGCGCCCTGCCTGCACCACGTCCCTGAGAAAGTCGACAACGCTGAAACGCTTGCTCGACGACCTCACATACACCAGCTCACAAGCAACGAACCCGGCGATGTGCTTAGGCTTCGAGCGCTGATATACGACTATGTGCGGACGTACTTCATACAAAGCGGTTTCCTGGAAGTAGAAACTCCAATATTTGACGTCAACGCTGGAGGCGCTATCGCGCGACCATTTGAGACTGTCGCCAACGAGTTATCCAACATGTCTGTCAGACTCAGGATAGCACCCGAGCTGAACCTTAAGCGATTAATCGTTGGAGGACAAGACAAGATCTTCGAGATCGGTCGCGTCTTCCGGAACGAGGGTGTGGACAATACTCACAATCCCGAGTTTTCGACATGCGAGTTCTATGAAGTAGGGGCAACGCTCCCTGCGCTGATTGAGAGGACCGAGCAGCTGGTACATGGGCTTCACACTGCGGTTGAATCGCTTAGGTCGACATACTTTCCGTCGCTAGCCGCGGCCTCAGAAGATGTCGATTTCTCTCAACCGTTCGCACAACTACCTTTCATCTCTACCATCGAGAAAGCTAGCGGTCGCCAGCTGCCCGACCTGTCTTCAGCAAATGCCTCGACGGAGCTGCTCGGAATGTTCGATACTCTCGGCCTTGCTGTGCCTCCAAACCCCACACTTCCTCGTCTCCTCGACACTCTTGCAGAGCATTACATTGAGCCACTTTGCAAGAATCCAACATTCATCACGCAACACCCCGAGGCCTTGTCGCCGCTCTCGAAGTCGTACCTTGACGAGGCAACCGGTCAACGTGTCGCCTCTCGTGTGGAACTGTTCATCAATGGACGCGAGTACGTAAATGCGTACGAGGAGGAAAACTCGCCATTCGAGCAGCGACGGAAGTTCATGCAACAGCAGCAATTTCATCCAGAGGGCGAGGGTGCGATCGACGAGAGCTACCTCGAGGTTTTGGAATGGGGTATGCCCCCAACAGGAGGCTGGGGATGTGGCCTGGACCGGCTAGTGATGCTCTTCGCTAACAAAAAGAGGATTGCCGATGTGTTGCCTTTCGGCACACTGAGGAACGTCGTCAGTATTGCTAAGACTATATGAGTAGTGTATTTCATTCGGAAGCGAGACAATGGATCGATTACGAAGTATACGAACGCATGCAACAAATCCTACTAGACGTTCTTCAAACTGGCAATCGTCAAACATTATCAGGACATCCTTTTTCGCTCTCATGCTTCCCGACAACGTGTGTCTCAAGGCATGTCACCCCAAGCTTCCTTCCGAAGCGGCTCAACCTGTCAGTGTTAGAGAACTGCCTGTCATCACCGAGAACCAAATGTCACTGTCAGAGTTGGTGAACAAAGCAAGTCTAAGCGGGCTTTCTCGAAGCATAGAACGTTCGAGCAAGAGGCAACAAGAGCTTTTGTGGTATGAAACAGCAGATGCCTCAGTCACAGGTAGTGACGTCTGGCATCACGTCCAGCGTCACAATGCGTTGCCGCTTCGATAGATGATTTGGTTATGGGTCAGTTCGGTGAGGACTGATTTTGCTAGTATAGTCTGCGATTGGTAGTATACTACTAAATCAAAACTGATTGAGGTGACATAATGCAATCAATGCTGGTAAATGCCATTTTGAAATCTCTAATCGCCACCCTGTCATTACATTACTCCTCAAACGCCTCCGTCTGCCACAGTGAAATATGAAATGACCATCGAATGGCCGATGGTTGGGTATATGTCGTCTACATGGATCGTCGCTGAAATGCCAAGAACAAAGAAATCTAAACAGAAGGGAAATAAGTGCTACGCGCCTTGTTTCCGATTGCTCGAACGCTTCGGTAGTGTCCATGGCTCAGGACATACGATCTAGGACGTGTTAGTATTGAATTCTCATATCTTAGGAGCGCGTTAAACATACCTCGCCTTCACTAAACGCCCAGAAATATGCCCCCATGCCAATGATGTAGTACAGCCCCGCGTTCGTCCCTTGGTAGATCAACAGCGCAACGAGAGCGCTCAAGGGGTACACTACAAGGCGGGCCTCGATGGAGCGGTGTAGACCGGTGCCTGCAAGGAGTGGTAATGGCCATTCCCACGCAAGGCCTACAATGCCGCATATGACGTTGAGAATTTGCAGAACTGGTGCGTCGGTGACGGCGCCGTCGAGGTTTTTTGTTAGGAAGTCCCAGAAGATCTTTGGCCAGAAAAATGCTTCTATTGCGGCGGCGATTTGATCTGGTATGCGATTAGATCATGTTCGACAAGGCATGCATCACGAAATGGATCAACTTACATGCAGCAGCTGTGAGGATCACCAGGCGCGCCCAGTGGTTTTTGATCAGCTTGCCCATTGCGACTGATGTTTGAGTCCAAGTCGAGATAGAGAGAGGATGTAGGTGAATGAAAGTGATATATGTTGGAAATTCCGTAAGGAGTAGGCAATCCCTTTTAATGAATGCGATTCGATGACTGGTTGCCACGAAAGAAATCAAATCCAGGGCAGCTATGTGACTTTGATATACGCAACGCGGCAAGTAGTGGTCACTCTCAGGTAGAAGTTGGACGTGTCTCAGGCGTCGTTAGTTGTTCAGGCGCGGTCTTTCACTCCTTGAATTCGACACAATTTTCGTCTCAGCGGAGAATATGACAGAAAGACAGCGGGAGGGTGCGGCATGTTGTAAAGGGTTTATGCGCCGGGGTCTTTTGGGTTGGGGATGTGTAGCCGCTGGGTTCGTGGACCCACCCCGCATCACAGTGTGCCTGGGCATTCTGATTGGCTGTATGCATGTCGAAGCCAGCCTCTCTGCAGCACGAATCCCGTCGTCTCGGATGGCGCTGTGGACAGATTCGGTCAATCAGTTGCGGTGTCTGGGTGCATAGCCAGGGTGGCGGTCGCGTAAAAATGAGTTAGAGATTCACGTGGTTGCGTGACATGAAGAGAACATACGCTCGTTGGAAGTCGCTACCAATATGCCACTGTGTCGGTGAACTTGACATCGGGACTATCGATGGCGTCTTTGGCTCTTTCACGATACCCATGAGTCAAAATCCTGTCTCTGATCGAATATGCAATTCTCCGCATGTACCACACACAAGCTGCCTCATAGGTGATTGATCGCTTTTTAGCAATTCTGGGAGAACGGCATAGCTTCCAAGACTCCTGATACTTCAGGCACGCGGATCAAACGACAGCTGCCCAAGGGCTCGTCGAAGCTCTCTGTGTACCGGAGTTCATGGTGTTAAATTCCGGTTCCTGATTGGAAAGTGCACGATATCATGATCCCTTCCCAAGCAGTCTGGCCCTCTTTCGATCACTCAGCACACCGTTATCCTGCCCAGTTCATAGCGTTATCACATCTCAACCCGCATAAGCTTCTTGGATGTGCCTCTGTCAGGGCTGCAAACGGATGGCTTTATCACAGCCTAAGGTCAACCTAGCAGTATGGCTTCCCCATCCACGATGCCGGCATTCGGCCATGAGATTGACCTCCACGTTGAAGCGGCACTAAAATAGTGGCGGAACCTGCACATGTACAGATCGCACAGCCCGGTACCTGGCCCATTCACCGAGGAGACCCTGAGCGCTTCGCAGCCCACTCAGATTGGCTCTCGTTTGACCGCCGACAAGCCCGGCTAGTTGTGTGCTACCAACCACAACCCCGAGAGGCTTCAGAGCCATCGACTCTGTGCTTGTCTCTACGCCTCGGCGGCTCCAATGAATATGGGCGTCGTATGCTCGCACCGGCAATCCTTTTGTGGTCCTGTAAGCCTTCTGTGCAGCGCTTCTGTGCAGGGGGCCTCAGCCTGGAGTCGATCGCTGCATACATACGCTGCAAATAGGCCCGCATCACCACTTTGCCGTGCTGCTAATCCCGTCTTAACTTTTCGCGTGTAACGACCTTCCCAAGACACCACGCTCTCCCGCCCGACCAAATCCTTTACGCGTGTCTACGCCTGTTCACGTCACAGCCTCGGACGCCTATCGTCTCAACATAACACGTCGTAGCAGGAATATCACTAGAAAGTCATTTCAAGAAACACAAGAGCTTGAATACACGGGAAGTCGAGTTTAATCAGCCAAAAAAGTGTCGCGACAGCTCGGGCACATCTACCAAGGGCAGTTGTCGACTCGTACATCTGTCAAAATTGGAGAAATCCTGGTTTCTGAAGGCTCCTACAACACACCCTTACGAAGATCGCCCCGCACAAGATCGTTTTAGCTACGCCGCACACCAGCATTCTATTGAAGATCTTGAGGCTCAAAATACTCCGCCTAAGCTACAAGCAGATAATGATTTTATGCCTGGCGCTTCAGGTTTGAGACACACCTCATACATCGGCGCTTGTCGTATGGGCACCAACTGTCACCACGCTCGTCATCTCACAACCGCTGGGTCAGCATCTGTAAGATCGAGAATACCTCACCACTACCTGTACACCGACTGTTCCTGACTGCTACGGACTGTCACCCGTTTCGGATTTGCCGATATACCGCAAACCACCGGGGTACGGATTTGTGCTACACCCATCGAGAGTCTGCCGGTTTCAGCGCGACCTGCCGCTCCATTCTGAATCACAAGGTTCTCCTCCAATTCTACTGATCTGCCTCTTTGGCAGCTTCAACGGCTTAACGGACGATACCCTTGTTGTCCTGCAGGCATTCAGTAGTCCTGCCTAACACCACCACATCGCCCGTCCCTGGACGTCGACGTGCTCTCATCCTCTTCCTATCTGGCTGGCCAGTTCCAACCTCAACCCAAATTGCCCTTTCCTGTTCGAGATCATTATTCCTGGGCGCACACTCTAATCATTTGGTTTAATTTGCTCATCGTCAATTGATCGGTGGCTCACACCTGTCCTTAGACATAAAGCATCTCGAGAAAGGCACTGCTACACTTTATCACAATGAGTGCAAACTCGGCAATGTTGTCGCGATTTTTCACGCCACGAAAACTTGCTTTCTATTTCTTCTTCTGGGGGTTTCATTTTATGTTATTCGCCATAGGATGGTAAGATTCCGAGACTTTATACTATGTCAACGAAATACTGATGCTGCCACAGGTGGAAGCAACAAGCGGATGCTCGCCTAGCTCCACTTAATGCCCTTCAGTACTCAGTATGGCTGTCTCGAGGTGCTGGTTTAGTCTTGTCGGTCGACACAATGATCATCATTTTGCCCATGTCCAGAAACCTCCTCCGGTGGCTTCGACCGAAGGCCAGATGGCTACCTCTCGACGAGTCGCAATGGTTCCATCGACAAGTGGCCTACGCTATGCTCTTCTTCACAGTAATCCATACCTCAGCACATTACGTCAAGTAAGTGATATATGATACCCTGACACAGTTCAAAACTAATCTTCGAAGCTTTTACAATGTCGAGCGTACCCAAGTACGACCTCAAATTGCCCTTCAGATTCATTACACCGAGGCTGGCGGCATAACCGGACATATCATGTTACTGTGTATGCTCTTGATTTACACCACTGCGCATCACAGGATTCGACAGCAATCGTTCGAGACTTTCTGGTATACACATCACTTGTTCATTCCGTTTTTGCTCGGAATGTACACACATGCAACGAGCTGCTTTGTACGCGATACAGCTCCAGCCTTTTCTCCATTCGATAAGAAGAATTTCTGGAACCACTGCCTTGGCTACGAGGGCTGGCGATGGGAGCTTGTTGGCGGTGGTATCTATCTGTGTGACCGACTATACAGAGAAATCCGTAGCAGGCGCCAAACCCAGATTGTCAAGGTCGTTCGTCATCCATATGGTGAGTAGATTTCCCAACTGCTGACATAACTCAAAACTAACTGGAAACAGACGCTGTCGAAATCCAGTTCACAAAAGCAAGCATGAAGTACAAACCTGGACAATGGCTATTCCTCAACTGCCCAGAAGTCAGCTACCACCAGTGGCATCCATTTACCATTACATCTTGCCCACATGACCCCTATGTCTCAGTCCACGTTCGACAGGTCGGCGACTTCACGCGCGCCCTTGCCGACGCGCTCGGAGCCGGACCGTCCCAGTCTAAGTATTACGACGAGCTCGACCCTTCGGGCATGTACGAAATCGCCTTGGAACACGGACAAGAAATGCCAGCCTTGAAAATCGACGGGCCCTACGGAGCGCCAGCCGAAGATGTCTTTGAAAACGAAGTCGCAGTCCTCATCGGTACTGGTATTGGCGTTACACCATGGGCATCTATCCTCAAGTCAATCTACCATCAGCGTCTCAGCCCCAACCCACCTAAGCGTCTTCGTCGCGTGGAGTTCATCTGGATCTGCAGAGACACAAACTCTTTTGAATGGTTCCAATCATTACTGTCCTCACTCGAAGCACAGTCCTTGGGCGGAGCAGATGGAAGCGAGTTCTTGCGCATACATACATATCTTACGCAGAGAATGGACGCCAATACCGCGCAGAACATTGTTCTGAACTCCGTTGGCATGGACAAAGACCCGCTCACAGAACTGAAGTCCAGAACCAACTTCGGGCGTCCAGATTTCCAGCGCCTGCTTGGTGGGATGCGTGATGGCATCCTGGATCGCTCGTACATGAACGGTCTAGAGGGAGGCCTTAAGACCGAGGTCGGTGTGTACTTTTGTGGTCCTAATGTGGCTGCGAGAGATATCAAGAAAGCATGTAAGATGGCGACGTGTCGAGAGGTGGACTTCAAGTTTTGGAAAGAACACTTCTAGAACTTTGTCCATCACAATGAGTGCAAGACTTGAAGGGGAAATGTCAATAATTACGATTACCAGGGAGCACAGGCGCAAGGTATCGAGCGCTCTTGAGTTATCGCTACTGAGTAAGACTTTGTACAAATGGGCGGGTCTTGTTTGGTCGGAATGGATGAATGATGTTTTGATTTTTAGCAAGCGGATACCCGCGAGATAGATATGAATGTATTATTGCGCACTTCAAACTATTTCGCTCTCAGCTCTTCACTGTCAAAGTCCTATTCTATCTTGAATCATCTCATCCTCATCACTGTCTCTCATACCATCAAGGGTTTACCTACGACATGACACATGTCAATCCACATACACATCTGCCTGCCGCATCGCTTGGTCCAGACTCTCGGTGAAGCCGACATCCAGACACGCGGGGAGACGGAAGCGGATACTGAAACGCTGACAGCATGACTGTCAGTCATGCGGCATGTGGGGCGATATAGCCACAAAAGGCAACAAGACAGTGGAGTTTGTTGGGAGGCAGACGCGGATGTGTAAAGATCCGAACGGTAAGGCGTCCCCTTTACGCGCGCGACAAAGTCTGGCTGCAGATTATGAGCACGTGTATGCGCTCGAAAGGCTGACTCGGGGGGCGTACATTAGCTCGTAGTAGGGCTATTAGGGTGCATGTGGTGCGGTGACCTCTTCTATGTATGTGTGTATGTATGTAAGAGGCACAGAGGATGTGGATACGTCTTTAAGGCGGGCGTTGAAGTTCTAGGCGCGTAGAGATGGGATTAGACGAGAGGTGTGATCCTTGGAGCGTAGAGGTAGGGCGTAGCAGAATGTTGCAATGTGTAATCTGATGGTATGGTGTGAGACATGGTGGGTTCCTACACAACGTAACTGGTTGATAGCAGCATGGTGGCTTCGTCGTAGACTGGACCAGAGTGTATCAACTCGTATTCCTGCTTGATCTTCCCAAAATTAGTCTTGTTCTATGCTTCGTAATAGTACCTCGAGGTACAATCTTGTCCTCGCATTTTTATCATGTCCTCAATATAGTTTGTCGACTACCTCGTAAGGGTCAACCCCCGTGTCACATGCGGCAAAAGTGAAGCGACCGAGTCGCAAGATGATAGGCTTTTGTGTCTTTGAGTAAACAAACTATCTCCCCAGGGTTGGAAATACCTCAAATGCATATCCAAGTTTGGCAAATCAAGATCCTGAGTGTAGTCAACAATGTTACGATTCGGACCAGCTCTTCCCGATCTCCAAAGTCATTGAGAGGGACTTTTCGGAGTTGTTGATTGCGCACTGCGTACCGCTCCTCAAATAATGTGTAGTAGTTTGATACCCGGTCTGTCCAGACGGACTTTTGTATGGCTGGCACTGGACGTCAGGACGAGGGAACCGCGTCTTGGGATTTAGATGAGATGCCCTGCCCGTCCAGAGGGGAAGTACATGGGCGTGTCACCGCATAGTATGACGTGGTCAAGGGCCCATGTGTTGTGTCTTCTATCCAAGAAGTTGAAGAGTCGGCATTGCCAAACTCTGACATAGTCATTTGCATATTGAACAACTTCACTCAGCCCGTGACGGTTACCAACGTGCATGATAAAAGGAAAGACGTCTTGGCGAACGTTCTCCGGAGTCGCCGTATTGCTTGGGTCTTTTTGAGACAGAACCACGAATTCAATTCTCCGAAGTCAATCTCTCTGGACAAGCAACATGTACAATGCATAAACTCGTAACGATCGCCCAAGCTCATTCCGTCTGACCAGATCCAAACAACCCCTCTCCTTCCCACTCCCTTCCACTCTCCACATCAACGCGCCGCTCTTCGTTCTCCACCTTACCACCAACATCCTCAGCCACATCACTGCTTTCATCGCCCACTACCCCCTCCGTCTCAAGGTAAGCAGGCGGCGCCAATTCCTTGCCCTCGCCCTCGACCCAGACTTTATTTAGTTCGTCCTCAATCTCCTGCCTTCTCTGTTTCCATTCCTCCACCTTGGCCAGTCTCTCGCGCAGCTCGGCAAGTTCCTTCTCGACGGACAATTTCTCCGACGCAGTGCCGATGCGCTGGAACTCCCATTCCTCGCCGGACTCGCCCATGCCGAGGGTGAGGGTGTATGTGTGGTAGCGTTTGAGGGAGGCGCGGGTGGAGATTGTTATGAGTGCTGCTTCGAGTTAGTATACGGAGACATAGACACGAGGTTTGGAGATGTGGTAGTCAACAAGAGAATGGAAAGAAGGGAGACATACTGATACCCTTGGCCTTGCACATCTCATACAAAAGGCCCTCCACATCACTTGACACAGCGCTCGTCCCTTCGTCTATAAAGGCATACCGCGGCTCATGGTACAGCAGCCTTGCAATTCCCATTCTCTGCTTCTCACCCCCACTGAAAACATCCTTCCACACTTTCTTGGTGTCCCAGCCGCCTTCCCGATCGGGCAAATAGCCCAACCTCGCCTCCTCGAGTATCTTGCTGAGCTCATGGTCGCTGCGTCCGGCGTCTTTCATATCAACCGCTGTATGCGGGTAGATGACTTGGTCACGCAGCGTGCCCGTGCTGAGATACGGGCGCTGAGGCAGGAACATGATGCCGTCGACACCGACGCTGCGTGGCCGAGAGACGAGACCGCGATATGTAGGCCAAAGACCGGCGACGATACGGGCGACGGCGCTTTTACCGACACCGTTGGGGCCCGTGATGAGGAGGTGTTCGCCCGAGTGTACGATGAAGGATAGGGACTCGAGAAGTTCTTCGCCGCCCATGGGGTGCAGGGCGGGTGCAACGACAGGCACGTGTTCGAGACGCAGGCCATCGAAGCCTTTGTGCACTGTGCCTTGAGCGTCGGAGACAGAGTATAGTTCTGGCCGTGTGCCGGGAGGTGGGTAGTAAGCGTCTGCGTGGACACGGTGGAGTGTGCTGATCAGTGTGTAGACACGGGATGTGTAGCCAGCGAGCTCAGAGAGGTCTTTGATCGAGTACATCATGCGGCCGCCTGCATCGGCCAGGGAGAGCATAAGGCGTTTGTTTGTGATAAAATCCTTCATGCGATTCCGCTCTCGGTATTCTCTCTCTCCACCTGCCAGCTCGGGAGTGCCGCCTAGACCGCCCCATGCTGGGAGGAAGACAGGAAGGGATGTGATGAGGTAGCCGAATGCTGACCAGGAGTATTTCAGTACAAAGTCCTCCAGCATGTTGTAGCGAATCTTGAGGCTGTAGATGCCTTCCATCCAGTGCTTAAGGTCCTTGAAGCCGCGCTCGAGGAAGTGTTTTTCCATTTGGTCGCCGCCGTAGAAAGCGACTTCTTCTGCGTTGGCAATTAGGCGCGAATGCAGGGCACGGAAATCTCCTTCCCTGCGCCCTTCAACTGCCTTCAGCTTGCCGAAGGGTGGTGATAGTCTCCGTAATATTGTTGCTGTCAGGAAGTAGTTGCTCAGCAGACCAGTCAAAGCCAATGGGCCCAGTGATCGGAAGAGCTGATAGTTGAACACACACAGATCGACAAACGGCTTGCCCAGCGACGAGTACAACGACGCAGCGCTGGCGCAAAACAGCGTCAAGTCCTGCGTGATGTACTGATCCGCGCCCAGTCCCACTCCGCCATCCAAGTTTGACAACTTATAGTAGTTCAGCTGATCGTTCAGGTACAAGTCGTGAATGTACCGCGTAAGCCTCGTTCGAAACGCAATCGAGACCTTGCTCTGCAGAAACTTGATCATCGCGTTTGTGTACGACGAAAAGGTGCCGACACCAAGCCACTTGCATATGCCCCATAGGAAAGCCTTCCCGTTGCCTGCGACCAAATCCCTCACAATCTCTCCATCCAAGCGCGCCACGATCAGCGAGAGGTAGGTCCTCAGCATCAGAAAGACACCATGGCTGACCAACAGACCCGTCTCTTTGCTGTTCCACCGTGGTATCATGATATTCAGAAGACTGAGAAACTGGTGCAAAAAGGCGAGATTCAGACCAGGCTTCGTCTGCGGCGGCGGCGCTTGCGGGTTGCTCGCATCGGGCATGCGGGCGGCACGTGGAGGCTGGAGGAAGAGCCTTCTATGCGCGTCAAAGGTAGTCTGCTTGGTAGGATTGATGACGACCTTGGATGTCGAGTCGCGGTAGGGGACGTAGATGGTCCTCGAGCCATCTTTGTTCTTGAGTCCCGAATTCCGCCTCAGCAACCGTCTCCCCGTCTCTTTTTCCGCGCGTTGACTCTGGTACCATCTTCTTGTCCCGTACCCCGCGCCTATGATTGTGAAGAGAAGTGTGACGGTTGAGAGGAGCTTCGTGAGCTTGGACGTGTCGCGGACGCGCGACTTGAGGAGCGTGGCATAGTGCTTGTAGAGATCTAATAGCGGGTCGCCGCGTTCTCGTAGTGTAGATAGTGTGGCCATCGTAGGCCATATATGCGGGTTATCTCTCCGGCGAGGATTTCATGTCGTGGCGTGGTGCATGGAGCTGGTGTTGAGCCGCCATGTGAGTAGCATGTTGCATGTGCCTGACATGATGCGTGATAGCTCAGCCGAGGCATGTGAATGCGACATGTCTGTGCACCTGGGGTAAAGATTGTGGGGCTGTAGATCTCCACGATCGTTACTCGAAGCACCTGCCTACTTCAAGCTGTAATCCGAAACATCAAGAGCTACTACTAAAACCATATGTTCGCTCTTGTTTAGAGCTGGATGTGCAGCCAGTCGGGTGATATTTGCTACGTCTCGTTCCATTCCTGGCAGATTTCCAAATCTGTTCCTTCCCACATTAACCATATATATTGTCTTTCGCAGCCCATCAATCTTGTTGTTCTTGCAATCTTGTTGTATGGAAAGTTCAACACACCCATTCATCACAGGGTGAGAACAACGTTTGACTTAGACTTAGCCCCGTCATCATTCACTACCAAAGATACCCAAGCCAGACCAACAGAGGAGCATCCCACGACTACCATATACAGAACACAACCAACGCAGAGCAGTCTCAAGCAATTGAAGAACTTCACCTCCCAATTTAGCACTTCCTTCACCCAGCCAATACACTCTGACTGCATTTATGATATCACATTCCAGCATCCCTACGGCACCGACCTTGCTCTAGAACGCTCTTATATCATGGCAGACGGTGGGAAGATGTTAGGAAGTAATTTCATGTCACCTATCAATGCAGAAGCCTATGGAATATGAAATACGCGTATATATTGATTTTGCCAGCTCGATACATCTCCATCTACTCCTCCGGACCCTCGATGAGTATCTTGATACCCTTACCCTCCTTCACGTCCCTAAACGCACTCTCCGCATCCCCAAACTTGACCTTGCCAGTGATAAGCTCCTTGACGGAAATGCGTCCATCGGCCACGAGATCAACAGCCGTCTGGTAGTCGCCCGAGCCGTATCGGAACGAGCCCTTGACGTTGAGCTCCTTTGTGCACATGGCCATGATGGGGAAGTTAATGTCAGGCTTGCCCATGCCGCCCTATTACTGTCAGTTAATCCAACTCAGACGTGTGCTTGTGGAAGACTAACCTGAACATATGTGCCGCCCATTCTCAGTGCGTGGATAGCAGTCTGGATGCATGGTTCTGCGCCCGATGCGTCGATGATGACATCCGCGCCAGCACCCAAGTCACACTCCTTGATCAAGTTTCTCGCGTTCTCGTCCGCGGGGACGCGCTGGCTCTTGAAGCTCGTGTTCGCCGCGTATTTGAGCGCAAACTGCATCCTCTCTTCGTTGATATCTACGGTGACGATCTTCTTCGCGCCGTACGCCTTCGCAACAGCCATGCACAGTAGCCCGACCGGCCCGGCGCCGAACACAACAACAGAGTCTCCAGACTTGATTGCGGCTTGTCTTGTGATGTGTACAGCGACAGCGGTGGGCTCGATAAGTGCACCCTCTTCCATGCTCATGTTCTCCGGCAGCTTGTAGCAGTAGTCCTCTGGTAGGGTGTAGTACCGAGCAAGCGTGCCGTCGTACGGAGGTGTAGCTGCAAACGCCATGTCCGGGCAAAGGTTGTACTTGCCGTCTTTGCAACGTACACAGCGACGGCACGGCACACCAGGTTCCATGGCAACGCAGTCACCAACCTTCAGCGACTTCACTTTGTCGCCGATGGCGTGGATAATGCCCGCCGATTCGTGGCCCAGCACCATGGGCGACTCGACGACGAAGTGTCCGATGCGGCCCTCGACCCAGTAGTGCACGTCTGAGCCACAGATTCCCGTCCATCGGGGCTTGACAATGACATCGTATGGCGAGGGGAGTGTGGGCACGGGGCGGTCTTCGTAGACTACTTTGTGAGGGGCTTGAAGGACGAAGGAAGGGTTCTGGAGATTTGTTAGATCTTCGACCATGGGATTGAAGCGTCACAAATTGCAATTGCGATGCCGCAAACATTCAACGCGTAACGCGGGGTTGGTGGGGTAGGCTGGTGGGGGAACTCTACCTTCCGTGTAGCTATTTCTGTCGCCATTGTTGCGGTTTCGTGCTTTTGACGCGTGAAGAGGAAGTGTGAAGCAGAAAAGTGTGATGATTGAGAAGAGTCTCCAAGATTTCACACGCGATCAGGAGACAGCATGATCATGAGGAAAAAGGTGGAGCCGGATTGCATCTCGTGTCAAGCTATCCCGCGTAGGCCAAGAATTGCCCCATCAGTCTACGCAGGGTTCCAGACGCATTGTAATCATTGGCGCAATCATTCGGCGTTTCGATGTCAAGTTTCTACATCCTCGGCACAGCTCCCACCGATTTCGCTGATGCGAAACCAACTACAAAGACGCGGACGGAGCTGGAGCTGCCGTCGCATTACATTGCAAGCGGTGTGCGGCCTCTGGAATTTATCTTCCCCAGCATGACCACCAACAAGTCACAAGCGCAGTCTCGTCCTGATGTCCGTTCGCATCAGATCCACTCCAGTCGTCGTATCCCTTCTCTTCGCCTTCATCCAGGACGTGTAGCCCTATCCCCTCCATTCGCTGGCGAAAGTCCTTGATCTCAGGCAAATATGCCTGCCGATACGGAAACTCAATGATGACTCTTGCGTTGCTGTCGGACGAGAGCCAGGCATCGATCGATTCGACGAGCATACGGGGATGGTCCGGAGAATACAACGCGTCGGCAGCGAGTATGAGAGGAAACTTGGTGGTGATAGTCTCGCCCTGGTCGCTGCTCGCAGCATCTCCAGCCAACTTGCAGATTGTAGGGTTGGCCCAATCGAGGACTCCCGTACGGGTGACACCTCCATTGTGCCTTACTGTCCCTGCATTGTCTTCGGCATTGCGTGAGAGGTTTGCATGAATGCTGGGCAAATCGGTGAGAACAACATCTGCTCCCAAGGCTGCCATCGCAAGCCCCACCAGTCCTGTGCCCGACCCAAGTTCGAGAACTTGTGGTCTCCGAGATGTGCCTGGCTGCACTATGCCGAATGTATGAAGCCGTTTGGCGAGCATGTATGAGGCTGCCCAAGTCTTCAAGCCAATATCGTCTCCGGTAAGGGCAGGTTCGTGGATACTAAGCTCAAACGAGCTCGTGGAAGAAGGTATTCGAAATTTGCGCGAGAGACTGCCCATGGCAGAACGACCAGACCGCTCACTAAGCCTTGTGCTAGCCTGGTTCCATATCTCTTCTTTCGCTTCGTCGTCTTCTATCCATCGTAGACTGTTGCTCACGATGCTTGTGAGGTATCGAGTGACGCCTTCTGGGTTGACTAGAACGACATTTGACTGGGCTCGCGCAGAGTCAGTATGTTTGTCTTGGTCTCCGTTGTTATCAAATTCCCATGAGGGGGGAGCAGACGTGAGGAGTGCGAGCGTATCGAGTAGCGACTGTGCGGATGGTTTTGTGTGGAGTTGGGGCAAATCGAGGACTACAACCACGCATCAGCATTGATAAGATCATGAGATTGTGCGACCATACCGTCTAGTTGTGTCATGACTTCCTCAGATCTTTGTGCAGTTGCGCGCGCGCACGCAAAATGGTCAAGATTGAGATCAGACGGCGAGTACAATGATTCGCGATGCGCCAAGACTAATCGCGGGGCTAGGCTTTCAAAGCTCGAGAAGCGCATAACAAGCCAAAGCGAGAGGAAACTCCTGATCAGTCTTTCTTCAGTGTCGCCTTGAAGCCGTAGTAAGCTTGCTCCATGTCAAATTGGAACTCTCGGACCTGGTCGTCGTCCAGCTTCCCGGCTGCTCTCATCTGATTCAGGGTTATGAGCCACTGTACAATCTTGCCCTTGCTCTCAAAGTCCTGGTCTACGACCTTGTTGACTGCCTGGATGATCTCGACGAGAAGCGGATGCAGTGTGTCCTTTTCGACCAGACCAATCTTGATGGCGTCCAGGAGGGTGATGAAGGTCTCGGTTGCGTTGACAATGAGTGTCGCGTCAGCATAGTCGCCTTGCTGGGCTGTTTTGTGCGACGGGCCCTGCTCGATGGTAGCCGGGATACCAATGCGCAGGCGTTCAGTGGCTCTGGGACATTCTATCTGTGCACCTTGTTAGCTAGAGAGGGGTAGGTATGCTAGTCCACTACGCACCTCCCACTCCTTCTGGAAGGATTCCAAGTCGCCAAAGGCTCGCGCTACGGCCTCGTTTGCAAGATTGGACTTGTACTGCTTCAGCAATCTACTGCATGTCTCGGTGTAGTCGGCTTCGGTGATGGAGTCTTTGAGATAGCCCTTTTCGAGCCCTTCGAGCGTGATGATGATGCTGTAGATCTCGGCCAGCGAGTCGTTCAGGTCTCGTTCAGCACTTGTTGTCGACAGCTTGGCTTCCTGTGTGCATGGAGAGTCAGCGATTGCGGCGAGATAGCAGCGTCAGTGCAGCATGTCGCACCTCATCCAGGTTGATGGTCGTCGAGAGCGCAGAGCGCGGTATGTAGGGCGTTGGCGCATACGCCAGCTGTCTATTGGCGTACATGTTCGAAGCAAAGGCTATCTTGACGATGACAGTGACGATGACCAGGCTTCGGTGTTCGCGCACTGGTCGCGCCTGCCTGTCCGAGCGTCGCGCATGCGTGGGGATGCGCTAGCTAGTATTCAGCCGTGGTGAGATTGGTTGGCTCGAACTTTTTCGAGGTGGGTCGGAACTTTTTCACTGCTGCCCTTCACGCCAGCCAATTCACGACAGCGCGCGCATTCACCACCCACTGTCAAGATGCCCATATCCAAGGCCACCAAGAAGTTCGAGAGGAACAAACTGCCCGACGTCATCAAGCGCCGGAAAGAAGTTGCAAAAGTCAAGCAGCGGAAGCAGATTGACCTCAAGAAGAAGGAACGCAAGGCGCGAGACAATGCAAAGGCCGACGACCTCGAAGATGACGCCGCGAAGAAGCCAAAGTCCAAGGCGGCCAAGGACGACGAGGCGTTTGGGGAAATGTCCATGGACCAGTTCTTCGAGGGCGGCTTCGAGGTGCCCAAGATGAGCAAGAAGAGCTCGACAAAACCGAAGACGGGCAAGAGAAAGCGCACGCCAGTCGAACAGGATGGCTCTGAAGGCTCTGACGACGAGATGGCCGAGGCAGCAAACGGTGCAGACGACTCTGCTACAGACAGCGACTCGGGCGACGACGCCGACGCTCACAAGGAGCAACTCGCAGGACTGGCGGCCAAGGACCCCGACTTCTACAAATACCTCAAAGAAAATGACGCAGAGCTGCTGGACTTCGCCGAAGATGCGGACCTGGCGGAGATCGACGCGCTCAGCGCCAGCGAGGACGAGACAACGCCCAGGAAGAAGCAGAAGGCGGCAGAGGTCTCAGACGACGAGAGTGAGCCAGCGAGCAGCAACGAGGTCTCCAAGCAGCTCATACAAAAGTGGAAACTTTCACTGGAAGCGAACCACTCCCTGAGGGCGATGAGGGAGGTCGTGCTGGCCTTCCGGTCTGCTGCACACTTGAACGACGAGGAAGGCAAGAAGTATAGATACTCGATATCTGACCCAGATGGTATGTTTTGTCCCACACGTATTCATTAGCGTCGACTAACACTGTGCAGTTTATCACCAGGTTCTCGTGACCACCCTCCAGCTTGTCCCCAAGGTGCTGCAACACCACCTGCCCGTCAAGGAGAATGCTGCAGGCAAGATGTAAGTTGGCTGCCCTAGACCTTGTGCACATGAGCTAAACCAACCAGTCGTGTGCCTACCGACTCGAAGAAATTCCGCACGCTCACGCCGCTCCTCAAGTCGCATACCGTCTCAATCCAACATCTTCTCGAGAATCTCTCGGACGCCTCAACCATGCGCATGACTCTGGACTCGCTAGCGACACTGCTTCCGTACATTCTCTCTTTCAAGAAGGTCGTTCGCGAGGTCATAAAAACGGTTTCGTCTGTATGGGCAGACTCTGCCAACAACGAGATGACCAGGTTGTCTGCATTCCTGGTTATGCGACGTCTGGTAGTCATCTCCGACGCAAGCATTCGTGAGGCCGTCCTAAAGCAGGCATACCAAGGGCTTGTCAAGGGCGCAAGAAACACGACGGTCCACACCATCCAAGGCATCAATCTCATGAAGAACACTGCCTCTGAGCTTTGGGGCCTCGATCCTACCGTAGGGTACACGACTGGTTTCGGTTTCATCCGTCAGCTTGCCATCCACCTCCGGACCAGCATCACAAACAAGACGAAAGATTCCTACAAGACAGTCTACAACTGGCAGTACATCCACTCGCTAGATTTCTGGTCTCGAGTTGTCTCAGCACACTGCGAGTCTCTTCGCGAAGCAGAGTCCGGCAAGCCATCCCCTCTCAGACCACTCATCTACCCCGTTGTCCAGCTCACGCTCGGAGCCATGCGTCTCATTCCCACCGCGCAATACTTCCCCCTTCGCTTCCAGCTCGTTCGCGCCCTCATTCGCGTCTCGTCAGCGACGTCAACATATATCCCGCTCGCTCCCGCACTCATTGAAGTCCTCAACACGGCAGAGATGAAGAAGCCCCCGAAACCCAGCACTCTGAAATCTCTGGAGTTTAGCACCACCATCAGAGCAACAAAAGCGTATCTCCGTACACGAGTCTACCAGGACGGCGTCGGTGAGCAGGTCGCAGAACTGCTTGCAGAATTCTTCGTCCTGTGGGCGAAGAATATCGCGCTCCCTGAACTCGCACTCCCCGTTATCGTCATGCTCAAGCGCTGGGTCAAAGCCATGACCAAGAAGAGCAGCGGGAATCGCAACGCGAAGATCAGCTCGATCATGGCATTGTTGATCCAGAAGCTCGAGGCTAATTCAAAATGGGTCGAGGAGAAGCGCGCAAAGGTCGATTTTGCACCCAACAACCGCGCAGGTGTGGAGGGCTTCCTCAAGGATGTTGACTGGGAGAAGACGCCGCTCGGTGCGTTTGTGGCCGGGCAGAGGAAGGCGAGGGAGCAGAAGAACAAGATGCTCGAGGATGCGCGGAAGACGGATGACAGAAAGAGGGAGGAGGCTGATAAGTGGGAGGCTAAGAAGGGCGGGAAGGAGTTTGAATCCGAGGACGAGGATGTCGAGATGGAGGTCGATGATGAGGATATGCTGGACCTGGAGGACGACAGTGACGATGACGAGGAGTAGACGTGCGATGTAAAATCTTGTATTGGATACTTGGGCGCGGAGACGCGCATGTATGTGTTTCGACGTTACTACACACGGGGAACGCACATCGTCATAGTATAGTGACACGTTGTGTACCCATGTGCTGGGGGCTTTCTAGCAGCAAATTCAAAATACACGGTCAATAGGGTTTTCCTTCGCCTCCTCCCTTCCTTCTTTTCTTCAGCTCCACGCATGTTGCTTGGGGTCCATTTCAGCCTCGCATTCGGGTCATCTTCTCCCTCCCTCGCCTTTCTCGGAAGATATCCTGTCTTGACATCGGGCGAAGACAGGCATCGGGCGTAAGCGCGTACCTGCATGTACGCGCCCGGACTGTCTACCTTGATCTCCGCTGGGAAACGTGCAAAGCGTACAGTGAGTGTTGCCTGGTAGATACGGAGGTACCGATAACTAGGCTTTGAGCCAATCATACATCAATGCCACTGTGGCTCAGTTACTGCGCCACGGTTCATCCTCCTTGGTAGGACGGTTGTAGGTGGATTTGTTCGGCAACTCCGTATGATTCAGCTGGACCAGCATTGAGGGGTGAGATTTCTTAGCGTAGACGAGGATGAGAGTTGCTTGTTTGGGTGGTTCATCTTGTCTGATTGGGTTAGACTTGGGTTGCGGTTGGGGGTTTGGGAGCATATGGGTGTTTGCTTTGGTCTGTAAGCAGCTGACATGAATATCGCCAAGAGGGAAGGGAAACCGAGGAGTGAATGTGTTTGGTGTGGTATCGAGTTGAGATAGAGTGTGACCGAAAACATTAGAGAGTCAGATGTAGTCACGAAGACAGCATATCCCGACCGTATCTACACTCTTCAAGCTTCAAGATGCTGTATCCTGTACTTGTCCAGGCTGACGAGAGATCCCATACATCACGTAGAACATGCCGTGACGTCGCAATAGCCACTCACGTACATACATACATCAGAGCAAGGCGACACAAGAGCCATAACCGCAGAGCCGCATCCAGTTCGCCAAATCAATACATCCTATTCGCTGTGCCTGCATGCGGTCTATTCTTAACCGCCTGTAAATCACAAGTATGGGTCGGGTCGCGTGGCATCCTTGCACGTACAGAACGGCGGGCTGCGTGCTGGACGAGGCTGTCGGGAACTTACGCGCTGTGCGGGGGCTAAAAACAGACGCGGGGCTGAGAATAGTGGGCGTGTGCAAGCATGGCAGCAGACGAGAGTACATTGCCGAGAACTAAGATGCCCAGAGTATTGAGTGGGAGAGTTTGCTATTCTTCAAGGTGGAGAGAACAGGGATCAGAAGGGATTGAGGGGTAGTACTTCGTAAAATACCATTGAGTAGCCCAAAACATCCAACTATTCACAACCGCAACCGCGATAGAGATTCTCGAAATTACAACGAGAACCGTTTTTTCTGCATATGTAGCGTACTGCTTTCAACGCATATCGCCAGTTCGGTTGCTCATCGTCCGTCGCCCAGTGAGGCTGTGCCGCGCTATGCAGGTCAGCTCAGCATACCGACATCTCTCTTTCCGGCCAATTTGCACGATGACTGAGCACCGTGCATGCGGCTATGACGAAAGATCCAGAAAAAACATAGCGTGACGGGGGATAAAACAGGGCCATACCGTTTGTAGACGTGCATCTATAGTCATGTAAGCCCAATGTGTGTGGTGTTGTAGCCAGAATCGATTGAGGCTGAGACATGCAGGTGTGGAGGTATGTGCAGCGGGGTGAATGGGTATCGGTGAAACGATTTTGATATCAAGCTTTGGGTGTGGTATGGGTGCTGGAGAGAAGGTTGATATTTAAAAGCTGGCGCGCAACTACAGAGTCGGAAGCTGGAGTATACAAGACCAAGACGTGCATCTCTTCGATATCATAACAGTTCACCTCGTATCAGCCATGACCTCCTTCACACAACCACTATCACAATGGCTCCCGTCCGCTGTGGTTCTCAACATTGCGACTGTGCCAACTTCCACCCCTTCACCAACCTCGACGAGATCGCGGCGAGAGCGTAGACTCAAGCTACGTGATTCTTGCGATGCCTGCGCAACCTCAAAAGTCAAATGCAGTAAAACACACCCTGTCTGCACACGCTGCTCCATAAACGGCTCACAGTGTGTATACGGTGTGTCGAGGAAGCATGGCAAGCCTGGAAGAACGATGAAGACGAATACAGACGAATCGCCCTTAAACAAAACGCCGAAGCAACGACCATCCCCTGACGGCAGTGAGTTTGGGAAGTTCAGGATTCGTCCTGAGCCCGTCCTTCAGCCTCAGCTGGAGCTCGAAACCGGGATGAATTGGTCGCCTACACCGACTGCACCAGACACTCCTGACCTCGACTTCGAGATGATGCCTCAAGCAACGTACGGGGAGCCGAGTGGATATACCTTCACAGACGAACTAATGGTTACGGCACAATGTGAGCTGGAGAACCACAGGCCTGCCTTCCGGGACCAGCAGTCAGTTCAACTCCACATGCGGGATGTCCTGGATCTACCTGGCTTCACCAACAGCAACGCGGTAAACCCTCTTCCCTATGAATTCCAAGACTCAACCATGGATGTCTGGTCTTCTGCCTATTCTTTACCTTCACCCCAAAGCCCGAAGACGGACCAAGTGAGCTCTTACGACACCATGTCGGGAAGCTTTTCTACACCCACCTCACACTGCTGCTATCCACTCGCCTACTCAGTTCTCGACAGCCTGCGCGTCATTAGTTCAGACACAACCTACTCGAACCACGAGCTCGACTCGATGCTTTCCATACCCAACCTAGCCGTGCGAAGTGTCCTCCAACTTCTCCGCTGCTCATGTTCTTCAGATCCACACCTCGCGATGCTGTACTCAAGTATCACAGTCAAAATCCTACATTGGTATCAGATTCTCGGAGACACCAATCGGACCTCGTCTTCATGTGCAACATCATCGCCATCGCTTAGAAATGGGTTCATGTCGCCAACCTCTTCTATCTTCTCTTCACCAATGTCTTCTCCTGACTCAAAGACGTCGACGTTCGGCTTGCCAGTACAACTACGACGCTTCGGACTCTATGAGTTTGTTCAGGAGGAGCAGTTGAGACGGCAGGTGGTGCTAGGGGAGTTGATGGCATGTGAGCAGCTTGTCAATGCCTTGGCGGGGTGGAGGGGCTATGGAAGGACGGAGTCTGCCGAGTTCCTCTACGGTGTGCTTGGTACGTGGTTGAAGGGGGAAGTGTTTCGTATTTCGAAGAAGGTGGATGGTGGAGTGGAGGAGCTCTGAGTGTAGAGCATAACTTGTCTCGGAACGGGTTCAATAACATGATACGTTATTAGCAACGTTCTGGCGGTCCCTGCTTGCGTATAGTGGGGTTCTCCCTATGCCCCCGCGTCGTGAGTTATTGTACCCTGTTGTCGAGGGGGGAGATGATCCTGATCATAGCTCATGCGATCTACAATTGATGATGCGTATAGCTGACGAGGCGTGTATTCCTTGCTGTTACCGCCAGTTTACCTGGCCTATACTCGCTCGTCCCACGGATTCTGCCAATCCGCTCGGGTTATCTGACTCGAGATTGTTGAACGATGCGGCTTAAAGGATGCGACGTTGTACGCTTGGCAGTCACACGATGCTCGTATTAGATCCAGTATCAAGCCGGGGTAATCAAGAAACAGACATTTGTTGAAGGAAACTATTCCTGATGAAGGTGCTCCAGTGATGAACGTAGATGCTACGAGGGAGCCATCTCGTTCTTCCATATCGCTTTCTCATAGAATGGGGAGTTTTTCTGCTTTGTAGACATCCCTTGCTGAAACGACGCAGGAGTTGTAACATTCTCCTATTGTGATACCTATCTTGTCGACTAGGCTGGGATGCTCGGCCGATGCTAACTAGCAATGCCATAGGATATTCGCCTAATCGGTGCAGATCGACGGTATTCAACAATCCGAGTAAGAGGTATACTTGACTTACCAGTAGTCGCAGGGAGATACTCCCTAGCCATTGGGTAGATAACGTGACAGTCCGAATTTTCGTCCGACCCACAGCGCTACGGGCCCCACGGGTCGAGTCGCGAACTGCCGGTCAAAAACGGGGAAGGGGAGTGCAGGGCAAGATCGCTTCTTTGCGAGTCAGTCCGCTGAAGATGATCTTAGACGAGATAATTCCAGGATGTCGCTATTGGAGGATGAGTGGAAACTACCGCGTTACCCGTGCATGTGGAAGATAGCTAAAGCCCCATCCACTGGCTAGACACGTTGTTACTGACGGGGAACATGAGAGTCCTTAAGCGTTTCTAGGTTTAGTACCTGGACTCAGCCTCATACTTCCCCTTGCTAGTGCTGTCTAGAGAGACAAGCTACGATGACGCGGTACCTAGTCAAAGGGGTGATACTCGCTGAAGTCGACCTGCATTGCGCGACACGATCTTCAAGTGGCATTACTCTTTGTAAGCGGCAAGTGGCCTAGAACCACCTCGGATCTACCGCTCCTGGGTTCCGGCCTTGTGTGACGGTCGTGGGCGAGCAAGGTACCATGTGCTGTGGGCGACTGCATGTGCTGCCCCGCAACCCCATGCCTGTTAGCGGGGTAGAGATGATCCTGCCAAGAAAGCGTACTGCAGCCAACACCAAATCACAACGCGAACTTGCATGAACTATGCCGTACCCGAGGATGAAGCATAAGCCGGCGGGTGGCGAGGTTATAGCTCGTGAACTACTTTAAGGGTAGAACGCCCGCCCAGATTGAAAATTCAATTCAACCCATCACTCTCCATCACAACCGCCATCATGTCTCCAGGAAAGGTCTCTACCATTGATTTCGAGAAGTTTTACAACATTGTCGACGGCAAGCAGCGCGGCTCTGACAACATCCACCATGGTGTCAACCCTACTACTGGCAAGGACCTCTGGGATGTTCCTATTGCCAGCGAGCAGGATCTGAACGATGCCGTGGCGTCTGCAAAGAAGGCATTCCCTGCGTGGAGAGACACTCCGCTTGAGAAGAGGAAGGAGACTATTGGCAAGTTTGTCGAGGTCTGGCAGCAGCACCAAGATGAGATGATCACTCTGTTGTGCAAAGAGTCTGGCAAGCCAGTATGTAAAAACCCAAATGATGCACAATCGCATTCTGACAGTCCTACAGAGGCAATTTGCTGCCATGGAAGTCGGTGCTGTTCCTGCCTTCATCGGCCACCACATTTCCCTCGAGATCCCAAGTGACAAGCTTGAGGATGACGAGAAGACCATCTACACAGACTACGCACCGCTCGGTGTCTGCGGAGGTTAGTAACTTTCTCATTTCAAAATGCGCCAATACTAATCTGTGTCTCCAGCTATCTGCCCATGGAACTTCCCCCTCGTTTTGTCTGCTGGCAAGATGGCACCGGCGCTACTCACCGGCAACGTTGTCATCATCAAGCCATCACCCTTCACACCTTACACTGCTTTGAAGATGGTCGAGCTCGCCCAGGAGATCTTCCCTCCTGGTGTCGTTCAGGCTGTCGGCGGCAACAACGACCTCGGTGTCCAGATGTGCCTACACCCCGACATCGCAAAGATCACCTTCACAGGCTCCATCGCCACCGGCAAGAAAGTCATGGAGACGGCCTCCAAGACACTGAAGCGCGTCACGCTCGAGCTCGGCGGCAACGATGCATCCATCATCCTGCCCGACGTCGACATCAAGAAGATCGCCCCCGAGGTCGTCATGGGCGCATTCCAGAACTCCGGGCAAGTCTGCGTAGCCACCAAGCGCATCTATATCCACGAGTCCATCTACGACGAGTTCCTGAAGGAGATGGTCAACTTCACCAAGACGCTCAAGACTGGTAACCCAGACGACGGTGATAATCTCCTCGGTCCCGTCCAGAACGAAATGCAGTACGAGCGCGTCAAGGGCTTCTTCGAGGACAGCAAGTCAAAGGGCTACAAGTTCGCAGCCGGTGAGCCCGACATCGCGGCATCAAAGGGCTTTTTCATCCAGCCCACCATCATCGACAACCCACCCAACGACTCCCGCATTATCCAGGAGGAGCCCTTTGGCCCCATCGTGCCCACACAGCCATGGTCCGACCTCGAGGAGGTCATCCACCGTGCCAACGACACAAACACAGGTCTCGGTGCTTGCGTGTGGGGCAAGGACGTCGAGAAGGCAACAAAGATTGCGCGACGACTCCAAGCTGGGTCCGTCTTTGTCAACTCTTTCGAGAAGCCAACGCCTCAGGCTATCTTCGGTGGACACAAAGAGTCTGGTATCGGTGGTGAGTGGGGCAAGACTGGTCTGCTCGCCTACCTGAACCCCCACGTCATCCATGTGTACAAGTCGTAGGAGGGAAAGTAAATAATTAAATGAAAGTGACCATATAGCTTAGTCAATGACATGTATTACGTCTTCATGCCCATCATTCACTAGTTTCAGCACGCGCTCCCCTCTGCGTTTCCGTCAATGTGCTCATATGCTGTTTAGAGCAGTATGGATTAATCAATTTCAATCTCTGGATGACGGACGCGTACTAAATACTCGGCCCGTCGTCGGAGACACAAGCTCCACGTCCAAACCCACATCATATTAACTCCACTTCCTCTCGATCTTCCTTCCTCCTCGTAGACACCAAGCCGCCGTAGTCCGCCCAAGTCAAGTGCGTACCGATAGCAGCCTCGTACGCAAGTTGCCGATTCGTCATCTTCCTCCTCCGTTTCTTTTCCTGGATAGTACTGGACGTTGGTATTGGCGGAGGAGGTAGATGGGAGTCGGATGTGATGGCCGGGCCGAGGATCTCAGGCTGTACTATGGGAGATGTAGCTGATAGCGAAGGTATTCGAGCAGGCGAAGAAATCATGGGTATTTCGACCTGATCATGTGCGACAACAGCAGAAAAGTCCGATTTGCACAACGTCTCGTTTGCCGTCCTGTATGTGTCCTCTGAGTCTTCTTCACTGATGAGTTTCCCCTCTATTTTCATCCGCTTAGCTTCGACGAAACTCGGAGCTCGACTTTCATTGCTGGTCTGTGTATCCTGTTGTTGTGTCTCGACCTCGTCCCGGTCCCGTTTCTCCCTTACCTCTTGTTCTCGTCGCTCTTCGTATATGCGTATCATCTCGACATCGTGGCGGAAAGTAGTGCCGGAACAGTACTCGCCGAACAAGTTTTGCATGCTACATTCTGGCGTCCAGTTCTTCTCGTCGACTGTGCAGGGGAACACGTCTTTAGGCGAGAAAGCGTCGACGACCTGGCACAGTTCATGGTACGACGAGTGTCGTGAGTACGAGAATCGGATGGTTTTGTTCTGCGGCTTGCTGGCCAGTTTGATCTTGGATACGTATGAAGAGAGGGCTGCAACGAGCGTGTACAGCGATGGATCGTCCTGTGAGTCCTGGCTGGGCTTTTGAAGCTGCATATCAAGATTCATTGTGCCGTCGCCACCATCAAGCGTGCGTTGCAGCAACGCCAGAACTTTGGAGACGGACTCCTCGTCTGTGATCGTCTGCGCACACAACTCCATCAGTTTGCTGATCTCTGCCAGTCCGTCTGTCTGTAGCTCTTCTTTTTGCGCCAAGTCACCCTTGCCGCCTCCAGCGCCGAGTTCTGCTATCTCAGTGCCGTTGGCGCGGGTTACGATCGGGATGATGTGGACTACTTTTGCGTCTGCGTCCTGGTCTATGACTGGGCAGCCCATGCCATGTTCGCAGCCGTGTATGCGTGCATTCTCCCGAGAGGTGAGGCAGCCGGATTGTATATGATTTCCATTCCTGAACCCACACAACGCCGGTGCTTCACGAATCTCAAACCCGGATTCTCGCAGAGACTTGTTGTCAGCTTGTACGTCGAGGCCAGCCTCACGGAGACTCTTCCTATCCAATGTAGATAGTGAGCCATAGACCCGTGCTCGATAGTCATCTACATGTATCCTCTCACCCAAGAACGCAGACAGCGCAATCCAGACATTCTCATAGCCAAAGGTCCAGGAATGAAAGTAGAAAACTGTGTCCTCGGAGAATTCACTAACTTCTTCGAGCAGTTCCGTAATCCCCTGCGCTTTGCTCGGAAACTCCCGATACAATTCATTCTTCGTCGCAAACGTGGTGTCCAAATACATGCACTCCAGTCGTTTGGATCCAAGCGTATACGGCAAAAGCACTGGGTTCTGAACCAAGGAGTTTACCCACCAAGTCTCTGCTCGTATATCGCCCGTGTAGAGCACTGCTTTGCCGTCGTCCTCGATGAGGAACATGACGGCGCCGACACAATGGTTTGCGTCGATGAGCGTGACGCGGATGCTATTTCCAGGGGCGAGTTCAATCATCGTCGGGGTGTCGAGGGGGAGTGGTTTAGCGAGCCTGCGCATAGTTTTGTCGTAAGTAACATTGTGGCTTTCGAGAATGTTGTTGGCAAAGTTGATGCGGTAGTGGTATTTCTCTAGACGTAGGAGTATCTGGTATATGGGTCAGTCTTGCACCCCTCATCTTTCCGTATTCTACGACAACCAAAAACCAGACAACGTCATCAAGATTGATGTAACACAGGACAGCTTCTGTGTGCGTACGTTGTGTATTCAACTCACCTCCCGCGTTGCGGCAGAACAATAAACAAAGGGCGCCCTCAAACTCTCCAACCCCGCAAGATGGTCAGAATGCACATGGCTGAGGAAACATGCCAACGGCGCCTTGTGATCCGGTTGATGTCGAAAGTAATCGATTCTGATTTGCGGAAACTCTGGGATAAAACGTGAGCATGCTTTTATGAATGATGTAGAGGTATCGAAGAGGCAAAAGTTGAATCCGGCGCATACCGGATATGATGCCTCTGAACGTCGACATAGGAGTTGTAATATGTAGTTTATTAGAGGGTTGGTCGTGGTGAAAGGAAGAGTCTACGTGAAGGACTAGCCGGTAACAGGAGTAGTTGATTAGTGAAGCCCGGATGACACGTGCACGACATATTCTATCTTACTTTTTCATGCGGAAAATATCGTGAGGCCAAGATACGTGCTGATATCTATTACTTTAGCTGTTTGCAAGAACGCTTTTCGAAAGCAGTAGAGGAGACGTTGGTAAGGAGCATAAGGTTAGAAGGTGCATATTTATCAGAATTCCAATCGATCTCTATCGTTCTATCCATGTCTGTAGTAAAATCTTGATCTCCTCTATAACGCCCTGCTATGCTAAGTCTAAATCAAACACGCACAACAACCTGACGATGACCACAAAGATCTATCTTACTTCGTGCTGTCTTGAACAGCCTGACCCATCGCTTCACCCTGGAACATGGCCTCTCCCGGCCCAGCGCCCACCTGCGGACTTGCCTCCCGCTTGCTCCTCTCCGCAACACCCGTACCATTCTCACCAGCGCTCAGGTTAATCCATCCCCGTACACTATCTTTCTGCATGCTCAGAATTGTGGTGTCCTGTTGAATACCCTTCTCTTTCGCATGCGCCGTATCGATCTCCAGGTCCTCCAAACTCGTGTTGCCAACCTCAACTCCACTCTCGCGCAGGACCTGCAGTATAGCCCGAGTATTGAGTCGCAAGACACGCTCTGGCTCCTTCGCGCCGAAGACCTTGGCTGTTGCCCAGGGGAAGAGGACACCGAAGTCACTTTGGGAGAGATGTGCCGAGGAGACGGGGTAGAAAATGTGTGGCCCATGCTGCGATTTCGAGTCCGAGGGTCTAGAAACGATGCGCTTTGTTTCGTGGAAGTTGGACGACCACTTATAAAAGCCTTCGCTCAAGATGGCGAGCAGATTCGAGCCGCCAGTTGCGGCGTCGTAAGATGGCATTGGCTTCGATCTAAGCCAGGCGGTATCGGGACTTTGAATTGGAAGCGTCCAGAGATCCAGAAGCGTCACAGGACTCCTAGGAGTGATCTGACGGACGATGCTGGAATCCTCACGTGGTGTGAACAGAGGCTTGTAGCTCGAGCTTTGCGCGCCGGAGCGGTAATATACAGATTTCACGAATTGCACCGTTGTGCATGCGCCAAAAGAATGACCTGCGAAGGTGATCGCGCCCGGCTCGTGGACGTTGAGCAGATTAGAGAACATGGTCAACATGTCCTTTCCACCATGTTTCGAATGTTCTTCTGCAACATTGCTGACGCGTTTTCGCTGATCGATCTTGAGTAGCGCATCGTGAATTAGTCCCAACTCCCATAGCCGTATGCGCAATTGCTCGTCTCGAGCATGATATACATCGGTGCTCGGCTTGTGGTCTATACGCCTGTAATCCACACTCTTGAGCTTGAGCTTCTCGTTTGGTGAATGATAGAAGGAAGTGGGTGCGCTTCCGTCGCGGTGATCGGGCGCCACGACAACCATTCCGTGACTAGCCAAAGAGCCACATATGTGTGAATATGCGTTTCGCGAGCCGCCGAGACCGTGGGAAAACATCATGACGGGCCATTGCTTTGATTTCGTAGGTGGTTCGAGGATATCTGCGTTGTGGTGGACGGGAATCGAGATAAAGTACAGCAATTGCGGTATCAATCTACTCTTTCGTTAGCATGGCACCGTAACGTTGCACACTTCTATACCTCAGTCTATACTTACGAAAACACGCTTGCAAACGCGCTATTGGCTCCCAAAAACTTCGCATATGCACTGATGTATTCTCTCTGCGGGCTTGGAATCCATTTGACAGCCTTCTGTTCGCTATCCTGTCTGCAAGGATAGAAGATCCTGAACGCTACAGTCGGTATGTCGCACGGAGGCGCACTTGCACTCGGGTCCTCCAGTTCGCTTGTGGGAACTTCAACATCTACGGATCCAACCTTGTATGGCCCTGTATACGCAGGGAACCCAGGCGTAGGGTTCAGCTTATTGAGGAAAGCCATGTCGACTGCCGCTGGTGGACCTACTTTCCTGATCGGAAGGCGCGAGGAGAGGGAGAGGAGGGATCTGTAGACGCGTGAGAGCGACAGCGTGATTACAGTGAGGGTATAGCGGTGGGTTTGGACACGATGATTGAGTGGGAGGGATGAGCAAGCTACAAGATGGCTGGCTAGATATGATGTGAGTAGGTTCAGGTAGACAGAGAGATTCGTAGTCTAGGAAGAAAAACATGGAAGACATCGTAGTGACGCAAATGGCAAAATCCCATGGCCCAATTATCAGCGCTAATGCCAGGAACATACGGAGCACACGACAGCCACAACCCCGGCTTGTAGGATCGATGATGTGGCGATGGAGTGAGATACGGTACTGCCGAGGCGTCGGCTGTGTTTCAACGGACGAATGACTATTGTGGGTGGCGAGAAGAGCTTAATACGGTACTGTGTCTAGCCAGAAATCGAGATCCAGAGTCACAATTGCTCGAACTGATTACGATAAGAAATCGGTACAGCATTCGCGGTCGTATGTTCTCTCGCGAGAAGAATCCCATGGATGACGACATGTCAAGATGCGAGATGGCCCTAAGCTACTTTCAGACATGGCCGTCAGGACTTGGCGTAGCGTACTTTCATGTGAAAATAATCGAGTCAAGCGATTGTCAAGTGATGAATATTGTAACAAACTATGTGTGTGCATTCGCATTTAATACGCAAGGGGTATGTTGCTTCAATCATCAGAAAGAAAATGACCGCATTTGCAGAAACGCTCAAATCGTGCATATCCATCGCCTCCTCGAAACACGCCTTACCTCCAATCTTCGGCATCATTAACAACACCCTCCCCTCCTACGGCTCCCGTTCATTCGAAACACGTCGTCCCACTCATTCATTGCTCCGGTCTTCTTGACCCTCCTTCGATACCTCAGCCCGTCGTCACTCTTAACGCTTCCACCACCATCATCCCACCCTAGATCTCCGTATTGTATTCCGCTTGCCGGATCATCAGGATCAATCTCGCCCAGTTCAATCTTGGTCAGTATCATGCGCGCGAGTCGATTGAATAGTTCCTCTACGTTCTCGCCGTTTAGCGCGGACACTTCGACAGCGACTGGTATTCCGTTTGAGCTTGCCCAGCGCGACGCGGTTTCGGCGGGTACTTCGCGGCCATCAGGTGCGATAGTGAACGATTGATCGAGGTTTGCTCTCAGAGACGGCGCGCGTGAAGATTGCGAGCCTGGCGTCCCGGGCGTCGCGGACGTACTGCTATAACTCCCAAATGCTCCTTGACTGCCTGACCATACAGGTGGCCCGTCTACGACATCGCTCTTATTCCCCGCCAAGATGATGGTTATATCTGGCCCCGCCAGCGCCCGCGCGTCATTCAAAAATGTCTGCAGCTGCTCAAAGCTCCGCCAGCTGCTCACGTCGTACACGAGTATTGCGCCCGCTGCGCCGCGATAGTATGAGCGTGATACGGAGCGAAAACGTTCTGTGCCTGCCGTGTCCCAGAGCTGGAGTTTTATGCGTTTTCGGTGTGCAGAATGTGCCTTGCGGTCGGCGATGTGGACGACTTTCGAGGCGAACTCTACGCCGATTGTGTGGGAGGATAGGACGCGCCCTTTCTCGTATTAGGACAGATTTGGTAGAGCAAGTTGGGAGCATAAGCGCGTACATTCGTCTCTCACGAATCGGTGGAGTAGACATGACCTGGACAGACTGTCAGTAACGGCGTTTAACACTATATCGTTGAAGACGCTCACTTTCCAGCCGCGCTTGGCCCTAGCAATACAACTTTTGCTAAGTAATCATACATGCTCCCCAGCTCCTTGAAGCAGTCAGCATATCCCTAACACCCCTTGTACTTCTCATACCTACTTGCGTGGGCGCATCGCTTGTGCTCGTCGCATTAGATGTCGCGCGATTCCTGCCCATCATGTATGATGTTTAACTGTTTACGCGCAGATGAGAAGCAATACAAGGCGCGGGATACAGTCGCGGATATCTTGCAAGCGACCTTGGGCGCTCGTATTATGACTAAACGCACGCGTCGTCGTGGTGCACCATCCGGCGGTTCCCTGTTGCGACTTCTTATCGCGAACAATCATGCCGCTAGCCGCGGCCATCACGCGACGACCTCAGACCTCCCCCACTGCACCAGGTAGCCTGCCAGATCACCATCCTCCCATACATTCCTAAGAAAGAGAGAAGGAGTTCCTCTAAATTACACTATGTTCGTACATACAGTGTACATATCGTCTTGTCCTGATCACATCTGGAGACATGACGAGTTACCCTCAGCGCATAATTCGGCACTGTTCTTAAAAGTAGCGCATTCCAGCTTCACATATCTCACCCTGTTAGAACACAGTAGGATCGACCTGGCGCCCGACCCCTCCAAAGCGTAGTGGATGCTTCACCGCCTGCTACTCTTATGCGGATACCAATGCAGATGCTATAGTAGGTACAAGCTTGCGTCATCCGTTGGGTTTCGATATCAGCCTGTCCAGAGCAGCAGCTGAGACAACCTGTGGGAGTGGAAAATGCACGGCCTGTCAATATGCATTTTGTGTGACTGGAATTGAAGCTGCTTGCGGGACACACGGATCCTTTGGTTGCCGGGTATATATTCTTTCGCACCTCTACATTCATGCTTAGCACAAGATGCATCGCAGTAAATCTCATTTTGTTACATCATTTTGATCTCATACAATACCCCACCTCTGTTCATTTGCCGTCTTCAGTGTATTTACTTTTCCAAGTCGACTATCGCTCTACCTTCATAAGTATATCTATTCTGTTCTGGCTGAGTCATCTCTTTCAGTCAGCAAAGTTCGTTCGAAAGAGGAAAGACGTTGACTCTACTAGCTGAGTACAATCCCGCTATTGTTGTCTTTTGGTTTATAATCTGCGCCAAGCCTGTTCAGTGTCATATAGATTTCTTTTTAGTCCGTCCCACTGGCTGGAGGAAAGTTGTCGTCCCGCTCTGCCACAAGAATGGCCGCCAACAGCCTCTGGACTCGCACCTAGCACATCAGCAAACTCTCAAGTGCTTACCTGCAAGCGCCACATCTCCTGACCGCACTTGCTATCTGAAAGTCCTCTTTCCTAACTCAGAAGGCGGGAGCCATCTTTTTATCATTCAGCAGCTATTCAAAAATTGTATAGGCTTACTCACTACACATCTATCGATAGAAGTGGCTTAAGGCAGACCTGCACCACTCTGTCTTGCAGTCTATGTGCCTGTTAGCGGCAATCGTCAGGTCATATGCTAGCAAAAGAGTGCTTATTACTCCTGCGTCAACATGAGCCTCTCCACTTCAACTCCACTCATCGCAGTGAACCGAGACTCAGCTGAACGATCCAGCACAAGCCTCAATAAGCCCTTAGACAAAACTGGAGAGAGAGGCGGATGAAGTAATGGACCTATTTTCACCCCTCGACAAACCTCACAAGCTATTTGTGAAACTCCGTCAAGATATAAAGTAAGGCAGCGGACAGCAGAAGAAACGCATCTCAACATCTCCATCTCACTCCAATACACTTCTTCACTCCATCAATCCATCAAAATGCGCTTCTCACTCCCCGCCGCAGTCCTAGCCATCGCCAGCCTCACCTCAGGCTTCACAATCCCCGAAGGTCTCGCAGAGGGCGTCTACACAGCCAGCATCAACGACGACGGCACCCACAACTTCACGCTCATCAGCGACACTCCGTCCGCGCCCTCCGTTCCAGCGCTCAGCAAGCGCGCCACGACCTGGCCCTCAGGCACCAAGCCCGTCTGCACCGGCGGAACCATGCTGGGCCACTACGACTTCTACGACGGCGGCGCATGGGGCAACTTTTGGAGCCACTGCCAAAGCCTCGGCGGCACGAAGATCGGCTCCGGTTCCTCCATCTTCAGCTACTGGGGTAATGCGGTCGCCTATATGTGCGCGTACGGTCCTAACCCGTGCTCGGTCGTCGAGTGGGGCGATGCGGTGAATTGGGCGCAGAATGCCTGCCCGTATACGAGTGGCGCTTATGTTGAGCCTGGTGAGTTGTAGAATTTGTCTGCTGCTAGTTTGTTCGTAACTGCTAATCTGTTGTGTCGCCAGCTTATCTCAATATTCCGAGCTGGAAGAAGGTATGCTATGCTGTTGCATATTTACAGGATATCGATCTGGCTTACCTTTGCATAGTCTTACGGATACACCAATTCCAAAACTAGCTTTTGCTGAACATGGCTTGCTATCGTCACACGCTGACTGACTGTTGCTGAGGACAGTAGTCGCAACGCAACTAGATGGTATTCTGAGGTACATACAAGGGCCTTTTCCTATCAATGCGGACGCGCACACATTCGCTTTCTTTTCTCACCTCTTTCTGAGCAAACTTGTCTTCGATGCCAAACCAAGCTTCGGGACGTTGGGACAGGATAGATATCACATTCATTAATCACCTGTCAATATAGAAACACACAAAGGCTTTCATCAGCCTCTCGAGCCCAAGTTGTATCCATATGTTTTGTGAGGAACAGTGACTAACCAACTATGCTAATCAATCAATCAATCGATTCGAATTCACCACGCCATCTTGCGCTCTAAAATTAGCCAGATATACGCATTCCCTCTGATAGAATAACAAACGTATTCATCGAGAGTCACACGCTTGATAACAGGAACCATGACTACCGTATTATGTATCACATCTCGTGCACTTACCACCAGTGAAAAGCCTAGACATGTATTCCAGTCACGAACTGCTTGGACGGAAACACGTAGTCTGGCAAAATAAAGGAATGATACGTTACGTTGTTAGCTAGCGTCCCTGTACGCAGGGTATGAGTGAGGGGTTGGAGGCCATTACATCGATTCTGTATCTAGATTGTGTAAAGCGTCGCTAAGTGGTGAAGCCGTACTCGTTGTGCTAAAATGACCTAGTTTCAAAGTGTTTTGTCACTTGCGTGTTGACTTGTCGATATAGGATGGTAAATATATATGTATACGTAAAACAACCATCTGACAACACAACATAAAGTCGAAAAAGCGAAAAAGAAAAGAAAAGAACAGCAACAATGGTATCCTAAACACACAAACACACGAGACGAGAAAACCTCCTCACCCTCCAACCCGTACTCAATGCTCGCCCAAATCCCTCAACGGGACATACTTCGCCCCCTCCTCCTTATTCCTACGCCTCGCCTCCCACGCCTCAACAACCCACTCCCTCGCAGTTCCCCACACGCCCTTACGCCCGGCCCTCTGAAGTTCAGCCTCGACCTCACTCTGCGGGACCTCAGCGGAGGGATCCAAAACGCTGACCTTCATCCACTTCGGCCTAGTCCAGAACTTGAGGTGCAGACTACTCGCGACGACGCTGACACTGGAGCACGCCATAGCGGCGCCGGCAGCCATGGGATGCAGGCTGAGGCCCCAGGGGAGGAAGAAGCCCATTGCGAATGGCAGACCGATGAGGTTGTACATGCAGGCCCACGCGAGGTTGATCTTGATGCGGCGGAAGATTGCGCGGGAGAGGACGAGGCTGGCGGGGATGGCGAGCAGGTCCGCGTTCGACATTAGCACGATGGAGGCGGCTTCCATGGCTACGTCTGTGCCTGTGGAGAGCGCGATGCCAATGTCTGCTGAGGCGAGGGCGGGCGAGTCGTTGATGCCGTCGCCGACCATGCCGATTACGTAGCCGCGCGATTGTAAGTCGGCGACCATAGACTTTTTGTCAGAAGGCGTGGCTGAGGCGTGCACGTCTGCTGCGTCGATTCCGACTGCGGCTGCGACGACGAGAGCGGAGGCTGATGTGTCACCGGTCACGATCGAAGATGTTATGCCGAGGCGGGTGAGGGCGAGGACGGCGGCGCGGGCAGAGGGCTTGATGGTGTCGGAAAGGCTGAGTGTGCCGGTGTAGGTTGTGCCGATGGCGGTGTGGATTGTGGTTATGCCGGCGGATCGTGCTTGGGGGTTGAGCGAGATGGAAGACATTGAGGGCTCATCGATAACGGAAGGGACGTTAACGCCCTCGGAGAGAAGATATGTTGCGTTTCCGATAAGGACTCTGTAGCGTGTGCGCTCGCGGGAGAGGGCTGCTTCAACGTTTGCGGAGATACCCTTGCCGACGACGGCTTCGAAGTCGCCTACAGAGCCGTCAAGGATGCCATCAGGTCCAAGGCGAAGGTTGTCTTTGGCAGCGAGGACGATGGCTTTGGCGATGGGATGCTCGGAGCCCATCTCGGCCAGACCAATGAGTGTCCACCAGAGGTTCTTCTTGCTTGCCCATTCGCCCTGGATGTCAGCCTTGGAAACGCTCATCTTACCGACGGTGAGCGTGCCAGTCTTGTCGAACACAACGTGGCTGATCTTGGTAGCAGTTTCCAAAGCAGCACCACCTTTGACGAGGATACCCTGCTCCGCACCAACGCCAGTACCCACCATAACTGCGGTAGGAGTGGCAAGACCGAGCGCACACGGGCATGCAAACACAATGACAGCAATGCAAAGCTTGACACAGACCATGATTTTACCGCCAGAGGCGTGGTCCAAGAACATTTTCGGCGGGTATGGGAGTACGTGGCTGAGGATCATCCAAGTGACAAAGGTGGCGAGGCCAAGAGTGATAATTATAGGAACGAAGTAGCCAGCAACAGTGTCAGCAAGTCGCTGAATCGGAGCACGGCTTGTCTGAGCTTCTTGAACCAGGCGAACGATCTGACTGAGCTGAGTGTCGCGGCCTGCCCGTGTAACAACAAACTCCACACGACCATGGCCATTGACAGTGCCGGCCATAAGCAGCGCTCCTTTCTTCTTGAGAATGGGCATCGCTTCACCGGTAACCATGCTTTCATCGACATAAGATTCGCCACGAGTAACCGTACCATCGGCGGGGATCTTGTCACCAGGTCGAAGGATGACAACGTCGCCGACCTCGATGAGCTCTGTGGCGATGACCTTTTCTTCAGCGGCATTGCCGTCCACGGAAGCGCGTCCAGACTTCTCATCGAAATCCCAGCCTTCGGCGGCCTTGGCAGCTGCGATCGGATCGGCATAAATGGTGGCCATAGACGGAGCCAGCGACATGAGGTTCGAAAGCGCCTTGGAGGTTTGGCCCTTGGCGCTATTTTCTAGGTATCGACCCAAGCTAATGAAGGTAATCAGCATAGTGCTGGTGTCGAATAGAGTTGTAGGTTTCGAATGAGGCGGTACGAAGAGAGACACGAGCATCGACGCGATGCTGAAGAAGAAGGCCGCGGAGGTTCCCAGGACGACCAAGACATCCATGGTGGGTGAGCCGTGGCTCAGTGATTTGTACGCAGAAACATAGAAGCGCTTTCCAATACCAAACTGGACAGGGATAGTAAGAGCGAGACAGACGATATCTCCAAGGAACAGACCGGGTATAATGCGAATACTGCCGTAGTCAAGGAAAGGCAAAAACATGGGTATAAACATGCTGGTGAGAAACACCGGAACAGCGAACCACGCCGAGAAAACGACGGCTCGTCTCCATTCTTGAATCTCCTTAGTCTTGGCAAGAGACTCAAGCTGAGCGTTGTTGTCCTCCGAGTCTGCCACCAGGGCGTTGTACCCCGCTTCTTCGATGACTTCGACTAACGCTCGAAGTCCAACGATCTGTGGTTCGCGCTGGATAGTTGCTCTCGAAGTTGAGAAATTCACGGTCGCAGTTGTGATACCGGATCGTTTCCTCAAGAGCGCCTCCAGCTCTTCAGCAGCTGATGCGTTGGGTAACCCGTAGACCTTGAAATGTACAAGCCCGTTGTTCCCTGATGATTGCGCCACGCTGCCATCTACCGACGATATCACCGCAGCATCGAACCCGCGGTCGTCGATGATTTCCACTATTTGCTCCGCCGTGAGTTTCGAGGGATCGTGTACGAGCACTGCGCGATTCGCCAGCAAACTGATGTTGAATTGATACACGCCTTCAACGTCTTTGAATCCACCCTCAATAGCTGATGTGCAGGCGCCGCATGTCATTCCCTCGACGCTGAGAGTCGTCGTGAGCGTCTTTTGCTTCTTCTGCCCCTTGTGCTTCTTGGATGCTGGCGCAGCAGCTACGGTGTCCAGCACCTCAGCATCAAAGCCAACGTCTTCTATTGTCTCGGCCAGTTTGTCTGCTGGTATTATGGTCGTGTCGTGTTCGATAACGGCGCGCTCGGAGAGCAGGGAAATGCTGAAAGATTTGATCCCTGCGACATCCTTGAAGGCACCTTCAACGGCAGACGTGCATGCGCCGCAGGTCATTCCCCCAACTGAGAGAGTGGTGGTCGATATGCGAGTGTTCACGTCCTCGTCTTCGTCTTCCGAATCGCTCAGAAAGTGGTCGTCAGCGCTCGGCGTCATTGGAATGTCCGTTGACAGCACTTCAGCGTCGAACCCCCGGTCGTCAATGATCTCCCTGATCTGTTCCGTCGTGATTACGTTTGGGTCGTGTTGTATGACTGCGCGCTCCATAACCAAGCTTATCGACACGTTTCCTACTCCTGCTACACCTGTGAAGCCCGACTCGATCGCTGACGTGCATGCGCCACATGTCATGCCCTCGACCCTCAGTGTCGTTGTCGCCATGTGCGCCGTCGCGCCATTCGCAGCTGTCGGAGCCATTTTGCCTGGGTCGTGTCGCGATGCAACTGCCTCTATTATGCGTTACAGATGCTGTTCCAGCAGTGGCGTTTGTCAGCCGTCAGCGCGACGCGCGTTACCTGTGCGATTTCAAGGAGTCGAAGGGGGCGGAGTGGAATTTAACGCAACATGCGAATAGTGAATATCGTAAGGAAACGCCGTGTATTGAATGAATAAAGTTCTTCCAGAAGACCAGCTTCCAGCGGTTGTTAGATGGCGAATATTAACAGAGCGGAGAACCCGTTGGAGGTCCGCAGCCACCAATTTCGGCGTTCTATAGAACCCGAATAGCGGGTCGTCAGGGCTGTCTAGGACGCTTCGGTAAGCTAATGATTCGTTGCTGTTTACGGGTGATGCCTCGAGCTGATGAATGTCAGACCACAGCCGCAGGAAGAGGGCGAAGCAGATATTAATAAAAAGACTCAAAGAATATGCTTTTGGGAACTGCGAATGTATTGCGCCAGAGATAGGGTTTACACTTGGCGGCTGAAACAGGAAGCTCCTTGCATTCCTGGGTGACGCTTAGGTGAGACGAGCAGAACCTCAGGTTTCGCCCTTCTCACGTCTGACTCGAAGCCCTCAAACGTTAAAGATGAGCGACACATTTGCTTGGCCGGTCTGACTGGTGCTGGATGGGCGACCAAAATATGTTTGGCTGTCGTCTACCTAGCTTAGAGGCGTGTGTAGTTTATCGACACCCTCTTTGACTTGCAACTGACGCTGCGTAGACGCCAATCTATTTACGGTAGGTTCATACCGGCGAACCAGAGAACAAACGCCGCTATGCCATAAAGTGATGACAGGGTCTGACAAGTACATTTGTACGAGTTGCGCAGTCAGAAATCGCTCTTGAACAGGCAAAGATGACATCAGCATGCTGAGCTAGCTTCATATCTAGCAGCTTCTGCGGTACGGAATGCGTGAAACAAAGACGTGTCTCTTCGGTTAACATCGAGTACTGTGCTCCAAGTAGGCATTGTAGAGTGACTTGCTTGGAGGCGGACCGCTTGTGGGGCGGCCTGGTCGCGGGGCAGGCGCGATCGCCAAGACGGTTGCATCTCGCAGCTGCCTGCTCTCAACTCAACACCAGAAGCTCACAAACACTCCAATTCAATCTCAACCGAGCTTTATCAATACGTGTTGAACTCAAAATGGAGCAAACCAAGGCCCTCAACGCTCTAGAGCCCTTCTTGGCCCTTAGCAAATCCGCTACATCGCCACGAGCAGCTTCAGACCTGGTAATGCAGGCAACGAGTGCACCAAACACGTATATTTTCGCGGAACTGTTGCACACGCCGAACATCCAGAACTTGCGCAACTCCGAGGATTATGCGTCGCACCTTACTCTGCTCGAGATCTTCGCCTGGGGGACATGGGAAGACTACAAATGTATGTCTGGCTGTACAGTGTAACACTTATTTGAACGATGACAGACTGACACAGTATTTTCAGCACAGGAAAACCTTCCCAAGCTCTCACCCCAACAGCGCCAGAAGCTCCAACTCCTCTCTCTCCTCCCACTCTCCCGCTCACACACAACCCTCACCTACTCACATCTCATGACTGCCCTTGAACTGCCTTCAACACGAGCCCTCGAGGAGCTGATCACCACTGCCATCTACTCTGGCCTCATCAGCGCGACTCTCGACCCTGCACGTTCACTTGTCTCGGTGACTTCCATCTCGCCCCTGCGTGACCTCGCACCAGGCTCGCTTCCCGCTCTGCAGTCAACGCTCCAGGCATGGTCGCAGCGCTGCGACTCTGCACTTGCCGATCTCGAGGCACAGGTCGAGAGAGTTCGAAAGGAAGCGTTAGACAGGGAGAAGATGAGGAGGAAGAAGGAGAGAGCGCTCGAGGCCGTCATGCAGGCGAGTGAGGAGAAGGGTGCGGGGAAGAGGGGTTTGGCAACAGGTCTTGGTGGAGAGGACGCGATGGACATCGATGACGAAGGGGGAAGCGGGAGGGTTACGAGGGGGAACAAGAGGGGTCCTGGGGGCTTTGGGCTTGGTGGCATGGGAGTGGGCAGGAGGCTGGGTTGAGAGATGGCATACCACCACCAGCGAACACACACAAAGTAATCACATTACTGTGATCTTGGGACACACGCAGGCTCCAAAGACATGTCGAACATGCATCCTCGCGCTCAAAGAGCGAACATCACACAGATGATACGCCAAGGGGGCTCACCATCCCCTCCCATCACGAAATAGACTTCCATAGAGTCCGCCACGACCTCACGAAATAAGAATACAAAAAAAGCTCAAAACAAAATTGAAGTATCATTCCATTCTTAGTCAAAATACCAAGGCTGCCGTACCATGCAAAGCTAACATGATTCCCTGCTCGAAACAACAAGCTTACTCGAACAAAGATAAGTCTATTCACACGAAAAGATGTCCAGCCATCAGGCGCCCAAGCCGGCACGGAAAAAAAAAGATGACCAAAGTCAATCACACGCACCCAATTACCCAAGTAAGTCGAAGCCGATGCCCAGTCCAGTCCAGTCCAGTCCAGTTGGCAAAAACAACAAGGAAATCGGGATATAACCGCATCGCAAACCGTAGAAAATTCAAGATGGAACGCCCACGCCATGCCGGAAGTGTCAAAACCAACGCGCAAAAGTAAGAGGTGGAGGAGAAGAAGGAGAAGACAGATACCAGGGAAACAACGACACATCGACGACAGCCTGCTAGGCCGGCGCATGCGCAGGTGCAGTGGGGGGTGTCTCGACGGCGCTTGCTCCGTTCCCGACGCTGACGCCGGACCCCATTTGCGTGAGGCGGTCAGCCATGGTGCGCAGCGTGTCGCGCGTTGCGTCGATGTTGAGCTCGCCTCTCTCCTGCGCCTCCTTGAGGTACTGTTCCCACTCTGGATCCATGGTGATGTTTGCGTGGCCCTGCGAGCGCAGCGCAGCAGCGTGCAGCAAGCGGGCGTTGAGCGAGAAGCCGACGCTGGCCTCGATTTCGTCGTGGTCATCTTCGTCTTCTGCGTTGACATTTGCGTTTGCGTTGACGACATCGCCGCGGTCAGACATGGCTGTGTCGCGACCGGGGACTTGTTCGATCTCGACCTCGATGTCTGTCTTGACGTTTATGCTGTTTGGGCGCGGGGCGGGCGACAGCGACGCAGACGTCTTGCGCCGGTCGACCCAGTCGCTGATCTCTGTGCCGGTCGTGTCCGTGACGCGGACGCCTTCGTCGCGCTCGTAGCGCTCGCGCGCCCACAGCGTGCCCTCCCAGCGGCAGAAGGCCTGGATCTCAGAGTTTGTGAGCCCCAGCGAGTCGAAGGCGGCGAACAGGCGGGCGTGGTGCTGGAACCGGCCCAGACGCTTGCGGTGCGGCCCGTGGGCGTAGTTTAACCCGGGGTATCGCGCTTCGATTGTGTCGAGCGAGCCGTAGAAGTTTGCGGTTTCGATGCGCACTTCGCCTACGAGGTTCTTGGAGAGGTGTGCGCTGAAGGACGGTGGGTCTGTGGGGGAGGGCGTCGGAAAGAGGTTGTTGTAGACCAGCACGCTGATGGGTGTTTTGCGGTGCATGATTGTGGTTGGGTGTGTTGAGGTGCGGTGGTCGCGGTTGAGGGTGTTGGAGCCGTGGCTCACAGAGCGGTTGGTTTGGTCTGGGTTTGGTTTTGGAGGTTCGTGCAGGGTATGGTAATTAAGCTGTTGCACCAATATGTGACCTGTTCGTTCCAAGGATTCTTCGTGTGTAGAAACTCTGCGTGACCAGCTTGTTGGTGCAATTGATGCGCCCCGAATGGATTTGCTGCCTGCGCAATACGAGTTGATGGTTGAAATGAAGCCTGAGCAAGCTGGCTACCAGGTGTACGCGACTCCTGGAGAGATATATATCCGGTGGGAAGACCAGAGACCCTGGTATGCTGGGAAATTGCTGGAGGCGGTACTGCGGGAGGCGGCACAGGATTGGTATGGTACACGTCCGCCGAGTCGAGTGAAAACGAGATATATGTTCCTCGGCCAGCAAAAGCAGTTCACAGCAGCGATAGCAGGAGCGAAAGGGGGGAGAGGGAAAAAAGTCCAGGAGACAGCAACAGCAGCAGGAGCATCAGAAGAAGTAGCTAGCGACACACACCGACGATCCGATGGGAACCCAGCTCACCGCCATGAGACCAAATTTTGGGTTCCGTCTCCTCCAAACAACCTCGCACCAGGACCAGACCCTGAGTTTCCTCACGGACCCCGGTTTTCTCATCCGTGGACCACTCACGACACGGCGCGCGGCCTTTGTCAGGAGTGCCGCACCTGCACGTCGCCACGCACGCCCGCGCCCTGGACGCCGTTTGGGAGCAGTGTGAGCTGTCAAAGAATGGCAGATGTGTTGTAACGCCCGCGGCCAATGGCACGCCGCGTTACCCGGCCCCGAGTCGGGGTGGGCAGCACGGAATATTGCGCCCGACGCTACAACTGGCTTCTCGACCGCCGGGAGAATGCACGCACTGGCTTCGTGCGATTAGATAGGTACCGGTGTGATAAGACTGCGTGAGCCTGGGAGGGCATCGTGCGGTTTGTCCCGTGAATGGGGCTGTCTTGCTCCTCGTCCTCCAGATGTGAGGCTGAGATGCCAAGGATCGTCGCTTGCACCTGCATGCATCGTGGACTTCCGGGGGTAAGTGACGCGACATTGTCGATGCATTCGCCGGTGTGCGTCCGTACGAATATTGAATGGGCAGCGGTTGCACAGAAGCTGGATGCGTCCACTTTCTCGTCCGTTGCTCGTGTGACTTCTTGCTGACGGCGCGCAGAAGTTCGACTACTCGACACGTTGTCAAAATGCAAGAGCGGAGAAAAGGGATCTGCGCCTCAGCCGTTGATGCAGCTAGGTAGGTCTCACACCTAGCCCGGGACTTAACTCAAATCACTGAGCAAGATACTACGCGCGGTTATTCGGCCATACAGATATCATAGACAGTCACCAGGTTTCGATTAGAAATCTCCCTCTCTCCGAGCTAGCTGGTTTGACTAGGCATTTCTGGAACGTAGGGCTCTCAGGATATAGATCCCCGAGATTCGAGGTTGCAGGGCTTGGTTTCTACGAGCTCGCCCTTGGATGCTCCGGAAGCACCTCCGAGAAGCAAATTGATCCATGGGAAACAACGTCAATGTCTCTTGTTCCCCGCCGTCTTGTTGTCAACTACATGATTTCGACGAAACCAGTAAGAGTACATGGAGCGTGTTTACATTTCTATTCGCCGTGCGCGCGAGAAGCTGATCTCTGTCGGTGTCCTTTTCGAGCTATGTTCTCACTGGCGTTTGGATCTTTTACTCAACAAGTCCTGCAAGTTTGCTCGTAACTTGGACGTCAGGGTTATACACGCTGTTTGCGGAGAAATAAGTCCGCATATTCGGCAGTGTACATCGCCCGATTGTCGATTGCGAGAGTCCACTCCACTGGCACTATGCAAACTCGGCACATCTCAACATTTCTCCATAGAGAGCAAGATCTACGAACTCGACAACGAATAACTTCCAGATCTATCAACAAAGTCAACACTGCTCAAAACAGATACCAAGTCTCCTCCCAGTACTTGCTCTATCCCTAACTACACAGCGTTCAAGAAGCACTTGAGAGACAACAATCCTCATCTTGTGAACAAACTTTGCGCTGTGAAAATGCAAGACTCCCTAATATGCAGATTCCAATCCGCATTGCCAGTGTAACGTATCAAACCGTCGGCGGCGACAAGGTCGATCGACCTCTATATTCACTAACATCAACATCAACCCGGAACCGTTAGCTTGGGCGCCTAAAGCATGGGAAGCTCATGCTTTGTTGTGCGTTGAGCGGTGGTTCTCGATGGAGCAGAGGAATTGGTGCATGGCGAATAGACTAGCATTTATAGTATATGGCATGTAGGAGGCAATGACATCGGCGGTCTCTGTAGTTATGAAAGGGATGAAGGTAACCTAGAGGGAAACGACAATGGGTATTTGAAGCTGAATAGCGATTAACGGGGAACTGTTTGCACAGTATTGTTGATTAGAACAATAGAGCGTCCCAACAGAGACGGGTAGTCCCGAACTTTGGAGATGGAAATGTAAACAGGTCCCGATGTAAGTGGAACGTTCTCTCGATTTCTCAGAACATGCTCTGAGGTGAGGGGATATGTTTGGCTACAGATGAGGCCTCTTAGCCGCAGAAGGCACAGACGGTGCGAACCCTGGACTTTGACATGTAGCTGTCAGACCCAATACAGTCTAGACTACCTCCTCTACCAAACGTTAAATGTTGATGCTTCTCTTTACCGCGAGAGGTCGCTTTGCGAAGTTTCTCAGATGGGACGCGTCACGCGTTAGCCAATCACAAGGCTTCAATCAACGCTAGTTGGCACTAGTGCTACAGCGAGCAATCGCTCTCAGTGCTACATCTATATCCTCTCCTTTACCTTATATCTACCCCACAGCTACTCTACAGCTTGAGGTCTACAGCACGATGAACAAAAGGCTTTGTTCAGGTTTTTGAGACATATCTCAACCTACCAAAAAGTTTGGTGGCAACATTACTCACAACATCGAGAAGTAGAGAGTAAACAAACAAAAACCTCCACAATCTTTTGTCTCACTCCGCACCCTCACCGATACTACTCATCTCTTTTATCCCGCTGATTCACCGCTCTTACCTTACATCTGGGATTCCCCGACTACTATAAAGAACACCCCCACCACTCTTTACATTTGCATCAACATCATCATCAACACAACAACAACCAAGCCCCAACAACATGACACCAGAACAGAACTCAAAGGAATTCAAAACTTTCGAGCCGCCGGAATGGGTAATCCAGAGGATGAAAGAGAACGCGGAAGCAGCTGAGAAGAGGAGGAAGTTGCAAGAGGAGACGGGCCATGTGAGTCGGTGGGCAAATCTTCATACCAACCCGCATTACTGGTATGATAGAATTGATGAGATGAGGAATGCCATGGGTCCTATGACTGTTGAGCAGACGGCAGAGGTCGAGCAGACGCCAAATTCTGAGCGTGTACCGATTGCTGAACGTCTGAAGAGTATGCAACAACCTCGCGACACCATTCAGCCAAGAAGGTCACCGAACAAGGCACAGGTTCAAACTAATAACGAGAGACGCGATAAAAAAGAGAAGCATAGACGGGAAGTACAAATTCAGAAGGAGAACGGTAATTCGAGGGCTCAATCTCCCACGACGCAACAACCACTCGTTGCAGCAGAATCGTCCGCAGCTGGGGCTGTTCGGGAGGCAGCATCAACGCCTCACCAGACTTTCCTATTGCCAGAAACGGTAGTGTACAAGTATCAAGCTCAACCTCTACCAAAATGGTACCTTGCACTCAACATCAAGAAGAATGCTGAGATGAAGCGAATTGCCAAAAACCGTCCACAGGCGCTTTCCGCTCTCGACGCACTCAAAAAATGCATTGGCAGGTGTGAACAGGCGCAGAGAAACAACCCTGCCCAAATACACAACCTCTACGAGGAGCTTCGCGACTACGTTCACAAGGCCGAAATCAAGCTACACGTCACTGGACCGATTGTGAGAACAGCCATGATACTCCACCCTACCGGACTGCCTTGCATTTTCGCTGAAGAATCCGCCTTCCCATCGGATCTCAAGAGCGATAGCTATCAGTTGTACTGTCGCTGGCTGAGAGAAGATTTTGATCAGAACATCCTGCGTGGCATTGTTCAAGTAAAGTCGAAAGAGCGAAACGCCGATCGGCTTGACCAGGCTTACAAGAAGAAGTTCCCAACTACCGCCAAATACTACGGAGGGGAAGGTCTAGTCCTGGGCCAGTGGTGGCCGACGCAACTCTGTACTGTGCGAGACGGAGCACACGGAGCAGCGCAGGGAGGTACGTACTTGCTATTTTCTCGACCTCTCACCTCGCTGAATGGTCACTTACTTTTACGTAGGCATATCTGGCGAAACAGACAAAGGCGCATACAGCATCGTGCTCTCAGGCGGTGGCTACCATGACCAAGACGACGGCGATGTCATCGAATACAGCGGCACAGATGGAAAGGACTTCAAAGCAACAGACGCGACTCTGCACATGGTCAAGTCCGCTGAGCTCGGCAATCAAATTCGCGTCATCCGCTCCTCACAGCTGGTCAAGAAGAACAAGTATCGCCCTGAAGTCGGACTACGCTATGATGGTCTGTACGTCATCAAGAGTTTTAAGGTGACCGATAGGGAGAAGCAAACGTACCGCTTTCACCTTGAGCGCTGTCCTGGCCAAGACCCGATTCGATGCGAGGACAATTCTTCCAGACGGCCAACACCTTATGAGGAGGAAGAATTTCGGAACCTGAAGTTGAAGGATTGGTAGGGATGCGGATGTTTAATGGGATGGACGGTTTGGTTGCAACACAACTGTGTAGAAATACTTGGGTTTGGAAACACTTGGCGTTTGGCGTTCAGGCACGGCGAATTCTTACGACAACATACGATACCCCCCCCTTTGGCGTTTAGGACGACGGTCCTGTTGTTGACCGATTCGAAGCGACTCCGTTTCGATCTGGTTCACGCAACACAGAGGATCTGGTCACAAAACGGGTTTACCACAATTTTGGATGACATGAATGGAGACGAAGAAGGACGATGTTCATAGGCGTTTTGTACACCCACTCACTCCCGTTTTCATGGAACAGCTTTTTTTTAGGTAGTTGGGATAGCTTGCGATGAAGACAAATAAGTAGGTCTTAAGTTGTCTTCATTTAATGAGCGTGATATCCTATCTTCACCTCCACTATTAACTACAGAGAAAGCGAGAGAAGTAGAATAAACCTACTCTTCCTTCACCTTCACTCTCATACCCATTCCCTCCTCCCTTTTCCACCAATGTTTGGACTTACCTCTTCACCTCCCCGTGAAAACAGTATGTTGAAAAACATGCGAGAGTCATCAGACTTTACGTTTCACTGCATTGTTGGAGATGAAAAGCTGTCTAGGCGAGAAGGGGAGGAAGGACACAACATGTCGACGCATTCCAGGTTATTTTCATCCCTCTCGCCACATCACACTGTATCTCAACTCACGAATCTCACCTTTCCGCACTCCACGTTTTCTTCCGTCCCAGACTAGATTTTCACGCAGACGTGTGCTTCGAAAAAACACTCCCAAACAAAGAACGACACCTGCCTGTTCTCAGTCTTCCACCACTCTACTACTTATGTGATAACATGTAAATTGCCATGACACGGGCCATCTGTCAGATATACATAAACATGACTATTTAGCTATGCTCTCGTATGGTGGTAGTTACTCAAACGATGGTATTACGGTGTAGTGGTAAAGTTGAGGGGGGCGGAGACACACCTCGTGTTTTGGATAGGCATGAAGTGTAGTTTTGGTTGGAATGCGTTCTTCAGGTTCTGTGGTGATGTTCGAGCCTGTTGAGTTTTATGGGGTTGGCTTGTGTAAAGGAAATGTGGAGTGTAACTTGTTGCGGTGCACTGGGGTTGTTCAGATTGGGTTTGATGTATAATCACAGGCAGCAGTAGCACAGGCTTCGTTAAAGTAAGAGAAGGAGATTAGAGTGGATTGGGAACCAAGATTCATTGTTTATCTTGGGAGTACCTGGGTTTACATGCTCATGCTCATGCTCATGCTCACGCTTGTGCTATGCTCATATAGGGCTCGATCATGTACCGCAGTATCGTACTGGAATCGGAGCAACCATCCCAACATAAACCCTATCGTTATGCCTGGCTGTCCATCTGTCATTCCGCCCATTGTTGTCCTTGAAAGTAGTTGTGTATGCTGAAGTTATGGTCGTCGACCACCAAACCAGGGAGCACAAAGTAGCACTCCAGTTCCCTACCAGTTGGTAGCGGGAGTAGCATCAGCCCAGTTGCTCTCAGCGGCCGCGGTGGTATCGTCAGCCCAGTTTCCCGTTGACTCTTCAGCAGGAGCTTCGGCCCAACCACCAGTAGCAGCACCAGAGTCGCCGCCGTTGCTCCAGCCACCACCACCAGAAGACTCAACAGGGTCATTGGGGCAACGCGCAGCACCGTGACCAAACCTCTCGCAGTTCCTGCACTTGACGCGGCTCCAATCGCGGGGCTTGTCGCAGTCGCGGCCGATATGACCTTCGGCGTCGCAGTTGTTGCAGCGCATGACTTTGTCGTGGGGGCACTCGCGGGACATGTGGCCTTCTTCCTTGCAGTTGTGACAGGTACGTCCGCCACCGCCACCTCCGCCGCCACGAGGAGGCTCGGTGCAGTCGGATTTGTTGTGTCTGTGTCTACATTAGGACTGGTACATCGTATGACGGAAGAGACATAAAGAACGATTGAAACGCTCCAAGACTTGAAGATTCAAGCACATGTAAACGCGCCAGAAGCTGGGAAAACTCACCCAGGTAGGTTGCAGTTGAAGCAAAGACGATCGCTGCCACCACCACCGTTGCCGCCGTATGGCTTCTTGGGCTCGGTACACTCACGGGACATGTGACCATCGTTGCCGCAGTTGTAACAAGCTCGACCACCGCCGGAGCTCTTGGGACAATCACGCTTGTTGTGACCAACCTCACCGCAACCGAAGCATGCTCCGCCGCCGCCGCCGCCACCTCCAGACTTGTTGCCGTAGCTGGAAGTGTTGGCACCGGTATCGAAGCCGCCAGAACCCCAACCGTCATTGCCAGAAGTCGTAGTGGTGAAGCCGTCGTCGCCGGTAGGGAAGCCTGTTGGGTCTCCTCCGAAGCCGTTCTTGTTCTCAGCTGCCTCACGCTCCTTGGCTTCTGCCAGGCGATGCTTCTTGGAGTTCTTGTGAGCGTTCCAGTTGATGGTTGCGATTGTGCGGTCACAGAGCTCGCAGAGAGTATTGCCCGGCTCTCGCTCTTTGGGACGAGAATAAGGGTTGCCTAGCATTGGCGTTGCCATGACTGAACCACGAGCCATGATGAACGGAAGTGTCGTGGAAGAGGGATAGATCTGGATGACACAAGGCAAGGTCAGTAAGGTAGAATGGGGACGAGGGGTGATGGTGAAGTGAACTGCGACGCATTTGCCGTCAAGAACCAAACTGCGGTAAGTCGAAGCCGTACACCGCGTCGAGCCTGATAGAAGCTTTGCGGGCGCGCTGATGTGTGTGGGCTTGTAAATGCTCGCAAGGAAGCTGCCTGATGCAGAAAACTCGTCGTTGGCCAGCGGATAGAGTCGAGTTCTACTTACAGTCTGTTCTTAAAAAGATGTAGCAATTGCCGTCTAGGTGTCTGGGGTCGACGTTGAGCGTATGTTGTCAAGGTGGAGGTGAGGTGAAGGCGGAAAGATCTGACTTTTATAGAGGCAGGAGCCACCCGTGCGTCCGTAGCAACGATAACAGCCAAGTATCTGGCGCAACGACGACGAATGCGTTCCGTTAGCGAAGATAGAAAGAATAGACATGGAAACACATGGAAGTGTCGAATAGCGGTTGTCAGAGCGACACTCATCTGTCATGACGGGAACTTGCATGTACGGGGCTTCGCCAGTGTTTGATCAGTGGGCGCGTGCATGAGGAGATACAAAGTAAGACGGTAGGTGGTATACATGCGATACGGTGACAGAGAATTGAATGACTTTGAAGAGCCATGCAGCACACGAATGAGAGATGGGAGATGCACTGAAGTCGCCCACACGGAACGACAGCGACGATCAAAATGAAAGAAATGATAGGCAGTTAGGCGGGAAGCTTGATCTAACAGTAACGGCACGGGGCTTCTGAGACGTTACTTGTATGCGTAGCTCATACGAACATTTCAGCGATGGGACAGATAGACGCTGCAGAAGTGATCGGACAAGTACTGTCATTGACTGACAACGGCGACGGAGCATCCGAGATCTCGCGACGACGTCAACCCATCTTACAGGCGAACAGCCCCATTCTACATTACCATTAACTCTTCTAAAGACGACGTACTTACCACTCTTCTATCAGACCCTCAGGATGCAGCAAACAGTCCCTCTTCACCGTCAATTTCCTCATCATCTTCTTCTGCCAACAACTCGTTCTTTGCCGGCTCTTTCCAACCTGTGCACGCCTGCACGACTACAACCACTGCGGACAATCCGACGGCACTGAGAAATAGTGCTTTCAACGCGTCTTGGTACGCGCCGACAGCGACGGACCTCTCCATGCCCTCCAACCTTCCCACCAGCGCCGGACTGCCCAAGAGCCTTCTGATCAAATCGCCGCGTTGCTCGAGTCCCGCGTCAGCAAAACCACTTTTGAGAGACTTGTGTAGAACGCGCCCAAAGAGACCTCCGCCGATCGCCGATCCGAAGCTGCCAGCAAACCCACGGAAGGTAGCCAGTAGAGATAGAACGATAGGATGCACACCCGGGAGTGTTAGATGTAAGAGATGGACCAAAGCGTAGTTCAGAGATGCGCCGGTGACGAGCCCATTAAGGAAGACGATCGAGACATACAAACTCCACGTGCTAGTGGGTGTGGATATGAATGACAGAACAAGCATAGTGAGCGGGAAGAGCCCCATGGAGATGACGCTATGCATGTAAAAACTGCCAGTCCTCTTGATATGGAACACACCAGCAAGTAGGCCACCAGAAGCGAAGCCAGCGTTGGTCGGGATGAGTATCGATCCAGCCACGGCGGGTTGCCAGCCTCGGACGGCGAGAGCATATACAGGCGTGTAGAACAATATGCACCAGCGAGCCATCATGAAGCCGGTCGTTGCGAGACATGTGAGCAGCGTTCCACGAGAGCGTAGGACGGAGACGGGGATGATGGGATCTTTAGCAATGTATATCTCGTTCAGGATGAAGATTGGCAGAGCCAAGGCAGACAGGATGAGCGGCGTTAGAAGAACATGTGGGCCAGATAACCCGAGCAAGAAGAGAACAATAGTGGCAATCAGCAACAAGGCTCCAGAGTAGTCGATGCGTGCGAGCTTTTCCTTGACAGAAAGATACATATACGTGTCGTTTTTGGAGGTGTGGTTGGCTGGGATAGAAAAGAGGAGGCCAAATCCTGCAAGCAGACTCAGCGGCGCCTGAACACCAAAGAGAGGTTTCTTGGATAAGTTAGTTGTTGTTCACAGAATTCTGAGCCGCGTGATTTTGGAGGAATGAACTTACCCATCCGATCTTTGGCTCTAGTGCACCCGCTATCACAGCTCCCAACGAAACACCCACGGTCATTCCAGAATTGACTAGACCAATATAAAGACCGCGTCGTTTCGGAGAAGTCATTTGAATGACAAGGATACTAGCAACGATGAATATGCCACCACCTCCAACTCCTGCACACACTCTCCCCACTATGAACATATCAAAAGATACGGCCGACGCGGTGATGGTGGTCCCAATACTCATTACGATGGTGGAAAAGAACATGCAGAGTCGCGGACTGAATACCTGGGACAGCCGGCCCATTAAGGGAGCTAAAGACGACATTGCGATCAGGTAGGAGGAAGTCAACCAGCTGACCTTCTCGAAGGCATCGAGATCTGCAGCGATGGAGGATTGTGTGGTGGTGAGGATGGAGATATTTGTTGCTATGTAAATGTCAGGGCCTGTGGACATGTAGTAACCCGTCGAACCACGAATCAAGTTTATTGAGAATGTTTAAAGTACGTGGAAGTTAACGATGAACGTGCATGGACATAGAGAAAACGCGTTGATGTTTCTGCGAAATGCACTTCGATAAGATCACACCAAAATAAATCAATAGTACCTTGTAGAAATATGAGCAAGCCAATAGATCCCATGATAAATGCTCCACGCGAGGTCGAGATAGTTTCATCTTCGTCCTTTCCATCGCTTCCGGACAGACTCGGTGATGTTGAGCGACGGAGAAGGGGCTCCAGGTCCCCTGGATTGCGTTCGTGTCTCATAGCGAGGAAGACGGTGTGGACGTGAGAAAACTGCTCAGGAAGTGATCAAACGCGTAGAGAAGAAAGAGTGATGCATTGTGCAAACGCCGAGATACCAATGTCATTATGATCATGACGATGACCGTGCAAGGTTCCTTCCGTGAAGGATGACAAATACGGAAAGAGCTTGAGAGCGACTGCCCGAGGCACGCGACGGGCTGCTCTATAAGTCATACCACGCGTCAAGCTGGAGCTTGGAGTGACGAAGCTGAGTGTGACGGCCAACAACCTCCCGAGAGTGAAGAGCACGACGCTGCAATTCCTCGTGACAGCAAACGTCAAGGAATCGGACCGCGCATGACGTAGACGCCGATTGGGTTAGCGCCTGAATGCATGAGGAAAGCTGGCCTCAGACAATCACCCCACACGCTGGTAAAGTCGCGTTGGTCTTCCTTCCTTTGACATGACGCGATGATTTTCTTTTTCTTGAGAATCTCTCACATTGACACATGCCCAAGATGAGGCCACGGTCGCAGCGGTTCATACCGCTCTTGTTTGGTATGCTGACATGTACAACATGGCGACGGGTTCCTGACTGACTGCTAGGCTACTAGTTGTCCTGTCACTATTCCTATCCCTCGGCCTGGCGCAACACGATGACAACGACCGCTCGCATTCGCAGCAGAAGCCGCTTACGGGAGACGATGCTTGGAAGTCGACATGGGGGAGCGCCAAAGAGGGCGCAGATGCACACCATGGAGCATCGGTTTATGAGGAAGCTATGACGCTGCTGCACAGGATCAAGCCCGCCTCGGCGCCATGGTACAACTTCGAAAAGAAATCTGGTATCCTCGGATCCAGCGCATACTACGCCAAAGAGGTCTTCTTCCTACTCTTCATGAATGGACCACCACAGCAGGAACTCGTAACGACGAATGCGCAACCAACGAAGCTCGGCCAGCCTCTTTCCCGAGCTGTCAAGCTGCTGGAGGAGGCAACTGCGCAGCAAAGCCCCGACGCCTTGTTCACACTCGCTGAGATGAATTTCTATGGAAACTACACGCACCCGCGCAACTACCCCGAAGCCTTTCGACGATACCACGAACTCGCAACGCTGAACGGAAACGCCTCGGCACAACACATGGTCGGATTTTTGTATGCTACTGGCCTCGGCGATGCCGTGAAGCAAGACCAGGCAAAGGCAATGCTGTACCACACACTGGCTGCGGAAGGCGGGGACGTGCGATCAGAAATGACCATCGCGTACCGACACTCAACTGGAATCTCGACACCACGGAACTGTGAGGAGGCTGTGCACTACTACAGAGAGGTTGCGAAGAAGGCAATTGTTTACATGCGATCTGGACCACCAGGTGGACATTCAATGCCTAGGGACTCATTCAAGATCGCCGATGAGGAGGGTGGCGTATATGGAGAGGGTGCGAGTGTAAGCAGCTCAGGACAAAACGCCAAAACGGGCAGTGTTCACTCCGACGCCTACTCCTCGCTGGACGACGTCGTCGAATATATGGACCTCCAAGCTCGAAAAGGCGACGCGAGAGCCAGTTTCAATCTTGCCAAGCTCAACTACGACGGCGCTCGCACATCGAAACGGGATTTGCCAGCGGCTAAAAAACGCTTCCTCGAACTTGCCCGCATGAACTGGACAAAAGACGGGAAAACGAAGCAGAACGTGTCGCCCTTGACCGAGAAGTTGGCGTCAAAGGCGGCTGGATATCTTGGGCGCATGTTCCTCCGAGGTGAGGGTATGCCGCAAAGCTTTGACATTGCTAGAACCTGGTTCAGACGCGGCATCGAGCATGGCGACGCCTTGTCTCAATACTCGATGGGAATCATGTATCTCAACGGATTTGGGGTGCCCAAAGATGCTGTCAAGGCTGCAGAACTGTTCGGAGCAGCTGCGGATCAGGATCTCGCGGTAGCGCAAGTTCGACTGGGAGCTTTGTTTCTTGACCAAGGCGATGTTGCGACTGCCATGAAATACTTCGATCTAGGAGCGCGACATGGTCACCTCGAGGCCTACTACTATCTTGCAGAACTCACACACAAGGGCGTCGGGCGCGATAAGTCTTGTTCAGTCGCAGCCGCTTACTACAAGATCGTAGCGGAGAAGGCTGAACTTATCTCGACCTCTTTTCCTGAAGCAAACGAAGCTCACCTCAATGGCGACCTCGAAACAGCACTCGTCGGTTACATGATGGCCGCGGAACAAGGGTTCGAAATCGGACAGGCGAATGTGGCATATCTCCTCGACCAAGTCAAACCACGCTTCACATTCAACTCACTCATTCCATTTATGAAGAAGAAAGCCTCACTCGCCAGCGATGCTGTCCTTGCATTGATCTACTGGGCACGATCCGCCGAGCAGAAAAACGTCGATTCGATGGTCAAAATGGGAGATTACTATCTCCATGGCCTCGGCACGCCTCCAGATTCCGAAAAAGCTGCGGCTTGCTACCAGGCTGCGGCCGACACCATGAAAAGTGCACAAGCCATGTGGAACCTGGGATGGATGCATGAGAATGGTATCGGCATCGACCAGGATTTCCATCTTGCCAAAAGACACTACGACTGGGCGCTAGAAACGAACCCTCGCGAGGCCTACCTGCCGGTCAGATTGGCGCTGTACAAGCTAAGATTCCGAAGCTGGTGGAACACTGTTACGAACGGGGACATCAAATCCATCCAAGAAGAACCAGGTATGTAGCGCACCCTGCATTCTCTCGTTGGACGATTGCTGACATCTCTGTAGTCGTTAAGAAAAAGCGCACCCTCACTGAATGGCTGAGCGCCTTCTTGGAAGCCGAACTTGCAGGCTGGGATGATTATGAAGCCGATGACTACGACGATACACATGTCGGCGACGACTACTATGACGACGAGATCGACTCCGACATCATCGAGTCTCTTGCCATTCTAGCGCTTAGTGGAGCACTAGCCTTTTTGCTGTACTACCGAGCGCAGCGACAACGGCGGCAGGAAGAGGAGCGAATCAGACAGCAGCAGCAACAGCAGCAGCTGGACCAGGGAATAGTGCCTATTGCTCAAGAGCAAGCGCAACCACAGCCTCAACAAGACCGAGGGCTGTTTCCCAATCCAGGTGATCCTGATTTTATGAATTGGGTTGCTGGTGGAGCTGGACATTAAGTTGTCTTTTTACCACTTTTTAGATGCATAGAGTGGCGTTTTACGAGACATACATGAGCGACTTTTATGGGCGAATCAGGAATGATGCGTTGGTGAAAGCCGACGGTGGAGACGCAAGACCATCCAATGATATGTTATGCTGAATATTATTCCATCAGAAGTGTCCTTTTGCCGTGCTTCACTATCATGCGTAACCTCCCGCTAACCATCTTTTCCAGGTTCTTTACCCGCCGTCGTAAAGAACAAAGTTGATATATCTGTTCCCTCTCGCCATCACCTTATGTATTACCTCACCTCACACTATCCCCCATGCTCTTCCTGCTTCATTCCATCCTCTACACTCCTCCTAACAGCAGCAGCATGCCCCCTCTTCCTCCAACTCCTCGCCCACCAATCTCTACAAAAATCCCTAACGAGAAAACACTCAGGCCGTTTACACCTCCTATACTCACGAAGCAGATCACGGCAGTACATCTGCACCAAATCCGCATCCTCAAACCTCCACTCCGACAGATCATGCAAGCTAGGCAGCGGATACACAAACTTCCAATGCCTCACCAACGCGTCGAACCCGCCCAGATCGACAGGCAACCCCGTAAGTCTGATGAACGTGCTTTGCACCCGGGAGGCGAGCAGCTGCCATACTCGTCCGTGACCTGCGATGTTGGGGTTCAGCGACGCGGTTCGGCACATCCCGCAGGCATACTGCAGAAGGAACATATGCACTGCTTCGTGGAGAAGGCGGCTCAAGACATCGAGCATGATACTGCCGCCGAGTGAATGGTGCGTAGGGACAGTGGGATTCATATCGATGGACCAGATGAACCATCGGCGAGAAGCTCGCCCGCGTCGTCTGTCGTCGAGGGACCGCTTCCAACGGAATCTTTCGAACCAGCTCGACCCGGCGAAGAAAATGTCGTTGGTCCAGCGCCAGAGCTGGTGCATTTCTTTCGCTGGGACTAGGTTCTCGCGGTCTGTCTCGAGCGTGCTGGGACCGAGGATGTGTTTCAAGCGCGGTTTAAGCCACTTGTTCAGCTCGTGCAAGGCCTCTAACTGCAGGGTGTTGAGATCCTCTTTCGGTTTGTCAAAGTACTCCACGACCGTTTGTGCGAGGTGCATAGCTTCGCAGCGGAAGATGGTACCGAGTTGTAGGGGCCGGTAGCAGGGTTTTTCGTACCAGTTTGGGGTTATGTCTGTTTTTAGCTTTATGTGGAAATGCGGGGACGGGCAGTTCCAGAAGGAGGTGTGGGGTGCTGGGTTGCAGAGGTCGCAAGTGCATTTTGGAGGCGGTTGTTGGGCTTGGATTAGGGAGTAGAGGTGGGTAAGGTTGGTGGGGCAGGGGAGCTTTTGTCTTTTGTGTTGGAGGATGTGCTCCCTTATGAGGTTCATCGTGGTGGTTGGATGGTTTGGTGATGTTAGGAGGCTTGGGGGTTGGTCATTGGTGGTTATTGGGAAGTGAACAGTCACATAGATGTTTAGGGAATTACGATCATTGCCATGCTGCTTTCCTCTTTGTGATTACCGGGAACAGATGTGACATTGTGATCAAGTGACCAGGCATATCGTGTGAGTGATGAACCGTTCAACTGCTGCTACTGCTGAAACGTACATGTGTCTGGCATACACTTTCCTGTCATGCAGTTACTGGAAAAGTTGAGATGCGTTGATAATTGTTATGTATCTGAAAACCGAGATTGTGACGCATGAGAGAGGTTATGAAAGTCACTAGGATCAAGCATGATATTGTTGGCAGAGCGTCCTGCACATGTTAAGTTCCTAACTATGTGATATTTGAACAGATCAGGCTAGCAGATTTTCGCACTGACGAAGGTGTTTTGGATTGTAAATTTCTTAGTGGAAGATAACTGAGAGATGTGTTACTGCAGCCTCGCGGATTTACACAGCGATGATGACTTGTTGTGAACTAACATTATGTAGGCAAGTTCTTCATCTGGTCATTCATTGTTTACGAACATTGTCACGGGGAGGTAGATTATAAGTTGAACAGTTGAGTACACTTCGACGCTTTTATTACGTTCGACTAAATTCAGCATACTTTACCTTGTAAAATCTCAACTTACCGAACCATCACAAAATACAACATGTCCAACCACGGCAACCGAAATTATGATGATAAAAGCCCTATCGCTCAACCGGAGCGCTGCTTGAGCTACACCGAGGATGATGTGGCCATCACAGCCAACGGCCATCGAGTCCGGGAGATTATCCCCATGGCATGCAGGCCCTGGACCGGTCAGAGTCATTTCGATACTTCGACCTCTAAGATGGACAATTATCATGACCACCGCAATATTCCCAACTACCATGATCACACGTGGCGCAATAGGAGTGAGCAAGTCCACGATGTCACAGAAAAGCCGGTGACTTCTCCTTCCAACGAATTCAACTCCACACGCGATCTTAAGCATCGTGATGATGATCATTCACATGGGTCTTCATGTCAATGCCGTGGTGAGATGGACCGCAATGATGTGTCTGATGAGAAGTTTGCCGGTGGTCGTAGTGTGCGGGAGTCTTTGCATGAGAGCCTCGACACTTGCTTCGATGGATTGGGTGAGGAATGGAGGAACGAGAAACGCAAGAATTATCACTAGGGTGAGATGGATGTGGATGGTCGATCTTGTTAAGCAGGTGGGTACGGCAGTGATTTGAGTTTAGCTGGTAGAGGAATAAAGTGATGTTAGGACAACGGAGTCTTCATGAGTAAAGTCCTGGCTTAGTGAGTGAAGTTGGCTGGATCAAATTTTTCCCGGAGAAGTTATCTGTGGATTTAACTGGCTTGAGTATTGGTCTCGAAGGAACTTGATGTGTGTTTCGGCTGTGGTTTCTCTGTTCACTGTCGACGTTTGGAAAGCATTCCAAAGCAAAGTAGGGAAACAAGCTGAGTTTAGTAGTAATGAAAAGCAAAATAAATTACAAGTTAAGAGCGGAAAAAGGCAGCGAGATAAAGACTAACAAAACCAGCGAATCTACAAAAATATGGAAAACGACAGTGACCAATTTCTAAACACCAACGACTGAGCACACGCACTCATTCCAGTCCCCACTCAGTCTCGACCTCCTCGAGCGTAGGCCAGTGCTCAATCTCACTCCAATGTACTTTTATCTCATCAAACCCACCTATTTCCAGTGAAACCCCAATGCGGCGAAGAGCAGTCTGCTCGATCCAATTCGAAAGTCTCTGCCATACTCTCCCATGTCCACTAACCTGCTCGATATCTTCACACGTGCGGCAAACATATAGTTCAACAAACGCATGCACCACCTCATGGAGCAGAGTGCCAAGTCGACTCCTTGTTCTTGCACTGAGTCCGCCCCCATGGGGAACCAGTGAATATTCAACCGACGCCAAAGTAATCCTCGGGTACAGGGGTAGAAGAGAAAAGTCGCCGAATCTGTCAGTGTATGACTCCCAGCAGAACCTAATCCTCGTCTTCGCGGGACAGATGATCTGGAAGAAGATCCTAAGGAACAGGTGGATCAAGTATTGCATCTCTTCAGGCTTGACAACGTCGGCGGCGTTGATAGCCCCAAGTCGTCCCAAAAGCCCGCCATCAGCAGCTTTGCTCTTTAGTAGGCGGAACTCATCACATGCGGCGATTTCGTCCTCTGTCAGTTTCGTTTTTGATGATCTGAGGTACTGTTCGACATCGTCGCTGAGAGCCAGAGCCTGATGACCTCCAAGTCTCAGAAGTCTGCGAACCTTGACTGAATTGCCGAATCGGTTTATTGCATCGTCTTTCTGAATAATTACCCATGAGCAGTTCGGGCAAGGCTCTTCAGCTGTCTTTTTTTCCTCATGTTGCCCACGTGTGTTTTCGTGATGTCTTCGAACTAGGTTTTTGAACTCCTCAACCGTTTCGGGTTCTTCATGCTCACACGGTGGTTTTCCTATAGCGAATTCGACAGAAGACATATTGTTTACTTAATCACGGTTTGTGTAAGCTGTTGGTATAGACAGGAATCAGTATCCAAGGAACTTTTATACGCCTTGGGATCCCATGTCTCGAATCTCCAGCAAGGTTTAGAGACAAGCTCAACTGTCTCCTACTCTAAAATATGATCCAAAGTTTTCGTCTTCAACTTCTTTCATGGTCAATGAATGGCCGATAAGTTCCAGAACTCGACATGCATCCACCACTCGACGCAAGACATGGAAAGGTGTTTCGGTATGAAGTGAAGACCACCCATAACAGTTCCACGATAGCAGTGTGCACGAGTGATATCGAGTGTGCAACACACGACTCGCTCACCATGACCAAGGAACTAAAATCATACCTGCCTTGAAACTTGGCACTAGCCATGCTTTTCAGCTGAAATACATTCCAAGCGATAACAATTTATGAGCATTTGCATAAGGCATGATCCACCTAGCTAGCTCTCTCTCTCCCCGATACTTACCATACAATACAATACAAACGAACTATACTTATCACGAAACTCAGCACATGCATTGCTTTATAATCTGAACGCCTTCGACACCGAACATATCAAACAAAGACAAATCTCCGACTCGTCAAGATCTGCATTGTATAGAACATACTAACACGCCTCACCATAACATCACAACCCGCATAGCCACCTAAACCCCGAAGCCGCACCAGAAATCAACATAGCAGATACTTTGTAGAAAGCACTCTTCGTTATAGTGATGTCTTTAATCGGTCTTGTTTTGATCATGACAGGCAATGTTCAGTCTAGTCAAATCTGTGTTCGGTGTAACAATGCAACATAATCATACTTGAGGACTATCTTGCATTTTGCATAACAACACAACAGATAGTCTGATGAGTGCAACATGTAATAAGGTTTAAATGTAAATGATTAAGGCCTAAAAGTGATGTTGACTTAGGATGGGTAAGGCTTTGAGGTATTTAAGATAGCGCTGCACCATTGCTGTTTTTGAGTTGATTACAGTTAGGTACAATGAGCATCTCAGGCAAAATGCAAAGGTTAAAGTACTACTAGACCTATCGATCATTATCAGAATCTCCATACTCTTGAGATCAAACAAACCCCGCCCCTGAACTTCGCTTTTACGCCTCCCTCCACTGAATAGAAAAACGAGTCTACCAAAGAGTGCTTGCCTATTCAACCCATGACAGGCACTACTCGTTGCAGTTAAATTTCTCTACAGTGTAAAGATGCCCATTACTAAATAATAAGGTCTCTGATACTTTTCAATAACTCTCCTCAAGACAAACATCAATGTACTATTTCTTGTTTTTTCAGTACAAACAACTATCCATATGGCTTCAACTACTGTAAAACGCCGCTATTGAAACCCAACCTAATGCTCTAATTAAACTAATCGCTATATCCCACCACAATACTCCAACACACAATAAGCACCGCATACATGTCAAAAAACAAGCACCAGCCTTTCATGCGATACACCACTACCTCACATCCCCTGCGTCAACACCTGTTTTCACCGAAACCCATCCAATCAAGAAGCGTAGACTTCCATTCCAACAGTCCGAAGGACAGTAGTCTTAAAACAGCACAGCTCTGTAATATATCTTGTAGGTAGACTTTGTAGTAAGTGCAGGAAACTGTTTCTGTAGCCTCAAGCTTTGGTAACTGGCATCATTTTACTGGATGAAATTTCGATTGAAAGGAACTGTGTCCGCTGCGTTTGATTAGGCGTATGGACTTAACGTTATTAGACAGATGCAGTATGATGTAGTGAAATTTTGATGATATGACGCTGTGCAACTCTTATACGCGCTGTAAAGCGGTAAGAGCACGCAATTATACTATTGCAGTGTGCATACTAAGTCTTCAAAGCCGTAACCCGATTCATCTGGCCTATCTTACACAGTACCTAGTAATCTCTAGATCAAAAACGGCAACATTAAGTGCTCACCAACTCCAGACAAGATTTCAGTAGTAAATCATGGCAGGAAATCTAGACAGAACAATAAGAACACTATTCCCAGAGTCAGTGTGTTACCACAGCCATACAATCTTAATCCTCTCTCCATCTCATCTTCAGAACCAGCCATCTCCACCTCTACATAGAACAAGGTTCCAACGACGACACCAACCACTTCCCCTTGAACCTCTCATCATCGTAGAGAGAGCTTCCGCTAAGCCGTTTCGAACACCTTCATCTATATCTGTATCTGCATCTATCCAATCTGCTTCAAGAAGTCCTCGACCAACAAACCCACCCCGTTACCAACGCACAACACATGACACAACATCACCACAGCGAAAAAGCCAACGACACGTAGTAAAGCCACAAGAATCCCCCCACGCGCACCACCGAGTCCCGCGACGTGCCGTGACATGACGTGGATAAAACAAACAGGCCAACACAGTATACGAACATACGACAGCACCAGAAGCAAAAGAAAAAGGCACTAGGCAAAGCGGTGAGGAGAGCCCGTCACATCACGGCAGAAGGAAAGAAAACCGGGGGGAAAGGGACTAGGTGGGATGCAAGGCATACGGTGGGTGCTAGAGTGCCACGTATTGGGTTGGGGCGTGCTTTTGCGGTGGGGTGTGGGCGTTGGTCTGGGAGATGGGGTTGAATGGGGGTGTGGAGTACGGTATATCAGTCTTCCATGGTATGGCCGGCCTCTTTCTCGTATGACGCTGTCCCGAAATGGAGTACATGCTCCTGATCTAACGTATCGATGAACCTTGCATGAGTCAGGATTCCTTCGCTGTAGGGCTGAGCATATGAGACGTTGTTTGAGGTGAGGCAAGGTATCCCGTCGGGGGGTCCGATCATCGAGTGTGTTTAATCTCGTCAACATCGATGTCGAGGTCTTGAAACGAGGACCATGTTAGTTTGCATATCAAGGCAAGGCAACTACTCCCTTTCGCTGTCAATATCAATATAGGCGCGACGGCACTGCCCTATCGGACGGTCCTACGTGTAGTCAGTGTTCACATGCCATGTCTCCTGCGTACCTTCTGCCTGCTCGAGCAAGCTCGCGGCAGATGGGTGATGGGGTCGTCTCAGCTTTTCGGCGAGTCCGAGGCAGGACGGGTGCCGTCTCAGCTCATGTTCGTCGATCACCCCGTAGTCTCTTGAGGCGGCTACTGTCAGCGAATCGAGTGCCCGTAGCTTCATTGGATTTGTCTCCTGCCTCAAGCAGTTTACTGTATGTATGTTGCTAGTAGGGACTTGGTGATCGACAGGCACAATGACGTGGGGTTTCAACGGTTAGTCAGGCGTGTTTTGTGACAGTCGATTGAGTTCGTTGCTGATGAGTTGATCATTTGTTGTGAGACTTCTTGTCGCCAGGGCATAGTAAAACAGTACAGAAAGTATCTCCAACGACCATCAACCTGGGTAGAGCGACACAGCAGAAGAGCACGTTCACAGTTCGCCAGCTCATGCATGACGGCCGCCCCGGTAGGAGATGCGGATGACGCCTCGTTCCTGGTAGTAGATCCAGCGCTGCCCAATCAAATGCTCCTGCATAGACTGACCTGGTGTCCAGATCGTCCAACTGTGGCGTTCGCGCTGGACCCAGGGATGTGGGGCAGGCTCCCAGGATTGCAAACGTGACTGTATCCAGAACTCCCAGGGTAGGGTTAACCGCAGTAGGAACAAGGTGTGCTGCTTCCAATAGGATGGCGCACCGTGGTTTGGGATGTTGACGCAAGAAACAGGGAAGTTCCAAGCGACATGCGAGGGGGCGCAGTGCAACACGCACATGTCAGCCGTTTCGCACAGCTGCAGAGTCCCAAACACGTAGCCATGCCACGGAGAGGGTTCAGGACAGAAACCACGGCTGTGGGTACGAGGGCGCAGGTTTCCGCGTGTCTGGCGTGGCACCATTCAATTCGAGCTTGCGGCCGTTGAGGTGTCAATTTTACGAAGATCTCGTTGCGTGACTAGCGGCCCGTAAAAGATAGGGAGAGAAGGTGTTCCATGTTAGGATAGGTATGTAGAATAGGGAGGGGTGCTAGGGGCGGAAATAACGACGTGAGGAATGAGGTTTGCCTGCGATCCCTGCCCCAATTTTAGAAACGAGGCGCAATGAAATTGGGGCATGATGCGATTCGTGGGGATTGGGTTGGGGATACACGTAGCGCCTTCGATCTGCTGTCGAATGGGGAGCAACTCGTCGATCGCTTCTGCACGCCTTCTGTGGGGTTTCCGCTTGCAGACGCCGCGGGTGGATACCGCTCGGTCAACCATCGGCCAGAAGGGGAAGCTTGAGGAATTCTGCCCGCTTAACGATCTGGAACCAAAGACCAAGTCACACACTACACAGCCGGGCACGAATCCGTGCATCTGGTTGGGAGCTAAGGGGGAGTGGGTCTCGCAATGTTGCCATGCCCGGCGTCTTGGCTCGCATGTGCGCATACCCTTAAGGCTCCATGCTGCCCACAGCCTGGGGCCCGCCGTTATCACCAAATCCCACTCCAAGGAATGCATAGTTTTGTCTGCACGCCATAGCCCTGCCGAGCAGTATCCGTATATTCAGCAAACAGAATGTTTCGCGACTTCTCCTTCGACCAAGCATCGCGGTCCGACTACGCGCACCAAGCTGAGCTAGACGACGACACAGCCATCTGCCCGACGTCAACATTACTCGAGCCGGAAAATCTCCCTAGTCGACTGCCAACACCGCCGCCGTGTCTGATAGGCGACCTGGCACACAAGTTCACCCAGCAATCGCTCCGCATCAACACGCACATCTACCCTCGCCACAACGCTCATGCATCCGCCCCACTTACTCCGCCAAGCGACGAGGGTGCATTCCCCACCGAACCGTTGGGTCAGGCGGACCGCCCAACCTATTCTCGCGTGTCATCATCGCTGCTCCGGATGCAGCGCCAGGCCAATGCGCGGATGCAGTGCTGCCCGTCTCGCGTGAGGGATATCTCGAGGCTGGTGCGGATGATCGAGGCAGAGGAGCAATGCACAGTCGACGAGCCGGCTTCAGCGTTGACGGTCGATGAGGCTGACGAGGGGATCGACATGGACTACGACAACTCGACCAGAAGGGCGGATCTTGTGGCCGGCCTGTCCCTCCGGCGATCTGGGGAGCGAAGAGACGTTGGAGGTGCCAGGATTTCGAAGAGCGCGAGGATGCGCAGACGGACGAGGGACGATGGCCTCAAAATCTCCACGCGGGTCACATGATTTGATTGGGGTCGAGGCTGGTTCACTCGAATCGCGTTTTGCTTTGTCTTTTTGGGAGGCGTTATATACCCTTTGGAGCGTTGAGAGACGCATTCATTCGCAAACGTGGGGTTTGTCTTTTCGGTTGCAGAGCTCCCTTCGGGTTGAGCCTGGTGTTGTTGGATGCCTCGAGCGCAGTACTATAGTTACTGCGACTGTCGAGTCATAATATCACTCTTTGACATGCATTCTGTTCATCTCGTCGTGCTTAAGATGCTTCCTGCACGTGACATTCGCGTGTCCCGGAGCTCTGGTAAATTTCGCGTCCCCCACGTCTGTCGATGCATCGCAGCGTAAATGTACAAGCTCCAGCCTCACCACCACCGCCATGTCGCTCCGCAAGTTCCTGCCTGCACGATCTGTGCATCTGCGCATAATACCACGGCCAGCAAATTTATCAGAGAGCCGTGAGATCTTCCGAGTATTGCAGCGCTTTGGGGAGATTAGCATGTACAAATCCTTGCGGGTTCGTGAATACCGAATTCACATATGCACTTTTTCTCAAACAAATCCTGACTTTACTTGCACCGTAGTATGAATACCACAACCCCGCCGACAACATCGCGCTAGCCATCTACCGCTCCGCCGACGCAGCGCAACACGCCCTCGACGCCTCCCCCATCCGCTTCGCCCTCGAGAAAGTCGTGCCCACGGACAGCGAAAACACACAGCCCCTAAACGCCGAAGAGCAGCTAGAAGAGAACCTCGACCTGCACAACGCATCCCCAAACACTGGTATAGACGAGATGCTGCGCCCCAGCACGCTGTCCGCGCGTTCCTCCCTCCCTCCCACCAGCACCCCCCGCGATCCAGACCAAACCCCCCAAACACACCCACCATCCATGCCCTTCGCGGCCCCCACAATCAGCAAAACAGCAACAAAATGGTTCCAAGTCACCGTCGACCAGTCGCGCGCCGTGCACCAGGATTTCGTCGAGCGCCAGCCGTACTGGAAGCAGTTCACGCCCATGAAGAGCATGGCGCAGGAGGATCTGAGTAAGCGGGTGCCGCACCCCGGGCTGAGCGATGTTAGTAAGAGGCCGCCGAATGCGCATCGTACGCCGAAGAAGGTGTTGCGTTTGATGAGCGAGTATGTGGATCGCCGGATGGTTAGTCTGAGGGAGGTGTGGGAGGCGGAGCAGGATAAATCGAGGGGGAAGGTGGGGGAGGGGGGGAGGCGGTGAGGTTGAGGCTTTTTGTGAAAGGGTGTTGGGGTGTTGTGGATTTATGTGTGAAGATGAGGGGCGCGGGTTTCGAGGATCCACGGCTGGGGGTTCAAGGAGCTGGGATCTGAGAAGCTGGACTCTGGGAAATTGGAATTTCGATACGCTGGGACGTCACTCTCCATGCCTACCACGATGTTCAGGAACGAACAGCCCAGTTCACCAATCTCCCTAGGATACGGCTGTCCGTCAAGAGCCCGATCAAGGCACACAAAAGCGCTTCACTCCAAGCAAAGCTTCCTTTGCCGCCGCCCGTCCTCAACTATGGTCTGTACACAGCAACCTGAAACAGGAAGCAGATCTCACAACCCGCTACATGGTGAGAAAGACTAGGTTAGGTCTATCGCTATTCACGGCGAGAACCTCCACAAGTCGAACGTGCCCGCAGTCAGATATCACTGGAATTCCACTCTCCCGTGGTCTTCGAGGGAGAGATGAGCGGAATATAGTTGAAGGGGGAGGATATTGAACAAGAGCTGTACAACAGGATTGACCTTGGATCTCTCGCTACTTCGCGTATTGAGTAAACATCGCGCAAGGTCACTGCTTGGCCATCGGTGTCAGACCCGGATGTGCTGGGATGAAAGAAGGTGTCCTGGCTGGCTGGCTAGATGCCTGGCTGCTGTACCTTCAAACACTCCACCATCAGTGAAGCACAAAACTCGCATTTGATCACGTAGAAATCCAGTTTAGTACCGTATACCTCTCTCAACGAATAGATAGATAGACTGATAAGTATATACGCCACGACGTCTCTGTATCAATACATCAGAACATGCATAAATCAATCTTTTCCCAACCACCAACTGGTCGTACTTGTACATTTTAGTCCCATCCAAATAACACAACACAACCCAACCCCATTTTCCCCCAACGGCAAAGTCTTCATACCACGTCGAACCCCCCTCTCCTCCCGCAGATGTAGATATAGATGCAGACCCAGCCTACTTACTCCGTACCTCCAATTTCCTAGGCTTCTTCTTCTCCTTCTTACCATCGTGATCGTCTTTTTTATCCTTCTTGCCCTCCTCGCCCTGGGGCTTTGTCTTTTCACCCCCGTTATCCTGCGCCTGACCACCGTCCCCGCCGTTCCTCTCCTGTTGTTCCCGCTCGCGCGCGATGTCGTCGGCTGCTTGCCGTAGCAGATCGGGATTAGGCACCGCGTCTTCTGCGTCGACTTCTTCTGCTTCGACCTCTTCTGCTGCATCGTCTGGTTGTGCGTCTTCTCCTCCCGCCTCGTCCTCCTTCCCATCTGCATCTCCATCTTTCTCTTTGCCGTCTTTCTTCCCATCTCCATCCTTCCCCTTCCCATCCTTCCCCTTCTCCCCCCCACCAAGTTTAATAAACGGCCCCCTCACCCCTCCCACCCCCGCCCCCACCAACCCCCCAACAGCAGTCGCAGGAATCGCCAACACCGTCCCCGTCACAGTCCCCACCACAGTCCCCAACCCCGCCCCAACCGCAGCCCCAATCCCACCCCCCCCGACACTCCCCTGAAACGCCCCCGACTGCAGCAACCGCGCCTTCTTACTATTACCATGCGCCTGCATCTCCTTGTCATACGCATCGCGCAGGTATTTATCGCGCTTCTTCGGGTCGCGGATAGCGTCTGCGGCGGAGCGTAGCGACGAGGCGGTTTTCTGCGCGGTGAGGGCTGCTTCGGCTTGGGAGGCTGCGGCTTGGAGGGCGGATTCGGGGGAGTCTTTTGCGCGGGCGACGAGGGATTTGAGTTGGTCTTCTGGTAGCTCGTCTGCTTGCTTGGTAGTGGGGGCGTCTAGGGAGCGCTTTTCGAGTTTTTTGGGCGCCATTTTGGTGGTGAGGGGGTGTTGTTTTTGGTGCGGAATGGATGGGGGGTTTTGTGGGTGGTGGCCATTGTGGGTGGGTGCGCGGGTGAGGTGGTGGTTTGGCGTTTGTGGACGTGTTGCTATGGATGACGTCATGTTGGGGTAGAACTTGGATTTAGGGTGGGACGAATCATTATGTATGCGGTTGCATTGTTCATTTGTTATGTTATGCATTTCCTCTCCAGCTTTATATGTGGAAAGTTACAAAGCATATCTCCGTTAGCCGACCGTTGGTGGCGGTACTACTTCTCTACGCCGCCCAGGTCAACGTCCACGCTCCCTGCCACGCTCCACCGCTCGTCAGATCATTCAGACCCGACAGCGTCAACACACCGGTATCCTGGCTGTAATCCACCTTGCTGCTCTCAACCGACAAGTCGTTCAACGTAACAGCGCCCACATTACCCGTCACACCCATGATGGTGACATTCCCAAGCGCGTTCGTATCCTTGTACCCACCCTGAAGCTCAACATGCAACTGCCCCTTCATAGCCGTGAACACAATCTCCAGTGTATCCTCAGGCTCGAGCGACTCTCCGTCGTCGACGTACAACGAGCCGTACGCGTCGCCACTGCTGGAAAGCGCGACGATAAGCCCCCATGGGTTCTTACGCGAGTCCGTGGTCGTGTAGCCTGGTTCCTGCAGAGGGAGGACGGAGCCGCCGCGGATGAAGACGGGGATGTGGCCCAGCGGGGCGGGAATCGATGTATTGACGCCAGCTGCTGCTTCGACGCGCTCGCCGGTGTACCAGTCGTACCATGATTCGCCGTCGATGATACCGGGGAAGACGCCCATGACGGTGGAGACTTGCGGCTCGAGGACGGGGGTCACGAGGATGCTGGGGCCGAGCATGAATTGCGTGTCGACGCCGGCAAGTTGGGGCTCGTTGGGGAACTCCCACGACAGTGCGCGCATGACTGTGGAGCCAGTGGTGTGGGCTGAATGGAATAACGTGTACATGTACGGCAGCAGAGAGTAGCGGATGTGCATTGCCGTGCGGGATGCAGAGGCTACGCTCTCCCAGCGGAAGGGCTCCTGGGGATTGGCGGAGAGCGTGTTGTGGTTGCGGTAAAAGGGGAAGAAGGCGGAGAGTTGCATCCAGCGAGAGCAGAGTTCTGCATCACTGTTGCCGTTGAAGCCGCTGTAATGTATTGTCAGTCTACTTCCTCACAGTCAGGTAAGGCGAGTACTCACCAGGTGTCGACTCCAAACATGGGGATACCGAACAGCGAAAAGGACAGCGCCTGGGGGATGGAAAACCTCATATACATGAACTTCGAAGCGTTGTCTCCGCCCCAGTGTCCCGCCCACTTGCCACTCCCAGCAAACGTAGATCGACCGATGATGAAGGGACGCTTGCCGGGGAAGACAGACAAAAGACCTTGGTACGTAGCATTGATGATCTGGTGCCTACGAAGAAGTTAGCCATGCGTGCGGGTATAGTACATAATGGTTGGAAGCTCACCCAAAGATGTTATGCGCATCATATTCTTGCATTCCGTTTTCATGCGTCGCGTTGGGACTAACAGCATGCACGGCAAGATCGCCCTGAACGTTATCAAGAACATATGGAGGGTAGTTGACGTTCCTCTGCCCAGGCGTCGGCACGCTTCGCAGGTAGGAGGTAGTCGAAGTTGTTGTAGCAGGTGGCTGTGGAGGGTTCTGGCTCGACGCACCAGCAGAAGCCGACGCCGCTTCCGTAGCATTAGTGACGCCGAAGCCTTCCGGGAAGTCAAAGATGATGTTTCCAACTTCGCCTGGGAGGGCAAAAGGTGGGTGCACGGGGTTCATCGTGACGTTGCCGGTTCCGCAGGATCCCACACAGAACGAGGATACTTCGCTCATGTCGAGCCAGAAGCCGCTGAAGGGAACTTCCTTGTGCCATTCGACCCTGGGGAAAGTCAGTGCCGTTATACGCGCACATGCAGACAAGACTTACATCTCCTTGACCCACCACGACACGCCGTTCGTGGACATCCAGTCGGGGAAGACGGTGTAACCGGGCCACACGGCACCGATGTACTGGCTACCGTCTGGGTTCGTCATGAAGACGCCAGACTCGTTTCCTCGCATGTAGGTATCATAGGCATCGCTGGCATTGGTGGGATTCGGGATGTAGATCGCTGAATCCACAATCGGAACGAAGTGCTGATTGTTTCCATGCAGCCATCCGAAGAAATCGGCAACGGCAGAGGGAGAGAATGTGACAGGGTCGAGCGTGAAGTCGCGGTACTGATCCATGTAATCGATATCGAGCCAGATCGTCTCTGCATACATGTGTTAGTGAGGTCTCAAATACTATCGTAGGAGCCAAACATACCCAATGGAATATCGAACGCCTTCATCGACTCGACAATCCCTCGTAGCTCAGTCCAATTGTGGTATCCCCAACGACACTGGTGATAACCAAACGCCCAGTACGACTGCATAGCCGGGAGACCAATGGCAGACGTCTGGTACTGCTTGGTGACTTCAGCCTGTGTCGGACCATCGAAGAAGAACATGTCAATCGAGCCACCCAGCGACCTCCAGGTCAAGTTGGTAGGCTTAAGCACGACCTCCATGCCATGAATATTCCGCAGATACACACCATGCGAGTACGACTGGAACGGGGATCCACCATCACTACTGCTGCTGGACTTGTTCACGTATCGTGTCTCGAGGTAGAACGGATGGCTGCCGTACAAGTTGCGGTCGATTGGATCACCCACGTCTGCAGCGTAGATAGTCGCGGTGAAATTGTTGTTCAGCCTCAAGCCGTGGATACGCTCTCCCAGACCGTACAAGTTGTAGTCTTCCGGGAGCGTGTTGACAAACTCGATGAACTGGTCTTCGAAGATGAGATGCGTGCCTTTGGTTGTGAAGATGACATCGCCGGTAGATCCGCGCGTGACGCTGAACCAGAACGACGGCTCATCAGCCCCTGTGTAGTAGGTCAGCAAAACAACAACAACAACATATCTCCAATCTACAAAAGAACACTCACAATCAAACTTCAAATCCAAATCTCCATACCCATCCTCCGCCCCCGGTCGCGGAATAAGCTCCTCAGGCAAAACATACTGCGAAGAATTCGACGCATCCTAACCCCCATCAGCACCATCCCCACCCTCCCCATTCCAACAACTTACAAGAAACGCCGGCTCAATCGTCACCGCCAACCGATCTTTACTCTGATACTCAACCCGCAGATTCAAAACCTCAACATCATTCCCATAAACACTGCACGGCGCGCCCGCCAGCGTCAACACAGCGCTCACACCCCGCTCATCGCTCTGCACCTGCGACGCCTTGTACCCAGGACACACGGCCTGCGCGTCCACAGCCGCAGGGTCGTTGATATTGGGGAGTAGATCCGCGCCCTCGTCGGCTGAGGCGGGGATCGTAAACACGGAGCGGAACGATGTGGGTGTGCCGGCCAGCGTGGTGCTCCAGCCACTTGCCGTGGGGGAGGGGGTCTGCGCAGCCGTCGCTGCGAGGGAGGATAGCAGGGCTGCGGCGCGGAGAAACATGGTGGGCGGCGACATGTTTGCGCGGATATGGCCGTCCTGCGATTGTCACGCGTGGGAAGATGGGGGGGAAAGCAGTACATTGCTGGCTGATACACAATGGTATATATACTCCCCCCTACCTACTCTACAACTACTGTACTATGATGCGCGCCGATCAATACCCATGATGAGCGTACCCAAAAGCCCACCAGCAGGGATGCGCTACGACCTAACCTAGCATCCGCAAGCGAGAGAATGCGGGGAGCAAAAACATGGAGATGGCGTTCTCGCGCCGACTACGCGCCAATCAGATCCCTCCCCCGCCGATGTGGATCTCCGGGGTCGAGGTGTGGGAGGATAGTCGGAAGGCGTGCAAGACGTCAGGTTTGTGGTGCTAGTTGTAGGGAACAAGGAAAAAGGTCGCTAGGTGGGATGGTCGCGTTGTGCAATGCACGATGACACCAAGACTGCGGGAGTGGCAGGGCGGTGGTGCGTCGAGATGGAGATGGTTGGGATGCATGGCGTCGCTGTACAATGTACGAAGCCATCAATTCAAAGACCTCATTCCCGTCAATTTCTCCATACAGCCAGCAAACCAGACAAAACCACGCATCTGCAGGCACGCCTCCACATCTCGACCACGTACCTAGTGCACCGTCATGATGCCGGACCGACACCTTCCCTCCACCATGCACATCGATCCGCCTGAACCTTATCCCCGCGAAGCTTAATCCTTGCGTGCCTCGCTTTATGTCATGCCCTGTCATGCAGCATAATGCATAAAGCATACCTGCTCTTCGAAGACTACGAGGGAGAGGCCAGGGGGTGGAGGTGAGAGGAGGTAGGTGGGTAGGTAGTCATGACATAGTAAGTATTGGGTATAGAAATTACTTGTATCCTTCATCCTCAGCGTATGTACTCCTCGTTGTATGTACTCCTCATGGGTGCGAAAACCTCTGTCCAAATAGGTAGGTAGGTAGTAGCTTGTTCCTAGCCAGCCCCGCCTTGAATCCATCAAGCACCGTAGTCGTAGGCAAAATTCCCGCAAGTAGCTCGCCTCGTCCCCGTCTCCACACTCACATTCCAATCCAACCCAACACGCTGATAGGTCACGAGTCGGACCTCCAATAAAAACACAAGACATGGTATCAGAACATCCGCCAAAACAAAAATGCCGCTCGATAAAAAAAAACCACAATCCCCACATCACTCCATCTCACTCACTCACGCAAGCGGCGAATAGCTATCCGCCCGACTCGGCCTCCGTACAAACATCTCAAACGAGTCCGGCGACCCATCGTCGTTGGGTAAGTAAACGCCCTCATCTGGCAGCCAACTGCGCGAGTTATGCGTCATCTGCGTTTTCTGGCTGAGGGCGCGGGACGACCTAGCAGATTGCTGCATGATATTCTGCAGCGGTGAGGGCGGGGGGACGAATTCTTGCACTAGGACTGGAGAGGAGCGCGACGGCGGCGGTTGTTGGTAGACTGTGGGGGAGAGGCGGAAGTTTGCGTTTGTGGGGCTGAGGAGGGATGTTGCGGCGGAGTTTGGGTGGAGGAGGGATGTTGTTTTGGGGAAGCCTGGGGAGAGCGGGGCGGGGAGGAGGCTCATGTGTGGAGTTGGGGGGTTTATGGCTAGCGGGTTTATGGCGCGTGCTGGGTTGCGGTGCGGGAGGTGTGGTGTTGTTGGCGAGTCTGTTGCTGCTTGGTCGCTGATGATGTCTTGGTACCAGTCGTAGGAGCGGAAGCTGAAGCTGGGACTTGGGGGTTGGAGGTCGGGTAGTGCGAAGGAGAAAGGTAACGGTGGGCCGCCGCGTTCTAGTCGTGATAGTGCGGAGATTCTTCGGCCCTGGAGTTGCGGTTCGTCGTCGGTTTTGTCGTCGTCGTATATTGTTGAGTAGATTCTCGGTGGTTCGTTCAGTGTTGGCATTCGATCTAGTTCGAACTCCGAGCTGTAAATGCTTGACACTGGTTGCTGTGCAATTAAAACTCGTGCCTCCCCAGGCACTGGAGGGAGAACTTCCTTGAAGCGCCATCTCGGTATTGGCTCTCGTTGTCTTGTGCTGTCGCGAACCATTCTAGCGGCTTCTTCGTCGAAAAGCATGCTCTTGTTGATGTTGACATTAAGAGCGAAGAGTCTTTCTTGGGTAGGCGCTGGTGGAAGAGCTTTTTCTGTCGCAGTTAGGCCGTTGTCTCCTGTGACCTCCTCCATCGCCGTTGCCACTCCATCTCCATTATTCCTTTGACCGTCTGTCGTCCTCCGCAATCCCGCATAGAACTCCGCAGGTAAACTCATCTCCGGGTCGAATGTTGGGTGTCGTGGACTGTTCGGCATCGAAGGCACTAATGTCTTTTGGTCGTTGTCCACTGTGAAGGATGTGACGTTTGATGGCGACCTAGGCCGACTCGCTAGACGCTTGCTTCTTATCTTGAAGAACCAAAAGCCAACCGCTATAAACAACAAGATAAATACTGCGACTCCCACTCCTACTCCAGCGGCGGCAGTCTTGCTCAACTGGCCGGTTGGTTCTTGAACTGCGCCCAGCAACTCGGCCTCGTTGGGATTGACATCGCTAGAAAATGTAGCAGGACTTGTAGTATCCGCAGCGACGGATGTACTTGTGAGTGTCGCTGATGGCGTAGGAGTGGCGGAATCGAGTGAAATAAGCGTAAACTCTGGTAAACTAGTATGTGTATTTCTCGTCGTCCGGCTCAGGGTGGTATGTGTAGTCGATGTTCGTCGAGAACTCGAGGTTGATGTGGTAGACATTATAATTAAAGATCGTAAGCAGTACTAGTAAAGAGCGATTGGAGTACTATGCTCTTGTTAGTAACTGCAAGCAGAATCAAAGGTGGGTGGTATTACATGAGAGTGATCAGCGCATTCAATATATGCGCAGCCGAACGAGTGTGATTTACGTGCAAGTCAAGTCAACAACACCAGCCGACTACCGAGATGGACGACGGTTTTAGAAAGAAAAATGACGCGGCGACAGCATCGCAGAACGGGAGGGATTTGCCCATATTATTGTACGATCGACAAAACAGGAACAAAGTCTATTGGCGATGCGGAAGCATGACAAGACCCACTTGGAGTTGGTGGTTTGAGGCATGTTAGTGCGCAAGCCATTGTCGCACTGGGCCAAACCTTCTGTTAGGAGCAATACTAATCCGAGGCTGAACTAGAAGCTACGCTCTTCTAAATGCAAGCTAAAGGAGATGACAGAATGTAGTCAACACGATAGTTCCGTTCGCCATGTTCATTTTCTCCTTCAACCACGCGACTGATTACCCAGATCTACGAGCCAAAGGAGCATTCTGATGTTCGCCGGGTACTGTGTGATTGTAGTTGTATGCAAGGATGTAGGGCGAGTCAAGGTGGTCCAAAGTTAGTACATGTTACCTCCAAACTGTTTCATGAGCATATATAGTAGCAGTGTAATTGCGCGCTATGTCACCGAGATCAGCCACTTGACCACCTCTCTCGCGTTAGAGTCGGGAGGAAAGACCGGGTACCACACTTTCACGACGATCCCGTCCTTGACTGCGAGCGCAAGTCTTTTGATTAAGACTTTGCCTTTCCACTCGAATGTCGGCAGTTTTAGCGCTTTCGCAAACTCGAGTTTCTCATCCGACAGCAGTTCATACGGAAGGTGTAGCCGCTCCTTAGCCTCGGCTTGGTAAGGGGTATCTTGGGACGATAGTCCAAATACGTTGTTCACCCCAAGCTTGCGCAGCTCTGCCATCTCGTCGCGGAAACTGCAGGCCTGTGGTGTGCAGCCACGGGCTCCTGGTATGGCGTTCCAATCGTCGGTGATCGTCTCGCCTGGTGCGCCGGTACGAGGATAGCAGAAGACAATTGTAAGCCCGGTGAACGACGATACATCGACATGAGCGCCCGAGGTTGCAGATAGTGATACCGACGGCATTTTCAACCCGGACAAGTGCGAGCAAGCGCCATCGTCTTCGGGCACTGGTAAGTCGGAGGGATGAGTTGTATCTGTACCCGTCAACAACGAACGGTACGGGTCTTCGAACCGACTCGACTTACGGGCCATGATCGTTATTGAATTCTGTCACCACTTCTGAGAATTGAGACTGCTGGACGCACAATTGGGGTGATTTGAAGACATGGCCTGCGGGGAAGACACCGACCGATACATCGAGAGATCGTGCACGTCACAGCAACGAGCGAACGCGACCAGGGTCTTAGCGAACGCGTCGGTCGCAGCTGCCCTCAATGTCGTCATCTAGTAATCACCCCACTGCCATTCGCCAGCATATATGTGCCGGTAAGCGTGCAGCTCATATACATACGTCTGTCTGCCGTCTGTTGTTCAGGTTTTAATGCAGTCATTACGCTTCCTACGACCTCTACGCTCAAGTTTCAAACTCCAATCCTTCCACAAAGTTTACCTTCCAAAAGCAGCTTTCAGCACAACAATATCCACCATGGCACAAGAGTTCAAGCTCAAGGACGTTACGTCGTTGAATTTGAAGAACGGGGAGAAGAAGGAGGTTGAAGTCGAAGGTGTTGAGGGAGGAAAGGTACTGTTGTTGAAGGTTCAGGACAAGATCCATGCCACATCAGCCAATTGCACACATTACGGAGCACCGTTGGTGAAGGGTATTCTCTCACCTGATGGAAGATTGACCTGCGCTTGGCATGGTGGTACGTTATATTCCGCTACATACGAGACAATTTAGTCTGACGGTTACAGCCTGCTTCAAGGTCGCGACTGGAGATGTCGAGGATGCACCGGCACTCGACCCCATCTCAAAGTATGAGGTGTTCGAGCGGGACGGCGCTGTATATGTCAAGACGGACGAAGACACACTGAAGGCCAACCGCAGAGTCCTGAACGTCAAGTGTTCATCTATGAGCGATGACAAGGTTCTGGTCATTGGAGGGTATGTCACAGCTGCTCAGTCGTGAATGGTGTTTGCTAACTTGTGGAAGTGGCTCAGGTACGCTAGGCGCGATCGAGGGCCTACGAGGCGGAGGATACACGGGCCAGATCACCGTAATTTCAAAGGAAGGCTACCAACCCATCGACCGAACCAAACTGTCAAAGGCCCTATTGGCAGACGTGTCGAAGGCGGCTTGGAGACAAAAGCAGTGGTACAAGGACGCTTCGATCGACATCATCGAGGACGAAGCTAAGAGCATTGATTTCTCGGGTAAGAAAGTCTCCACCAAGTCTGGAAAGACGTACGAGTACTCGAAACTGGTGCTCGCGACTGGTGGAACCCCGAACATGCTACCGTTGGACGGACTGAAGGGTGACCTGGGCAACGTGTTCCTGTTACGCACGCTCCCGGACACACAAAACATCTTGAAAGCTGTTGGTGACAACGGCAAGAAGGTTGTCGTGGTAGGCAGCTCGTTCATCGGCATGGAGGTCGGCAACTGTCTCGCAGGCATGAAGAATGATGTTACTATTGTTGGCATGGAGGAAGGTGAGTGTTCGTTCTGACTGGTACTGTGAGCACCAACGCTAATCAATCAACAGAGCCAATGGAGCGGGTAATGGGTAAGAAGGTTGGCAAGATCTTCCGAGGCCTGCTCGAGAAGAATGGCGTCAAGTTCAAGATGGGCGCAAGCGTGGAGAAGGCCACACCATCGAAGAGCGACTCATCCAAGGTTGGGGCTGTACAGCTCAAGGACGGAACCACACTCGAGGCCGACCTCGTCATTGAGGGTGTGGGTGTCAAGCCTGCAACGGAATATCTCAAGGACAACTCCAGCGTTAAGCTCGAGGAGGACGGCTCCCTCAAGACGGACGAGTCCTTTTCCGTGGCAGGCCTGAAGGACGTCTACGCCATTGGCGACATCGCAACATACCCTTACCACGGCCCTGGAGGCAACGGCGCCCCGGTCCGAATCGAGCACTGGAACGTTGCACAGAACGCTGGTCGTTCAGTGGCTAACACGATCAACAACCCGGGAGCGAAGCCCAACGCGTTCATTCCTGTGTTCTGGTCTGCCCTCGGGTCCCAACTACGCTATTGTGGTAACACGGTCAATGGGTACGACGATGTGGTTCTGCAGGGCAAGCCAGAGGAGCCGGCGTTCGTTGCGTACTACACCAAGGGTGAGGATGTGGTAGCCGTGGCCTCGATGGGCAAAGACCCGTACGTAGCGCAAAGCATTGAGCTGATGCGCAGGGGAAACATGCCGAGCAAGAGTGAGTTGCAGAAGGGAGTGGATCTGATGGACGTTGGTGTTCCAAGCGAGGTCAAGATGTAGAAGATGGTGTTTAGTTTCAACGTTGATACGAATGCCAAGACATAGACTTCCCTCCTCGTGACGTCAAGTTGAATTGAATGCGTGCTCTCGTCAAGGCATGCCGGGTATATGCAAGACGTTTTACGACGCACAGAACGACGAGGGCGATGGCCGTGATGATCGACTAACGACGAGGACGTGACAGGCCCCCTCGGCGGCAAGAGCGATCCAAGCGCACCTGTAATTTCCGAACATAGTCACAAGATTGTAGGCGTACGACATGTCACAACTACCGGTACCAAACAAACAATCTAGCGGCACCGTCTTTTTATTCCATCCTCATTCTTGGACAGAGAGATGAAATAAGGTGCAGAAATGCATGTGGGATTAACGTTATGCAGTCGCGGCGCCGGCCGAGACGGTCCAAATGGCGCCGTGGAGGCTCTGGCAGACAAGACAAGACATATGCAGGGGCAGTTCCCTTGCAGGCAGAGCAGCAGGGCATGGATGCATTCGATGGGCCGCTAGATGCTACGGTGACAGGTGTTAGGTGTTGGGTGTGCGGGCTTCTGCGCAGACGTGGTGTGGTGTGGTGGTGCCTGGATACGAAGTCATCACGGGTGAGCCAGGTTGTTCGAGTTTGGGGGGCGCGTCATGATGTGCGCGGTGCGAGGTGCATGTATGTGGAGGTGGTGGTTGTGTTGTTGATGGGTTTACTTTTTTTTATTTTACTTGGGACGCGTTGAGGAGAGCACGCGCCGGGCTATTTCACTCATCACACTTCACGCATGCATGGTGTTAGATGGGGCTCTGGGCGATGGGTTGGCGTGTTTGGGGGTACGGTAGCTGTGGGGGTGGAGATGATGGGCAGAGATGGGCAGAGATGATGACCACAGATGATGGGCAGAGAGGGAAGCGCGAAGAAGGAAGCGCTGGCCGTCAACACGGCGATGCATGAAGAGGTGCAATTTGCGAGGGCGCTGGGAGCCGTGGATGAAACGGGCTGCTGGCAGGGCGGGTGGTCTGTGTAATTTGCGTCGTCGCGCGGACGTGCTGGGACGTGGTCGGTGTTGTGCGGGCTGGTGTTTGTGCGCTTCAAGCCACACAGCGTGGACAGAGCTTGACGAGATTGCACCTCTCCAGCCGCGCTCCTCCTCCTCTCCACTCACGTCCCAGCATCACGTCCGAGAGGCTACTCGCTTGCTCTCCGGCACCCGTTGCATAGGCGGCGCGCTGTCTGTCTGAGTCTGAGTCCGCGTCTGCTGTCCTGCACCATCCACCTGTGCTGTCTGCTGTCTGCTGTCTTTCGCGCTCGAGTGCATGTGAAGGGGCTGGTCACGGCCATTGCTATCGACACGACGCAGACGCGCCACGCCACTGCTCCCACGCCCAATCCCCATCGCCAGCGCCCACAGCTGCCGGGACTAGAGCACCGCATTGCAGCGCATCTCCCCGCCCGCCCGTCGACCGCTCACCGCATCCTCTGCTGCTCCCGTCGCCGCATTTCTTGGTTCCGCCGCCGCCCGCCAGCACCACAGCACCGAGCATGGCCGCCGTGGCATCGCAGGCGCAGTCGCAGCACCAACAGCAGCAGCAGTACTACCAGCAGCAGCCGCCCGCCGCCCCAGGCACCGCGCCAGCACGTCGACCCTCGCAGCGCCGTCCGCCGAGTAATGGCGCGTCGGCCAGCACGTCTGCCACCGCCCCGCGCGTCCACCCACCAGCCATGAACTCGACCGGCGCCATGCCCGCACCGCCGCCCCGGACCTCGTCCCACCGCACCCAGTCCTCGACGTCGACCACGGCCGGCGCACCACACCCCGACGCGGCCAACGGCGCCCAGTCGCGTCGCAGAGGGAAGGAGAGCACCTCGAGCAGGGCCCAGCCCGCCCACAGCCGCTCTGCCTCGGCCGTCGGCCAGCCGCCCATCAACACGTCCCTGCCACGCGAAGAGAGCGCCGTCCTCAACAGGGTCGGCGTCTCGGACCCGCAGGACGACATTGCCCGTGCGCAGGCTCGCCAAGCCGAGGGCCTTCCCGCGGACGTCACCCCCATCACCGGCCTCGGCCTGGTGGGCAGCGAGGGCGTCGAGGATGGCGGCCGCGGCGCAGGGCGGAGCCGGCAGGACCACTCCAAAGAAACCACCGTCAAGAAGCAGAAGTTTGGCAACTACATCCTCGGCCACACGCTGGGCGAGGGCGAGTTCGGCAAGGTCAAGATGGGCTGGAAGAAGGAGAGCAGCGTCGAGGTCGCCATCAAGCTCATCCGCAGAGAGACGCTGGGCGGCCACTCGAACCGCCTGCAGAAGATCTACCGCGAGATCCAGATCCTGCGCCAGCTGGACCACCCTAATATTGTCCGCCTGCACGAGATGGTCGAGACGGAGCGCCACATTGGCATCATCCTCGAGTATGCGTCCGGCGGCGAGCTGTTCGACTACATCCTCAACCACCGCTATCTCAAAGACAACGCCGCCCGCAAGCTGTTTGCCCAGCTCATCTCGGGCGTCGGCTATCTCCACAGGAAGGGCATTGTGCACCGCGACCTGAAGCTCGAGAATCTGCTGCTGGACCGCAACAAGAACATCATCATTACCGACTTTGGCTTTGCCAACACCTTCAACCCCAGCGACGAGCTCGGCGAAGAGATCGAGTACCGACTGAACGATAAGGAGTTCATCAGCTCACTCGGTCTCATGAACTCGGACGCAACACATCGCGGCGATCTCATGCAGACCAGCTGTGGAAGTCCATGCTATGCCGCGCCGGAACTGGTCGTCAGCGACTCGCTCTACACGGGCCGCAAGGTGGACGTCTGGAGTTGTGGTGTTATTTTGGTGAGTTGTTGAGATGCACTCTTTCACGCAGTAACTAATTGAGAGTAGTATGCCATGTTGGCTGGCTACCTGCCCTTCGACGACGACCCAGCGAACCCCGAGGGCGATAACATCAACCTGCTCTACAAGTACATTGTGTCCACCCCGCTGACATTCCCCGAATACGTCACACCCCACGCAAGAGACCTCCTCAAGCGCATACTCGTGCCCGACCCAAGGAAGCGCGCGGACCTGTTCGAGGTTGCGCGTCATAGCTGGCTAGCCGACTACGCCCACGTCGTTGGCTTCATCACGTCGAGCAACCCGAACATCGCCGAAGCCTCGCAACAACAATCTTCCGTCTATGCGAGTGAGTCTCCACACTTGTATCTATTCACAGATCGATGTACTGATTTATTACTAGAAGAACCATTCGAACAGCCACCACCGCTCGCCAGAAGTGCGTCGGTGCGCGAGCCAGGAAAATCACAGACAGTGGCCTCTCCTGTGCATGGTGGACTCACTGCCAAACGCGAGCAGATCAACCAACCAGCCTCGGAGAAGCCCAAGACCGGCCGCGACACCAAACGCCGCACGGTGCAGGTCGAGTATGTTGCGCCTCAATCACAGACTGTGCGTGGTGAAGCATCGCCTCCTGTTGTTGCAGCTGGTCCGTCGAATGCCCCGGCTGAAGTTGATGGATACCAATCATCATCTGGCGCTCGGGCAGGCCGTGCTGCTGCAGCTGCAGCGCCTACTCCAACTCGACCAGGGCGAGAACCACAGAGAGCGGCTTCCGACTACACCGCTTTCGGCACAGCTCCTCCAAATGCTGGAGCGCGACCATCCACAGGCGGCTCGAGAATGCCATCGCGAGGAAACTCATACGCACAGCCGGCGGCGGCAACTGTTGCTCAAACCAATGTCGAGGGCCGCTTTTCACAGCCCAAGGGCAAGCAATACTCGATATCAGCACCGATTGTCCAGCCTGAGGTTCCTGGGATTGTCGAACCTAGCATTGGGCAGCCGAGCACGCAACGAACACAGTCCATCCAGCTTGGCCCATCAGGCGCAGCTGCAAAGGGCGGCCATAAGCGGTCGAACACTGTCACCGAGACGCTTGGACGTATGACATCCATGTTCTCAGGCCGCCAGGCCTCCTACACAACAGATCCCAGAGGGTCCGCCACGTCCCACAACTCGTACGCAGACTACACGGGGACCGGGGAGAAGAAGGAGAAGAGATACCCCCCGACATCCATGTCAGGACCCATGTCAAACTCCAACGACGTCGTCGCAGCACCCAGACAAAGCACAGAGTCCAGCCGTCGCACCTCCTTCAGCTTCTCGCGCAAAAACACAAACTCGGGTGACGCCGCTAGACCCTCGCGCAGATTCTCCCTCCTCCCCGCTTCCCTCTCCCGCACTTTCTCCTCCCAGCGCGATAATACCTCCACAGGCACGTCGCCCTCGGAGCGCCGCGGCTCGACGGTTCGCCCCCGCGCTTCGTCGCGCCCTGGTGGTGGTTACGCTCAAGGCATGCAGTCCCGGTCTCCTAGTCAGAGCACAATGGGCAGTAACATGCCGGGCTTCTACGACGGCCAGCACGACAGCACGCCCCGTATTCGCAACCAACATAATAACCCCAACAATCCCAACATCGCACATGCAGGCCCCTCCTCCTCCTCCGCACAGCCCCCCTTCGACCAACACCAAGCCCCCAGCGCTCCCATCGGCGACGAAAAGTTCCCGGACCCCCGCGAAGTACACCCCGCCTCCACGCAGCAGCAGAATAGGCCGTACACGCACCAGAATGATAGTGAGGGTAGTGCGGGATTTCCGCCCCAGCAGCAGCGAAAAGGCGTGCTGCAGAAGAGCCGCAAGTTCGATGAGTTTCCGGATAGTGGGGCGAATAAGGGGAGCTCGAATTCGTCGAAGCGTGTTATGGACTTTTTTAGGCATATGGGGAGGAGGAGGGCTAGGGAGGACCGTTAAATCAAGGTTAGCTGGGATGGAAGATAGGGGGATGGGGGATGGGGATGGGGTGTGGAGGTGGGGGTTTTTTTTTGTGCGTTTGTGCGTTTTGTTTGAATGGGGAAGAAGAGAGGCGGGTTTATACACACTGAGCGAAGCGAGTTGAGCGTGCGGCGCTTTTTTCGATAACCCCCCCCCGTTTTTGTAGGTTTGGGAGGGGGGGATGGCTTTTAATACTGCTTTTTTTGCATTTTCTGGCGTTTTTACGGGTTGGGGTGGGGGGTTTCTTTTATAGGTTTGGCTTGGTTTGACTTGGTTGGGAGCGTGGGTGTAGTGTAGTGTAGTGTAGTGTAAGGGGGTGGAAGTGGGTGTAGGTGTAGGTAATTTCTACTCTGGATTGTGTTTTGCAATGGGGAGGGTGAATGGGGGTGGATGGATGGAGGGTGAGATGGAGGGTAGGATAGCGATAGCGATTGATAGGCATGGGAGAAAGATATTTCGCAGTGTTCTATTCGGGGTTTTTTTTTACTTGACTTGATGTGATGTGATGTGATGTGACTGGACGTATTGAATAAGGGTTTCCACGCTGTGGGATTTGCGTAACGGTGCGTTCCCCGTCCGTTCTGTTCTATTCTATTCTGTTCTGTGTAGAGTACCTAGACATGGAGGAGGCCAAGCCAAGCCAAGCAAGGCAGATATTGATGTTGATGTGTAGGTACTCGATGCTCTCCTCCAGCCCCCTCAACAAGCCAAACCAACCAACCAGCCAGACAGGTAGTAAACGCCGCACAAACTCCATGCCCACCACCACCCTGAAGAGAGAGAAAAAAATAGCACAGCTTTAACGTATATCAGCAGAACAACGAGATTATCAACATGGCTAGTTACCTACAACTCTGAAGATTGCTTTGAACAATTACACGTAGACAGAAAGTAGCATGTACATGGTGTTATCAAAGTTCTAGACTGTAAAATTTGCAGATGGTTGTGTTTTATGCTGCGAAAGAGAGGGACTTGATGACACATTGAGAAGTTGTGCTACTTTTTTTCTTCTGGGGGGGGGGGGATGCTAGTATTCCAATTCAACACAAAAGTCTACCCATACAACACATCACATCACACGACCCAGCAAACCCCCATAAAAAAGTGCACAAAAGAATATACATTCACGAAGCCTATATTACACTCCCCCCCAAAACACACCCCTCACACCCCATCACTCCACACAATGCCAGCTAGATACCAGCGTCGCGTCGCCCGTACCTTTGTACATATTGCGCTTCGGATACTTACAATGCGCGCGCTGAAACTGGACCCCCAACGCCACGGTATCATTCACAAACTTGGTCCCCACAATCGTCTCGGGCGCGCTACCCTTCTCAACCCACTCCACAATAGCCATGAGCACATTCTCCTCGGGCTTATAGCTATTGATCTCATTCGACGCCTGGCCGATGGCATGCGCGCCATTCCCGCCCGTGCAGTGATTCGTGCCGCTGATGCGGAAGAAGCGGTAAAACGCATCGAGCTGCGCGGACGACAGGCCCATAGTCTTGCTAACGTGGTTGTAGTAGCGGGGGGAGTTTTCCGAGGTGATGATCTGGTCGGCTTGGCCGTGCCAGTGGAGGATTTTGCCGCCGCGCTTCTTAACCGCGCTGAGATCGCCTTTCCACGTCTCGATGCCGAAGGGGTTGAGGTGCGAGGAGTAGTCGATATCTGCGGAGTTGAACGACGCCGGGTCCCAGCTCGCGTTGTTGTACACGACGTAGCGGAACCAGTCGACTGTGTAGGGGAAGGGGCTGCCGCTTAGTAGGGGCCCGTAGGCGGAGACTTCTGCGCCGGGGTTGAGGCGTGGGAAGGCGAGGTCGCCTGCGGCGTTGAGGAGGGGGGAGAAGACGCCTTTTACGGTTTTGAGCTGGGTGGGGGTGAGGCAGGTGGTGGTGTTGCTGCCTTGGGCGCAGGCTAGGCCGGAGGGGTCGTAGTTGCATTGCATGGGGTCTTCGAGGATGCCGTCGACGTAGCCGTCTAGGGCGTCGCATTGCTTTAGGATGTCGTCGTGGACGGCAAGCCATTGGTTCCTGGTCACGAAGGTGGAGGAGTTGGCGGTTCCGGTGAGGGTGTAGAAGCGCCCGCTCCATGAGGTGAGGTTGTTGAAGGAAACGGCGGGTGCACCGGCGACGATGCCGTCGAAGTCCTCGGGGAAGTCTTGCGCTGCTTTGAAGCCTTGTCGGCCACCGGTCGAGCAGCCGAAGTAGTACGACTTCTTGTGTGTCTTGCCGTAGAAGGCCTTGGTGACTTGCTTGCCAACTACGACACCAGTGTGCATACTATTGTGATTGTCAGTCAATCAATCCATATCCATATTGAATGGACTACTCACGCTCGGTATGCGAAATCTTGCACGACATCCGTGTTGTTGGCGAATGCATAACCCCTTGTCCCGTTGTGTCCGTTGTTGGTACCAACCGACGCGAAACCCACGCCAGACGTGTACGCCAAATCTTGGTACTTGATGCACCCATTCAGCCCACCGTTACCGCCGCTCAAGAACCGGCCAGTCCAGTTCGATGGCAGCCAAGCCTCCATGTTGAAGCCTGAGCGTGTGGAGGTCGCGACATAGAGTCCGACACGGCAAATGTCTGCTGGAACGACCATGGACGACTGCGCACATGACACGTCATTCTCAGCGAGGCTGAGGTTGGTGCCTCCAGTAACAAACTGGGCGAAGTTGACGACGCTGTTTGGGATCGACAACTTGGATGCCATCGAAGCACATTGCGAAGTGAAGTTCGCCGGAGCTGAAGCAGGGCTGGCGAGGGCAGAAGATGCGCCTAGCAGCGCAAGGCTGACTGGAGAATCAAACTTCATCTTAACAAGATCAGCAGGAGAGAATTGATGAGCCTTGGAAACTTGGGATCAACGGCCTCTTTTAAAGCCCTCCAAGGCCCGAACAGTAAGGCGCAGCACACCCTACATCCTGGTTGTACTTCAGGAACCAACATGACGATCGAATTTCGAAAAGTGCCGAAGGTTCAACCGACATGCCGGCAGTGAACCTCTAAAAGGCAGCTAACAAAAGCCCTGGAACTCACATAGCAGCACGAGGCCAATGAAAGAGGCCTGTCGTTTCCCAAAACCGAGCATGCGAGTGTTGGAGTTAAACTAGCTGCCCATTGCAGAACCGTTAGCCGCATGTTTCAATGTGGGGTTTCGCCGAAAGTGGCGTTTGAGGTTTAGGGGAGAGATGGGCAGGAGAGTGGCCCCCGCCCTGGATCCTGGCCTAGCCCATTATCCAAGCTCACATCCCGTCAACTGCCGTGACAAGCACACGCCAGCACAGTTTGAATGCCGAGGCGGTGACGGAGATCCGTAGAAGAATGCAAGTGCGAGCTTCATGCAGCCTAAACGTTTAGCCACATGTGTAGCGCAATGTGGAGAAATGCGGGGTTTGGGATGTACGATTCGTTGTCCGATCCAACATCATCTGCGAGATGAAGGATGTGTATATATATAGTCTTGCCAGCAGTAATTGATGAGTAAATCCAGAAGTCACGTACAGGAAGATGGCGAGCAAGCAACACCAGGTCCACGGTATTGCATATACCTGTCTCTGAGTTATTTTTCATTCTGTATGTGTGTGGTGTATTTGGTGCTAGTCAACGCCAAACGCCTCCGAGCCAGCCACGTGAGGCATGTGGTTCTGGACTGGTCGTTGTGCGGTGACGCCCGGAGCCGCGTGTCCAAGACTATTTTTTGCACTATTGATGTTCGTTGCACTGTTGATACCGTCCATTGCATCGTTCCATCTGCTCGTCCTGGGCGAATCACATTAGTTATCCGACTTCATCTCCACGTCCTCTTTGTCTTGGCCCGCGTCTTTCTTCTCCGTCTCGGCTTTTGTCTCACTCTTGTCGTCGCCATCCTTCATGTCGGCATCACCCTTGTCTCCCACAATTGCCAGGCCTGTACCCTTACCCGTTCCCTCCACACTGGGTCTCCCGATTGCGCCTTCGATGTCTAGTGCCGCACCCTCTTTCTGCGGCCCTGTGTCCTCCATGCCAATCTTCTCTGGGCCTCGCGCATGCGGGATTTCGTCTTCATTCTCAACAGTCTCCACCACGGACGCCCCACCTTCCAACTCGCCAAATGCAGCCCGTGTGGAGTCCTTGGTCATCGAATGCGGGTTGTTGAGCACAATACCAGCTTCTTGTTCTTGACGCAGTAGCTCGCCCTGTGTTACAGGACCAGTGGAAGGAAGTGTCTCGCCGTCGGGATGCGACGAGGCAATCTGGGCGACTTGAGTGGAAGAGGGTGACTCTGCGCGGGGGTTTGCACTGAGCATGCCCACGGTCACAGTTTCGATGCGGCCTGCACCGTTGGGACCATCGACTATCTCAGTGCTTTCGGATATCAGCTCGCTCTGACCGCGGTTCTGCAGCCATGGAATTGGCGTGAGGAGTGCACCGCCTAGTGATTCATCAGAGCCAAGCGTGGAGGCTTGGGAGGGGGCTGATGTTGTGCCATTGAGTAGACCGCCGGTAGTGGGTAGGACGGCTTGCGGGAGGGGGAAGATGGTGAGAGGTGACGAGACAGAGACGACGCGGTCGAGGGCGCGCAGATAGGGCGAGAGGAACTTGTATCTCTTCTTCGGTTCGAGCACGAGTTCAGCCAGTCGCTGGACGGTGTGGGGCGGGTGCTTGGCGAAGTTCTTAGAGAGGGTCGACCGTATCGATGCGTAGAAGGTAGCGGTCTCTGGAGGGACGTCGGGCGACTCTGAGGGCGCGGTGAAGGCGGGAACGGGTGGGCGTGGAGGGGTAGCGGGCGGCGCGTTCTCCTTGTCAGTGGCATGGGATTCCTGACTCGATATGGCGTTTTGGGGGTGTGGAGTGTTGGTGGGTGGTTTAGGGAAGTCGTTGATTATCTGAAGATAGGGTTAGAGGGTCGAGTAGCCAGTGCAGGACGCGACCCACTTGATCCAGGCGGTCCAAGATGTACTGCAGCGTCTTTGGCCATTCTGCTCTAGGGCGCGCATTAGAAGAATGTCACGATGAGTTTCATGAAGGCGCTCACGAGTCAAGCGCGCCGTCCTGGGCGGCCCTGTGGAGGAGCGTGTCTGCTGCACGACGTCAGCATGCGTGTGCATTGCAACAGGCAGTCGAGGATAGCTACCAGACGTCATGTCGCGGTGATGTCAAGGTCAAGGTCAAGGTCGCGGTGGTGAGGTGCTCCACTCCGGCGACGCGGTGAGCTTGCGCCACCCACCGCGATATATTTACACGAGGCTGGCCAATGAGAAGCGGATGCGCGCCCACCTCGCCCTAATTGCAGACGATCAGGGTCAGGCTGTGGTGCGGCTGTGCGGTCAGCAGCTGAGCGAACCGCGCCCGAACGAGCTGAGGCCAAGACGAGAGGCGCATTCGCTGGGAGCTGAAGAAGGGCAGCGCGTCGTGCTGTCGAGGGCTGCTGGCGTGTGTTTCTGAGTCTGCATCTCCATTCTGGCCCGCCCTGTCTTGTAGCTATTTTATTGTCTTGCATTGCATTGTCTTGTTCTGCAGCGTCTTGCTCTGCACTGTCTTTGTCGCCCACAACTCCCACCACTGCACGCTCCCATGTTCCAGGGCTCCACGCGAGCCTCCGCTCCTCAGACCCCGTCAGCCCCGTCAGCCCTCGCAGCTCTTCTCCACAGTATCTCGTTGGCTACCTAGTGGTGGGCCACACACATGGACTAGCAGCGCATCGCATCCCATCTCGACCTCCCTAGACTCCCCTTCTGCCGCTCTTCTATGTTCACACCGTCACTCGTCGCATCCGGCCCTCTGGTTTCAGCAGCGCCAAGCACCCGCCGACAACAAAGCTGCCTCACACCCGTCTCAGCTGTGCCTCCAGCCCGCCCAATCGCCCGTCCCGCCCTTCCTATATCCGCCTGCCTCAGCCGCCTGTTGCGGCTGACAGTCTGCCAAAATTTCTCACCACGAGGCGCGAGCATCCCTCCTGGGAGGCCAACCTCTTGACGGGAACTACACGCCCTACGCCAGCCAGCAGCCCTTCCACGCCCAGCCCGGCGGCTACCACGAGCGACAAGGCTTCCCCACGACCCTCCCGCCGCCCGTGAGAAGAGGGCCCCGGATGTACATTCCCAACACGCCCTGGACATGGGCCTTTGCCCTGACGGCCCTCGTCCAGGCCATTGCTGCCCTGGCCCTGGAGTCGTATGTGCATGCCCTCTCCAACCACCCACGACGATGCTAACAACACGCGCGCAGATATGTTTTTGGCAAATTCCAGGCTGACCTGCACTTCGCCGGGGACGGTGTCAACGCAGAGACCCGCACCATCCCCACGTATCTCGCCGTCTTCATGTTCGGTTTCATCTACGAGTGCTTCCTCGTGTGGGACGCCTTGCGCCTGAAGAACACGATCCAGATCATCGGCCTCGTCATCTACAACGCCGGCATTCTCATCTACGCCGCCATCCAGTTCGACCAGATCCGCGACGCCGCCGACACCCTCAACAAAGACCAACACATTACGGCCGACTTTTTTGTGTCTGTCCAACCCATGCTCATCGCCCTCCCCTGTCTGATGGCAGTCGCTACCATAGCCTTCGCCTTTGAAGCCTGGAAGCTGTACGACGAATTCGCCTGGTCAATCTACAAGCACATCAGCGCCGATGTGCGGATGAAGAGGCGCTATCTGACATACCAGGTATTTCCCCCAACTACACAACTACACCCCCATCACTAACCACCTCCAGATCTACATCGCCCTCCTCAAATTCGACTTCTTCTTCTTCCTCGCCTTCACCGTGCAATTCCTCGTGCTCGTCGACAACACGCGCCGCATCGAGCAAGGCCTCACCGCCGCCGCCCTAGTCATAACCTTCTTCCTCCTCTTCACAGCCGCGTGGTGGGTGCGCCGCGAATCCTTCGGCGGCATGATCACCATCATCGTCGTCTACTTCATCGCCATGGCCTACTTCCTCTTCAAGCTCATCCGCATGTACGTCACCGAAGCAGCCCGCCAGGAAGACTACAAGCCCGCGCGCAAATCCCTGACCAGCTTCGCCGTCCTCACCATCATGCTGCTCGTCTGCACTATCATCGTCGCGTGCATGTGCATCCGCAACTTCAACAAGGGCCTCAAGCCTCATGTTAACAACAAGGCCGCCAAGGAGGACAAGGCGTACAACACGGAGATGCCGTCGCTCAGCGGTCCGGCACCAGGGCAGCGCATGGAAATTGATTAGACGGAATGCACATATTTACGACCTCGAATTGGATCTTGTCGCGTTTTTTCGGAGCCGAGAGAAGCTCCTTATCATACCCGGTGTGTTTGCATTGGCGTTTTGGGCGCGCGTGGGAATACCTTTTGTTTTTGGGGGTGTGTGTGAGGGGATGGCATTGAGGTGCTTGATGCGGGATGGAATCTTTTCGCATGTATCGGGGATGGATGGATGGACAGATTCCGATGTACTGTAATTGTTCGCTGTAGGAGAGAATATAGCACTTTGGGCATCGCATGTTGCATGTCGTAGCTTGATGTCGTGTCGTGTCGTGTCGTTGTACTTCATGCACTTTCTTCATATATTCACTATACCATCTAATCTCACCATCATCATTCACTAAAACTAACATCAGAGCCAAAAAAACCATCCAATCCATCGCAAACCCTGTCGTCGTTGTAGGTAGCGCCCAATCGCGTCAATGCAAGATCCCTGCCACACCCATGCGCCTAGCGTCGCAGGAAAGGGTCCACACCGACATCATCGGCTTGTGCCCGCGCCAACCTATTCGAAATCGCAAACAGAACACCCTTACTTCCTTGCGCTCCTTCTCATATACTCCCCGCTTCTTCGGTTTGGCCTGCTTCTGTTTAGTTTTTGCACGGACTTTGCTGGACAGGATGGCGTTTAGGTGGTATGTTGTGTTTTTGTTTTTGTTGGCGATTGGGGTTGGGGGGAGATAAGATGGGATGGGATGGGGGAAGATGGGAGGGAGTGCATGAGTGAGAGGAAAAAGGATAGAGGCTGATACACGCGATACTATAGGTACCAAGCGAAACTCAAGACTGCGCCGCTGCTCACGCAGAGTATTACGACTGCGGTACGTACACGGATTATAGATGGGGAGGTTCTGTGAGAACAGCGGGGCATGAGGATGGAAAATGAGGACGAGTGAAGAGCAGGATATAGACACGGATGGATAGAAAGACGGCTTGGAAGGATGAAGGCTAATGCAACAACCCAGGTCCTCTTCGCAACCGGCGATGTAATGGCGCAACAAGGCGTTGAGAAGCGCGGCGTGGATAAACATGATTTGATGCGTACGGGACGTATGGCTGCTTATGGTGGTGGTATGTTGTTTATCCTCCCCCATCTCCTCCCCTTCCTTCCCATCCTTATACCCACCCTCCCTCCCCATCC